GAGATTACATATGGATAAATGATATTCTTTATTGTCTGTGCATTATGAGATAATATTATTATAATAATAGAGTCCAATGCTACAGCATGTTCCATACATATTTTTATCCTAAGCCAGATAATATTAAGATAGATCCAATGGACATAATAGACTGAGGTATTCATGATATGAATGGCGCAGCAGAGACCTGAAGGTCGGATAAAAGATCTCTGGCTCAGCAACACCACTTGTATCAGGTATAGACCCAGACATTATCCAGAAAGATCATGTCTATTCCAGCAATTTCCATATTCTCTTAACATATCTATATCCGCCTATGAATATCCAATTGTATTCTTCCACATAGTCGTATCAACTGATATCAATGATATGGATGATTAAACATGTCTCATGTTACTGTTCTGATTTCCTAGAAATTTCCAAGCAAGCAATTCTAGAACTCCGCAAGGCATATCTCATTCTCAGATCAAGTTCCTGAAAAGTATAAATATGATCCCAAGTTGAAGTGTAGAAAGAAACTAGTCTTTGTCTTATCTTTATCTTTTGTCTTAATCGACTCTTAATAAACCTACCACGAGTTTTCACAGACTTTCTCTTTGTCTTTCTATTCTTTTACTATTATATTTTACCCATACACAACATTTTTTTCTGTGAATTACCTACAACCATGAATTCTCCTGTTACTGGTTCTGCTGTTTCCCCTGTCACTGGCTCTGCTGTTTCTCCTGTTCCTTCCGTTGCCAACTCTGCCAATGGTTCTGCTCCAGTTCCTACTGGTACATCTCCCTCTTTGCCAGCCAACGCTGGTACGGTTTCCTCTATCTTTGATGGTTCTTCCTCTTTGTCGAGTGATCCCGTTTCTATTGGTCATTCTTCTGCTATGGCGATTGATTCCTCTCCTAGCATGGTAGCCTCTGTTCTTGGTGATTCTCACCATGAAACGATTGATCCTGACGTTGCTTTGGGTTCGGCTTTAACTGATCTTAAGGCTGAGCTCAATCAGCATATCCAAAGCTGGGCAGCTGCCCGTTCTCGAGGTGACGTCCAAGCTGCGGATAGAGCCCTGCAACAGTTGGAGCAAACAAAAAGGGCTATCAAGAGCTTTGATGATTGCCGAAAAGCTTTATCTTCCGTCTCTGGTTCGTCTAATAAGGCAAACACTGAAGATGAGAAAGCAGGAAAAGGAATCGTTTTTTCGTTGCATCGACGAGACTTACCTAAGTTCCAGTTGAGCACGCATTTAATGCGATACTTTCCGAATGATGAGGTTTATGAATCCGTCGAACAGTTTTTAAAGACGTTTGAGCGTATCGTTAACCCGGCTACAGGCAATAACATCGAGAAGTATTGGAAGCAAATTATTCCACTTACCCTTCCTCCAGGTGATGACACATGGATCGAAAATTCACTTTTGACCTGTAAAACTTGGAAAGAGGCAAAGGAGGAATTCCGCCGACATCATGAGTCGCCTTCTACTACCAATCGCTTTGTTGAATTGGTCTTCACAATGCAGATGAAGCATAGAGATTCGCTCGTCGATTATTCTAGACGTTTTCTGCAGGCCATGTTCAATGCGGGCATTCCTCGCGACGATCAACGAGCTGCGCAACGTTTCCTTGCCTCTCTGTCCAGTGATGTGCAACCTTTCGTCCGCATGTCGATGAATAATGTTGATGCTGCTAAGGGTCAAGCGCAAGATTGGACAGTTGAAACGATTACTGATGTTGGTCGTAAGATACTTGGTGACAATCCGGCCGCTTATAGGTCTATTGCTGCCATGATGCCTGGACACAATGCTGATGGTCGTTTTGAGGGTTCTGCTTCTCTTGGTGCTGCTGTTAATAGTGGTAAACACAAGAAGAAGGGATCCGTCCACATGAAGGCAAAGGTGCATAAAGAAACTGTCTTATTCTGCAAGCATCACGGACGTAACTATACGCATGGTACTGCTGACTGTTTCTTCTTAAACAAGAAGACCAAAGGTGATATGTCTACTTCTACAAAAGCTGTTAACAAATGTCGTCGTTGTGGTGAACCTTGGTCTCGTGAACACAAATGCCGAAAGTCCACTTCTGATGGTCATGTCCTTACTGTCAGTGAACCTGATAGTGAAGAGATTGCAAAGATGGAAAAAGAGCTTGGTTTGCAAAATGAAAATCAGCCACATATCCCTAATGAGGATGTCGTCATGGACGAGAACAATTCCGATTCCGCTTATGACTGTAAGTTATCAATTTCAGAGAAACATTAAATAGTACTTCCATAAGATGATACTAATCCACTTATGTTTTACACCTATTAGAATTGAGGTAAACGTTGATAGGTTGTACTTTCATTAGAGAAACATTAAAGTAACCACTGACTTTATTGATTTGTCAAGATTTAATTTATTGTTATATGTAGTCAAATCTATAAAACTGTATTTGCTACCAGTATCAACAAAGCCTATCAACGTTTTAACCTCAATTCTAATAGGTGTAAAACATTAAGTGAATTAGTATCATCTCTTATGGAAGTACTATTTAATGTTATCTCTGAAATTGATAACTTACAGTCATAAGCGGAATCGGAATTGTTCTCGTCCATGACGACATCCTCATTAGGGATATGTGGCTGATTTTCATTTTGCAAACCAAGCTCTTTTTCCATCTTCGCAATCTCTTCACTATCAGGTTCACTGACAGTAAGGACATGACCATCAGAAGTGGATTTACGGCATCTGTGTTCGCGAGACCAAGGTTCACCACAACGACGACATTTGTTAACAGCCTTTGAAGAAGCAGACATATCACCTTTGGTCTTCTGGTTCAAGAAGAAACAGTCAGCAGTACCATGCGTAAAATTACGTCCATGATGCTTGCAGAATTGTACCGTTTCTTTATGCACCTTTGCCTTCATGTGGACGGATCCCTTTTTCTTGTGTTTACCACTATTAACAGCAGCACCAGGAGAAGCAGAACCCTCAAAACGACCATTAGCATTGTGTCCAGGCATCATGGCAGCAATAGACCTATAAGCGGCCGGATTGTCACCAAGTATCTTACGACCAATATCAGTAATCGTTTCAACCGTCCAATCTTGCGCTTGACCCTTAGAAGCATCAACATTATTCATTGACATGCGGACAAAAGGTTGCACATCACTGGACAGAAAGGCAAGGAAACGTTGCGCAGCTCGTTGATCATCGCGAGGAATGCCCGCATTGAACATGGCCTGCAGAAAACGTCTAGAATAATCGACGAGCGAATCTCTATGCTTCATCTGCATTGTGAAGACCAATTCAACAAAGCGATTGGTAGTAGAAGGCGACTCATGATGTCGGCGGAATTCCTCCTTTGCCTCTTTCCAAGTTTTACGGGTCAAAAGTGAATTTTCGATCCATGTATCATCACCTGGAGGAAGGGTAAGTGGAATAATTTGCTTCCAATACTTCTCGATGTTATTGCCTGTAGCCGGGTTAACGATACGCTCAAACGTCTTTAGAAACTGTTCGACGGATTCATAAACCTCATCATTCGGAAAGTATCGCATTAAATGCGTGCTCAACTGGAACTTAGGTAAGTCTCGTCGATGCAACGAAAAAACGATTCCTTTTCCTTCTTTCTCATCTTCAGTGTTTGCCCTATTAGACGAACCAGAGACGGAAGATAAAGCTTTTCGGCAATCATCAAAGCTCTTGATAGCCCTTTTTGTTTGCTCCAACTGTTGCAGGGCTCTATCCGCAGCTTGAACGTCACCTCGAGAACGGGCAGCTGCCCAGCTTTGGATATGCTGATTGAGCTCAGCCTTAAGATCAGTTAAAGCCGAACCCAAAGCAACGTCAGGATCAATCGTTTCATGGTGAGAATCACCAAGAACAGAGGCTACCATGCTAGGAGAAGAATCAATCGCCATAGCAGAAGAATGACCAATAGAAACGGGATCGCTCGACAAAGAGGAAGAACCATCAAAGATAGAGGAAACCGTACCAGCGTTGGCTGGCAAAGAGGGAGATGTACCAGTAGGAACCTGAGCAGAACCATTGGCAGGAAGGAACAGGAGGAACAGCAGAGCCAGTGACAGGGGAAACAGCAGAACCAGTAACAGGAGAATTCATGGTTATAGGTAATTCACAGAAAAAAATGTTGTGTACGGGTAAGATATAATAGTGGAAAGAATAGAAAGACAAAGAGAAAGTTTGTGAAACTTGTGGTAGGTTTATTAAGAGTCAATTAAGACAAAAAGATAAAAGATAGGACAAAGACAAGTTTTTTCTACACTTCAACTTGGGATCATATTTATACTTTTCAGGAACTTGATCTGAGAATGAGATGTGCCTTGCGGAGTTCTAGAATTGCTTGCTTGGAAATTTCTAGGAAATCAGAACAGTAACATGAGACATGTTTAATCATCCATATCATTGATATCAGTTGATATGACTATGTGGAAGAATACAATTGGATGTTCATAGGCGGATATAGATATGTTAAGAGAATATGGAAATTGCTGGAATAGACATGATCTTTCTGGATAATGTCTGGGTCTATACCTGATACAAGTGGTGTTGCTGAGCCAGAGATCTTTTATCCGACCTTCAGGTCTCTGCTGCGCCATTCATATCATGAATACCTCAGTCTATTATGTCCATTGGATCTATCTTAATATTATCTGGCTTAGGATAAAAATATGTATGGAACATGCTATAGCATTGGACTCTATTATTATAATAATATTATCTCATAATGCACAGACAATAAAGAATATATCATTTATCCATATGTAATCTCAACAGTGAACGATTAAGTACCAGAAGAGACTAATGTCATATTATGGGATAGTCACATAGCAAGTATTGCAGGATTTATTTGTCTCTGTCAATATCTATATACGGACTTATGCCTCAATATACAACATTTTAACAGGGTTTATAAAGACTGCCCAAGAGGCCATAAAGCCTTTCTTGATTTGGGTTACGATTTGACTTGCAAAACGTCCATAAACGCTCTCAAATCTATGGGTTTTCATTCTGGTACTGTATTGGTATGGAAACCGCTCTCGTCTATAAAGACGCAATTTTTGGTGAAGTCTATATCAGAACCTTTCCAACCCATAAACCATTTGTACCGTTCTTCGAGGTCTTCCAAACTATTCCTCTTTTCGGATTCGAAGCGTGCAATGCTAACCGCAAGATTACAGGTCGTCTTCGTATGGTAGTAGACCTGGGTCTTGCACAAAGAAATATCCTCGAACTTTGCAACCAAATCATGAACCATCTCGGTTACTGTAACATGCGGTTCCTCATCAACCAGTTTTTGAACATGTTGTTTAATATGTTGATTTATAAGGAAGATAAAAAACTATGTATATTTCACCAAATCAAAGAGTAAACACTGTCTAAACTTCCATCCGCCCTTTAATTAAAATAAAATTGGCGTGGTGTCAATTACTTTATGGGTCTCCTGATGAAATTTCCCACGTATCCGTCAATACACCATCCATGCGTCATTACAATTGAAAGGAGTGACAAGAATGCTATCATTATGGAAGCTGCAGTATTAACAAACATTTGAGATTTAGGGTGCTTCAATTAGTCTTCATGGGTCATTAAACAACCATATTTTATTCATTTTCAACTTGATTACAAATAGTAATTTAAGCAATATGACCATTCATTTGTTATTAACAGGTAAATTCAAGTGCACATAATCGATGTCTGTCTTTACTCGCGTGGATCAAACTGAAAATGGCTGGGTGAGTTGGGCGGCGCATCGACTCCCATGAATCATCCTTCACTGGTTTACAGAGATGCCAAAACACATCTGATACCATAAGTAACGTGCGAATGTTTTTCAAACTGAGAAAAAAGGCCAAATCTTGTAAAGATGCAGGGAAGGCAACACGACCAATTTCTTGCATGATGTACATACCATCATGCCGTAAGCGCATTAAATAGAAAATGATGCTGAAGCCATTGATCTGGAAAGCCAAAGCTGCCTGCAGTTTATTCATATCAATAGTGTCTTTGCAAAAAGCTCCGAGACGAAGGAGATCAAGGCAGAGAGCGTGGTTGTCAGTTGTGGGGCGCGCCACTTTTACTTCTCCAAATCCAAGACTCTGACCGAAATTTCTTTGTTGTATTTTTGAAATTGTTGCATCAGGGCGCATATCAGCACTTTCATCACAAGTAACATTTGACCATCGTAAAAGAATATTTTTATCAGGGTCCGAAAAGAGTGCAGACAGGAGTGGGTCGAAATACATTGTGAATAGTTCGCATTCCCCTAATGATTGCTTGTTTTTTATGGGCAACAGTGGCAGCTTACGCATACTATTACAAAATTGTCAGTTTTATTCTTTACAAGATAAAATCTCAATCCCACTTTTCAAAGTGACTTACTATGCTTTTATTCCTAAGATGAGTGATTTTTGAATTGGACAAAGGTCTTTTCCGAGCATTAATAACTCAATTTCCGCATCATATTTACTTTGATTGTTGCTTTCAACATTGTTCACAATTCGACTCAACTTGGTAAACACATTATTACTCATGTCTTGCCTTGGGTCCAAACACTCTTTCAAAAGATATGAATCCAAATCATTCAAAATCTCTTCAGTAAAAATATCAATGACGAGCTGGCTGTATTGCTGCGGTGCCAAGAGGAGGATATTCGACAGGCTCAGAAGCTCATGGATAGACGATTCGATGAGAAACAAATGATCGGTTGACATTTGTGCCACGGCCTGCTTGAACTTTGTAAATAATAGCGCTATATCTGCCTCCTCGAAAAGCCATGGAGCAAGGACAGGGGAGTTTTCGACATCTTGTACATTAGTATTTTGTGCTGAATTGATGAGCGAGAGTGGCGGTATCGATCTATTGTCGTTATTGACTGTGGAATCCGATTTATTGCCGCTATTGACTGTAGGACTAGTGTACGATGATGATAATGTAGAATTACTACTGCTTGGTTCTGAATGAGTCGACGACGACGGTGGTGGTATAGATTCTTCAGAAGATAATACTGGTTTATCTGTTGGTTCATTTCTTGACATGGAGGTAAGTTTTCCTAACGCGTCTTGTGCACTATCCGATACGTATTGAGTACATCCTTCCTGAACGTCAAGTTGAGTTTTTTTGTTTATCCTATCGATCCAGAACTTTTTATACTCTTCAGTTTGTCTCCAGGCCGTCAATTCTGAAGTCAACCGTTCGCTATCATCTCCGAAAATGGCTTTACTAATTATTGAGCCGTATCTGCTCAATGCATACTGTTTATTTATAATGCCATACTTTTCCACAAACGAAGCCAAAGTAAGATCATCTTTATTATCAAAGCACCATTGAATATCAGCAGAAAATACACGATTCTTCTTGTTTGTTGCACTTTTTTTTGGCACAGAGATTGCAGCTCGCTTCATTTGGTCACAACTAATATGTAGAAAAGAGTGTAGGATCATGAAAAATTAACGCGTTACGTCATTGACTGAGTTTGAGTCATTTTTTATTATTTTGAAAGCGTCATTACCGTGCTTGGCTATTAATTTTTTCTTCTCTTGAGCACACTGTCCATTCAACACATCAGACTACGAAACATGAATACCACTTCTACATTATATTCTAGTATACCAGTATTTTTTTTTTCATGGTCAGGTAATCACTTTATATATATAGTCAAAAAGGTAATTTTTTTTTTTGCTTGAGCAGCATGAGAGATGCTTCGGACTAGTAGGTTTTGTTTTTTATTTAAAAGACTTTACCGAAAGCTGATGATACTGTCCCTATGATGGAAAACTTTCAACAGTTGGAAATCTTGGAAACAGGTTCTCTCATGTGTCTGGAATGCTTCGGACTAGTAGGGTTTGTTTTTTATTTAAAAGACTTTACCGAAAGCTGATGATACTGTCCCTATGATGGAAAACTTTCAACAGTTGGAAATCTTGGAAACAGGTTTTCAGACAGCTCATAGCTTGTACTCTCTGTAGACAATAGGCAGCAAAAGTTTAAACCTGGTTCCTTATTACGATTTTGCAGCCACTTTCAACCCAAAGACCGTGTGTCCCATGAGTAGAACATTACTGAGGTGAGTTGATGAATGTACATAAAAACAATCAATTTGCATGTACGCTGTAATAATCAAACGAAAAGTAACTTACCAAAACTTCTCTATCTATAACATTATAGGACTTGACCATTTATTGATTATCTTCAAGTGCGTTCTTCAAAGTTTGCTCACGCTACTATGCCTTTTACTTTTCAGAGGGACACCATACATTACAAGCCAAAGCACCTTGATATCTGTACCAATATACAAATATGCCACCTTTACTGAAGTATGAGTTGAAAAAGCATAATCGTGTTGCTGTTCATCATCTGAAGTTCTTATGGGAATCAATTGTAGATGAAACTTGCTTGTGTTGGAGATTCATAGCAAACCGAAGCCCCTTTGGATAGAAACCTCTTTAGTTGATCTGTCTGAAGATGGGGCTTTATATGAAGTGAATAAAAGAAATCTGGTTTTGTTCGTATATTATTTGTAAAGATGAAAAGGGTGTTCTTCACGGTAGGTGAGGCAATGACGTCTCGAATCCGTGCTGCTTGTAAGGATACTCTCCCAAGCGAATTATATGCTTTTGCTGATCATTCAAAAGGTCAAATTAGTAAATGTTACAAAAAAATAGAGTTTTAATAAATAAAGTCTAAAGCCCTCATTCAAAAACTAATCACTTTAAACAATATGAAGTATTGCTTCTAAGCATTAGGTTTTTTTTTTTTTTACTGGCTTCTGTACATAATTCATACCGACATATTCTTTTTTCCAGCGACAAATTTTTCTTGGCAAGCGACAAATTTGTTGTATCCAACAGCATATTACTCTTGGATTATTACATAATACTGAAATAAGAGATTGCGGATCCTTATGAAGGTTAGAATAACCGTGAGTGATAGACTTAATAGAACAATTCTTTTCTTTTACGGAAGAATATTTCATCTGTATATCCGAGACAACATTGGATGAGTAATTGATTTCATTTAGAAATAAGATATTATAGTATTTGGATTTGATTAAATCAGATGAACTTTATTTAGCACACCAAACCACAATACATAAATCTAATCTACTTAAGCTATTATCTTCTAACTTGTTGATCCTTACTTTAACCCTTTACATTCTGACAGAATTCAATAAGACTGAAACGTAGACGTCGGCAGAATTAAGGAATAGTTTAACCTGTCCGTCACGTTAACTATAATGAATCTGCCGAGGTATGGGTCAAAGGAATCTTTAGTTAGATCAACCCACTTACCTCCTGTCACCAATCCAATCGGTCAAGGCACCGCTATAGCATGATGAACCATACAGTAACAATTGGGTATGTCTTTTCTTTTATCATCAGGTCATCTTGTACCTAAGAGTCTCGATAGAAAAAGTTTTTTACAATATCCACAAATATAAATAAAAGTACTTTTTTTCCTACATGGTTTTTGTCTTCAATTCTATATCAGAATATTCTACTTAATAAAAAAAGATAACGTGGTCTTTACTGATTTCGTTTTGTTTTCTTTTTCTTATACTTTATCTTATCGTATACAACAATGTCTCATTATTCGTTTATTTGGTAGGCTTGTTATAATTTTACTTCTTTTGGCTTTTTCTTCTTTGTAAATTGAAGGTGTTTATTTTCGACTTGCACTGTACAATATAGCAAAGTAGAACTCTTTTTATAACTCAATTTACCGGGTGATTGCTTGAAATGTTCTGGAATGGTAGTGATCACTTTGAAAGTGCACTTGTCTTTTACAACTCAAATTGAAATGCATTGTCGACATCACTCACTGCGTTCAGCCATGATTTCCCTCATGGAAATCTTCCAGTACCTACTGCAGTATTTCCTGGGTACGACTATGACATTAATTGTTTCTGTTTTATTGACTGTCATTTATCGTTCTGTAGAAAATGTCGTCTACGAAATACAACCATCACTATACATCCATACAGACTGTCAGGAACAATTGCTCAATTTCTGAATTGACTGAACGATCATTAAAGTGCCATTCATTCTAACGAGGCTTCGTGCAGTATGATACTAGCGGTGTTCAGATTTTCTTATCAAAGCATTTCAATGACAAAGACTACTTTACAATAACCTATTGTAAAGAAAAGTTGAAACATACATTTTTGTCGTATGGGCGGCATGAAAGACTGCTTATTTCGTCGTCAGAGAAACTAGCATGTATGAGTAAATAAACTACAAGACTGATTTTGTTGTATTTTTTTCCTACAATAAAGCGATATGTTGATAAAAATTCGTGATCTACAAAACGAGAAATCCAACTTTTTATTTTTCTAACAATTTCTGGCAATACTGTCTCTTCTTCTGGTAAACAAAATCTACATAGGCTTTAGAGGCAGCATTTTGAATCATCAATTTTCGGTTTGTTTTTTTCCCTTTCTGCTTCTCATAAAGACATGAACATGAGGGAGCCTTCGTACGCTTTGTGTTTCTGGTGGATTAACAAAGTAAATCCATTCCCACTTTGAGCTACCATACTTTTCTTCCAAAACTGACTCTACAAAGTCTGCCGATAAAGGAACTTTTGACCAAATCAAAATGTGCTCAATGCCAGGTTCTACTGAGTAAGGAAAGTCGTTTGGTAAAATCAAAATAGCTGGAGATCTATTTTGCTTGTCATGATCATCCATATCGATATCCTCAGCAGGGAAGTGTATTTTTTCTTTCAACAAAAAATTCTCGAGGGTTCCATATTTTTTAAGCGTATTCTTTATCCATTCTTGATATATAGCTTGTGCTTCTCTATTTCTACGCAGTTGATCAACCTGATTTATGGCTGTCCATCATATCGAACAGAGGAAAAAAGAGCGTACATGAGTCATGGATTTTTAAATGGTAAAGGCCTTCAAAAGCCATTCTTATGCAAGTTTTTACAAACATAATGTACAATCTCTTCCCAAGGATGGACGTGATCAGTGTATTTGGCATCTACTTCTGTAACAGGCGCCATGATGATGAATAAATGCTTTTGTGCAGTGAAAAGAAAGAGTAAACGAAAAAAAAAAAAAAGAAAAAAAAAAGAGAAAGAAAAAACAGACGGAAAGAGCATGCATTACATTGTACATCACGAAGAGCATCAACACAGAAAAAATCAGGAACTTCAAATAACGACTTATGTAAGCGAGATGGAAACCAATGAACAGCCATATTTATAAATCCGTATCAGCTTTTATTTCTAAATCATCATTTTCCGATCATACTCCTTGGATAGAGTCTATGCAATGTCAGTTATTATTTGTTTTTGGGAGAAAACACAGGCAAAGGATGTCCTTCCGTATTAAGAACATAGTTTTCCAAAGGTATAATGTCATCTGGGCTGAACAATAGGTAAAGGTATTTCAGTGTTTCCGCCTACGAAAAGAAGCCTTGCATTAGGAACCCCAAGTCATACCCTTTGATGAATCGTAGCCGACTTACCAAGAAAAAGGTATCCATTCTATTATCACGAGGTGGTGGAATGACTGTGACATCTTTCAAAGCTGTATAACCACCTTCAGGAAGTTTTGTATATTTTTCAAAGGCCTCAAAAATATTCCAACCCCATTCACTAGACAAGATTATGTTTTTAATTTCTAATATCTGTATTTCGCATATCGTTTTTTATTGTAAAACAACAACTTACCGATATTTGTTATCCCCTGTCAATCTGTACAGTAAGAAGAGACTTTCTACCGTTTCAGGTCGCAGGAGATTATGTCGATCTCTCACATGAATCTCCATATCAGGATCGTCTTTTTGACTTTCCTTCTTATTATTAAAGTAAACAATCTCACTCGCCAAACCAGTGGCTGTCATTCTGTACATTTGATAACATGTTCTCGTTAATTCTTCGCCCAAGTGCAAATCCTCCATTTCTTTCGTATCCAAAGGGTCCAACTGATCCAGTGGTGCGCCTTCCGTGATGCCCAACACGACGTTTCCACCTAAAAAGCAAACGAGATGGTCCATTTTTGGATGGTGTGCTGTAGGATCCGACGCATCCAACATTTCAGCAATGTACATGTAATGGTTGGGGTAACTGTATTGAACGAGATGCTTTTTCACACTTTCTAAAGCATGCTCATATCTTTCTTTATATCTGATTTCTGTTTTATCGGTCTGTAGATAAAGCTTCAAAAGGTATTCTACGCGTTAGAGAGAGACGATTCAATTAACTTTTTGAAAAAAGCGGAAAAATGTATGCATGTTGATCTTGATTACCATAATAACTATCTCCACGTGAACCTAAACGAATCTCTTTCGATGCAAATCGTCCAGATACAGGATCAATATAAATGGGAACCAAACCGTTCAAAGCTCCAGAGCCTTCCGTATGAACCAATGCATGCATATGGTCCATTACTTTTTCGACCGCGTTCCAATATTTCATATCCCCTGTTAAATGACTGAGATACTTGAATTCCATCTGCACTGTTGTTGCTTCCGCCGTACTACTAGGGCCAAAACTCTTGGCACTACCGCTTGCCAAAAATACACCAGAGAACGGTACACCCGAACCACTATGGAAGGCCGGCAATAAGCGATCGCCTAAATCAACGGCCTTCTCCAGATAGACAGGGTCGTTACCGGAGAGATGATAGGCAGCCAATAAACCACCTAACACCCGGATAGTGGTTTCGAATACATTCACATCTTGATGTTTTTCAAAATCGAGATGATGCACAATCCACGATCGGGCTTCTTGATATTCATCTGTAAGGTTCATCAACATGATGGTATCAAGCGCATCGATAATCATAAGTCCAATGCCACCAGGCGCCCAACTATGGCCGGCATGAGTGAGAGGCTGGTATTCATCTTTACCAAAAGCATCTGTTTTGTAGCCCTTCCAAGCATGACGAAAAGCGTCGACGATTTTCCTTTGTCGAAAAGCGGTAAGTTCGTCATCCATCGGTGTAAGCGATGCGGGAGGTGGTGTTTGACTGAATAAAAATAAGTTTTGCTGATGCGTTTTCTGTTCTCCATCTTGATCCATGGATTGTTTTTCATACTGACTTTGTTGCTGTGGGTCTAAACTTGACGAGTCTACTTGATGCTTTCCTTTGGTTTCCTCATTTTGTTCAACTGCAGCAAGCTCATCATCTTCCATCGGAAGTATGCCACCAAACACATCTTCCCTAAGACTATTGTCCAAGTTGATATCTTTTATCGCACCCGTCTTACTATTATCGTCAATAGGTTGAAATAGCGGTACATCGAATGTATCATGTGTTGTAGTGGATGGTTTTGGTTTGGAAACACCACTTTGACGCTGAGAAATATAATAGAAGGTGCAAAGAGAAATGATGCCAATACCCAAAAGGGCTTTACGGTTCATTCTCCTCCATGACTGATAAGGATAGGGGGAAGTGAATCAGTGAGTAAAATAAGAGACACAATGAAAGTCACTTATTGCATGGCACCTTACACGAGATCCTTTCATAGAACTTGATTTGTCATATTTATCATCGCTATAAAAATCGCCACGTTTATTACCACTATTTTTCATAGTATGGTGAATTGGCAGCATGATAAAATTGAAAGAAAAGAGGATTGCTTCACAACAATGGGCGTTTCAAAAAAGTTGTTCTTATTGGGATTATAACTCAGTGCACGAATGTTACATCATTTACAGATTTTTTTCAATTGGCATTCCCTACTGTTTTTCAGCAGCGTTCTATTCAGATATTTGTAATTGTATACAGTAAGGGGGGGGGGAACCATTGATTAACAAGCAGCAATCCATCTAATGGTTGTTTTTGACTCTATTGCTTCAGAGTAGGATGGTGTTTGTTACATTAAAGTACTACATCAAACTGAGTACCTTGACTTGGCGTAAGCATTCATTTAGACGCCGTTATCCTGACAATTTGCGTCTGCGAATATTCTACTCAATGTTTTTCCCCTTAATGTACACTAGAACAATCACGAACGATGAGTCAATTATAATGATAGCCATCAAGCTCTTCTCTATCTGACTTTACTTTGCAGGAGAAAAAAGACAACGCTTTGTTGAATACAAATTCACTTTCTATAGAACATGTGCCATCATTTATGATCAAAGAGGCATACATCGCATTTGTATGACAGTTGACACGTTGTTTTGTATTGCCAAGTAAAAGGATCACATAAGATTCTGTATAAACAAATCAAAAAAAGCACAGCTTTGAACCTCCATCCGAAACACAGCAGGCTCTTGCAAACAAGAACATTATATTACTCGAGTCTTATCCATTGGATGAAGAGTGGCTGGACTCTTTCAATACTGAAGCATACGCAAGAAATATGGAGCCAAGATCATGAGAGACACAATTTCAATCGAATGACACTATCTATTCACTATTTTAAAAGTGGTCAATAAAATGAATATCATAGAATTCTATCTTCTCAAGACGGAAGCACTTTCTGGCAGACTTGAAATTAAAAAAGTGATGACAGTAAAGCACCCTCTCTTTTAACTACATCATGTCTGTTGAGGAAGGTTCATGGTGGAGATGGGTCATGACTTTTCAAATTACAACTCAATGGTTTTGAATTAGAGACTTTTCGGGGGTATACTGATGAAGGCCTTTGTGATTCAGCAGTTAATAAAAAAGCGCAATCGCTGCTCCTGTCTTCTTATTGATTCCAGTTTGGAACCTTATAGAAAAATGAGGGTCGCAGAACAAAAGGCTTGCATGAACGTTTTTTATTGACCGCATCCAGATATACGTAGATCTTTTTGATCAAGCTATAGCACTCATTCCATCGATCATAAAAGGCTTGAGATCAAACATGCCGAAGCAATTCAATATCTCTATTTGATTGGCTGGCTAAAAAGTGGAAGACTCCAAAAAAAATAAAAAGTTTGTTTTTTATAACTGTCAAATTTCTTTGCTTTGCTTTTCCCAACCTAGCAACGAAATTTAGATTGGCCCATGCGCTTTCATGAACTGAATAATGAGTTACTTATTTCTATTGCAGGACACTTACAGGATGAAGATCTCAAACACTTTGCCCTTGTGTGTCGGAAATTCGCAATGGTCGCTTGCAGCGATGTGATTTGGAAGGAAAGATTGTATAATCAGTTCGGTATTACTTATAAACTACCAACCGAACAGTGGAGAGATATGTACAATCGCAAAACTGAGGATCCCGCCCATGCTCGCATATGCCCTCACATCGGTTATGTTACGCCGAAAATATTGGAGCCTTATGCAGCTAAATACCAAACGATCTTGAACTGGTTGGATAAAAATCTAAACTGTGCTACTTGTCGAACCAACTGTGCCGATTCAGGCTTGTGCTTATATATTTGGAAGAATAATGTTAGACATCGTAAAGTGTAAAAATGGAAGTGCATGTTTCATGAAAAGACAAGCGATCGTCCCTAACATCCGTTTACTGCAATGTAATTTGTATTGCCATCTGTATTTAGGTTGTAAGGATTGTGCCTATAGTTTCCACAAAGCAGTCGAAGGTCATGGCATTCTATTTCGTATGAATGTTTTGCAAATGTACTGCTTCGATTGCAAACGTCTCGTAAGTTTTTGGACAAAGCAGAAGGTGTGGGGGGGGGAGGAGAAAGAGGTTTAGGTTGAGCTAATCCTTGTTTTACATTGATTGAATAATAGCTGGGGGAGACTCGTGGTGATTCTAGTGAAGCACACTATGTAGATATGTTATTGGAAACGCTGACACACGACAGCGAAAAAGGAAAAGAGTCTATGAGGAAAAGGGAGCAGTGCATGAAAGAAAGATTACTTTATGCAGAACATGCAGATAGAGCGTCAGTCGTTGCCAACGGAAAGTACTATTTTGTAGAAAGAGTATGGCTTATATCATGGTTCTTGCGTCTATGTGATGGTAAAATTGGCGTAGGTCCGGTTGCTAATGATGAACTAGAAGATCCTAACAGAGAAGGCAAACTAAACCCCAATTCACGGCCAAGAGGGAACTTCAAAGGAGGCTTTTCTATTGTGTCTCCATTGTTGTGGAATTATTTGGTGGAAACTTATGGCCTTTCAGGCGGAACTTATACCTCAGGTATATTGCAATAAGAAAAAGCATTGATGACGACTATCTTTTTTCCATTCGCTTACTGACTTCTTTCTGTTTACTGCTATTACCCGGCAAACAAAGATGATACTACAGGCCCAGAATACTTTGTCTTGAATGAATCCATTGCCAACTGGAGATTAAATTAATATAACCATACACCCCCTTTTTGTAAATAGTGTTAGAAAATTTTGTTCACTTTGCCTACATCTCTTTTTATGCTCTACAATGTTTTGCGCTTGTCATTCAAGAATTCGCTTTTTCAATTTTTTTTTTCTTGTATATTTAATGAAAAGCAAATGGAGATTTGCTTCATTTTCACTTTTTTGAATACAAGACCGTAATTGTGTGCCTTTCAACGAAATTTTTAATATCCACAGTCGTGACATTTTTGATTTTCTTAAAGTTAAAATCCGTGGATGCTGAGAGGTTTCATTTATGGATACATTGGACTGATTTGGTACACTATTTAAAAAGTTAACGAACTGCTTCTTTAAATGATGAATGACGTTGACCAGATCTACAATAAGGAGGAGCTGAGTAAAGCCTCAATAGCGCTACTTTGAGAGTTTCGGTCCCAAAAGCGTATGACGTTTGGCTTTACGTTTGACGAAAGCCCAAAAAGTGTTCTATCGCGCGTTAAGCTCTGGAGAGTAAGGCGGGAGGAATACACACTTATAACGTTGTTTCTTTGAGGGAGCTTTTTAACTGTGGGTAGAATGCTTATAACAGTATGTTTTGCTGTGCTTTGCTGTAGAGATAGTTGATGCAGTGAGATGTGGTCGTTATTTTACTGTTTGTCTGCTGATTGAGTGCAACAAAAACAAGCCTCGTTACATGCGAACATTATGAAAAGTTCCTGAAAGATACCTGTCAATAGTTGTTGCTCAGGAGCAATACGTTGATTAAATATATTACTTTGATTGTCTTGAAAACTGGCAAGAGTAAGAATCAAAACTACATTTCTGCTTCTATTTTTCAAGGAAGGATTCATAAAGAATAGCTTTGTTGAGATGACAAAAATAATTGGCTATTAGATGCATAGAATGTACTTAACATGCTGCTTTAAACGAATAGGCTGCATTATACTACGTGATGAAATATATCCATATTCATTCTCATTGGAAATAACAAAGCTGTTCATGCCCATTCCACAGAGTTACAAAAATTTAACATAACGATAGATGACTATGGTTCTAACCAGTGCAAAGAGGTAACCCTCATGGTAACTTATATTTTCATTATTCATTTCGTTCAAAGTTACCCTTCAGCAAGTAAATTGGTACATAAGGCAGCCATCCTCCTAAATTCTTCCTGCCCTTGAGCAAGGTACACACTCCATATCATCCATGGTTCAACTTGGCAAGTCGATGATGAGATGGAAGATATCGCCTATTTTCAACGAATATCAACACTTCCAGATTTCCCTATACTGATCATGACCTTGGAAGATATGAAATAGAAAATGATGCAGTATTTGCTGTTGCTGCTGCTACTGTAGAAAGCCAGACTATTGTTTACCGATAACCATCATTTTTGTGCTGCTTCTCTCAGATTTTTTTTATTTCTTGTTTTAAAAGGTGCTTTCAAGTTCGCTTGCTGAAACGAACCCTATGCTTTTTTTAAATTTATGTCATGCAGTACCATCTGATTCAACAGTGGCAATGAGATAACGTCAATACTCATCTTCTGCTCGCCTCCCATACTCAATGGAGTAGCCATTATGAACAGTGTTTGAAGCCTCAACAATACCGAAAACACACTCTTCGTCGGTTATCCGATGTCTAACTGTGTTTATCTAAAAGCAATTGTGTGCGTACGTGTTGAAGAAATTTTGCCAGTACCCGCCACATTGATTTTTCTGTAGCTTTCTATCCCAACTCAATGCCATAAGAAGTAGCACAATGTTTTGATGCCTGTTTGTTTTATAAACGCAGTTTTGATTTCCCTAACGGCTCACTTTTTGAAGCTGAAGAATAAACTGTGCCCATTTTGGTAACTATAACAGCGTACTTTGACCTTTTCTATTATTGCAATTGTTGTATTCGATTCAGTTTACTTAATTGAGAACATTATTGCTTATTTGTTTTCTATGTTTTTGTTCTCTGCCAAATAAACTACCCACCTAAAATTTTTGATAAGCTTAAACTGTTTGCCTTTTTTGATATGAGAGAGGTTATTGCCACTTGGGTAGGATAGGATGCTTAACAGAACAGAAAGGTTTATTATCAAATACATTTTGGCTCTCTGTACATCTAGATATACTGTGGGCATACTCGTCCGTCTTAATACTCCCATTCAAAGAGTCATTGTTCCAAGTAGATGGCTTTACGAAAAAGTCCTTATCTTATAACCCGAATAGAATGCACTGCTGTTGTTTCCCAGCTCAAGTTTCTGTATACATTTCAAGTCGGAGTAAAGAGCAAATCAAAATTTCCCAAAAAGCGAATCGAGAAAAGCTTTGTTTAATCTGTCAGCTTTTCTTTAAAATTAAAATTTTGTTGAGCCGTTTCAAAGACTTTTTCGTTTTCTTTCGCTTTCCGTGATAAATATCAATATTCACAACATGAGTTTTCTCTGGTCCTTTGGTTCCAAGAAGGTAGAAGAGATGAAGCTAATCTTATACGACATCCATTTGGAATTAAATAGTATTTTCTATTTCAGGAACCAGCTGTACCTGCGTCACCGTTAGCACCTTCCCAATCCACGTTCAAAACTATGAGCAACACCTTTAAAAAAGGTGTACAATATAACAGTACGTTATGAATCATGATATGAGTACAAATGATTATGTTAAAAGTTCAAGGAATTCACGCCATCTATTTCTTTACAGTGAAAATTGTTTTGAGAGGTGACGTTATGACTGGAAAATCAAATTTATGTAAGACTATAAGATTCGGCAAACAAAGCTTTAAAAGCGAGCACATAATAAGAAACATATACATCGATCTTGTTATAAAAAAGTCCAAAGGCTACAAGGTCTGGAGTTTGACGAAAATTACACATCTACTCCACAAATCGAAGTAACCAACATTCCGTGGAATTATAAAGGTTTGTTGTTTATCATATGAGATCATTTGATTTGATCTACAGTTTAAACATTTCACTGACCAACGCATGACTTCCTCCTCACTCTCCCCCTACAATAGACTCACCTGATATTGTAAAGATTGAAGTGTGGGATGTGGTTGACAAAGCTCATAATAGTAACAGCAATAAATCGAGAGAAGCTCAAGGTATAAAACTTGAACATAACGTCTCAACATCGTCTCAGCAAGATCAACAGGCTCCATCTCCTCCTTCCAAAGACGATGGAAAGAATTTAGAAGACAGTATGGAAAATGGGAATGCAATGGGATTGGATGCAGCTACAGTGAATGTTTATAGAAATACACAAGGCGTCATTCTCTTATTTGATACAACCAAGCCTTGGACTTTTGATTATGTGAACAAGGAACTAGAAAATGTACCAGAGAACATATGTGTATTAGTTCTTGTAAGTAAGCTTCACACTGTCTGAATCGTTTGAAAATTTACAGAAACACAAGATACATCAGAGTAATACTCAACTTACCAAAAAAAACAAACAACCCAACAAACTGTATATTAGGGCAACTTTTGTGATAAAGTTGAGGAACGTAAAGTCGAAACATCAACTATTCATGCCGCTTTATACAAACATAATCAGAAAAGAATTCAAAAAGGAACTATTAAGCCCAATTTAATTCGATATGCTGAGACAAGCATGAAAACAGGTTTAGGCTTACAATATATTCATGAATATCTCGGTGTACCTTATCTGCAATTAGTGGTAGAGTTCATTCTTATCAGTATAGATGTAACGGGAGGATGCATTAGACGTTTCTCTTGCTCACTGCTCAAAATGCTTTCTTTTTCATTTTTACCAGATTGAGACTTTGAATAAGCAACTTGAATTAAAAGCCATCGAAATTGTTGATGTATTAGAAAATCTAGACACGAATGAAGATGTGCCTGAATTAATGCATAGAAGACGAGGGCAGGATAATTTTGTACAACGTAAGATTTTACCGGGTTACCTTACATGGAAAGCTACAAACAGAGAAAGAGGATCCAAGAGTAGTGTTATGTTGATATGGTTCTATGTTTATGTCTATAGCCTCAGATGATAACACAATACTATCACAGCATGATGAGTTAAAAGCGGATTGGGATGAAGAGATGGAAGCTATTGCTGCAGATCGTAAGTGAATCTGGATAGAATTTTATTTTACAAGCAGAAAGTAAAATACAAAACCACTGCGATACTCAAGTCTTATGAATGAAATTGCCAATTCTTAGATCCTAGTGCTTTAGAATCATTCCATCGTCGACAAACACCGCCTATACCGACCGAACCTGTAAAATCGCACGAGCTGGACAGTGTAGCACTGCAAACAGAAGATATCCCATCTGTGGCGGTAGAAGGAGATGATAAGATTGCCGATGATTGGTTTAATGAGGAAAGCAATATTACAGAAACAGTAGCTGCACCCAAGGATATAGCAAATGATGACGATGATGAAGACAATGAATCGGGTAACCCTATGGTACAAACTGATGAAGATGTTGAAGCAATGATCTATGACAACACGGCAAGCATTGAAAACGAAAATAAGAATGATATCGAAGGACACGAGGAAAGTGAAAAGGAGCATACTCTGAAACCTCACGATGAAAGGCTGGAGGAAGAGGAAGAAAAAGTAGAAGAAAAGACACCTTCTCCAACGTATCACTCACCATTCTTCAAAAGTGAGTTAAACGATGTTTGGGGCAACCCCAGAAGTGAACTGAGAAGAGTGTCCAATACGGAAATTGCTTCAGATAGTGACGATGAAGATAATAGAATAGATACTACCACTTCTGCTGATATCGAAGAATCCTCTGCTTCTTCTCCTGCCGCATTTGTTAATTATGGATATGAAGAGATTGGCGGGTCCAATGAAGAAAATCCATGGTCTACTGGTAAGCAATACGAGCGCGAAGAAGAGGAGTACCCATTGGAAGGGACAGAGCCGGTCGTTGCAGAAGAGCAAAACGAAGGAGAGCAAAAAGATAATGAAACCAAAGAGACATCATCATCATTAAACGTAGGCGAACAACAACAAGATAATGCAGACAAAGAAAAAGACAGTGCAGAAATTCGAGAACTGCAACCTACTAAAAAGACAAGTAATAATAATAATAGCAGAAAGAAAAAGTCTGGTAAAAAGAATAGAAAGCGAAGAAATTAAGCATGAAAACATATATTTGCATTTTACATTTTCCTCATCGCATTTCAAAGAATAAACAAACACTTTGCCATCTTGTCGATAAGAAGGAATATTGAGTTTGACGAAATTAAAAGAATTGAGAATAGTTTTAAGAAAGAAAAGAACATGCTTCATGTACAGTAAATGAGGGTCAGACCCAAAACAGACAATAAAGAAACTATTCATACGTACGCATCTACTCCCGGCAGCCCCAACTATGATAGATACAGAAGATTAGCGTCAAGCAACTTTCATGGCTGCATTCTCACTGAACTATGTTGATTTCTTTTCATCCGATAAGTGATATTAACATTAGGCGTGACTTGCAGTTTGATGAGGATAACGTCGTTTCTTATCCATCAATGAGGCCTTGTGGTGCCAAATCCGTCAGAGTATTTAGGACATATCTTTTTAAAACGGATCGAGATATGGCGCGCTTGTGGTTTCCCGAATAACAATAAATTTATTTAGCTTACTAACGTTAGATTGGTCAAATGAAAATGAAGAATCGTATCTATCAGCGTCCTGAAAAGAGTACCTTTCAGCACTCGTACAGATCGCATAAGAGCAAAAGTTCCTGTCGCCCCTGAGGGCCGAAAATTAATTTGCCGCTTCTTCCTAGCACTTTATTTATCCAGACTACCACCTGGATATTGTAGCTGAGATACCATGGTGCGTTCTGGCTACACGTCATTTCTTTGCTTCATCCTTGCCATCGGCTTTAGCGCGAACCTTTACAATAAAATGTGCAATCAACCTCGACAAACAGTTGATGTCAGTACACAAGCCAACATTGACCAAGTGCTAACCAAACACCTTCACCTCAACTGGAATGTTGATTTTGAGAATAAGAATATTCACGGCAGTGTTCGTCTCAATTTGGTGAGCTTGGTCGACAATGTGGAAAAGGTCATTTTGGATACAAGCTATTTAGATATCAAATCTGTCATGTATGGTAAAGACAGTTTGAAGGTAACGGAAGAGAGTTTTATATTAAAAAATCAGCTTCAGACTCTATGTGGAGGACAATAAAGTCTGACATGGAACTTTGACTATAATAGTTTGACGTGGCCGAGAGATATGCTAGCTTAGGATCTGCTTTAACTATACAGATACCTAAAATTGACAAAGCTGGCACAAATTTTCAGTTAAAGATTGATTATGAAACCACTGAAAACTGTACAGCCGTTCAATTCCTTACACCAGAGTAAAGAAAAAAAAATGTACAGGTGCAACAAATGAACAGCCTTTGATAATATCCTTTTTCCACAATATTGTACGATAGACAGACATTGGGTGGAAAGCATCCTTATTTATTTTCACAAAGTGAACCAGTATGTATAATTGTTGTTTACAATGAAATCTATTAGAGAAATTCACGGTTTACATAACTTTCAACCCTATCGGCCTAATAGATTCATGGTCGTGCTATGATTCCTTGTCAAGACTCACCGTCTGTTAAGGTTACCTACTCAGCTTCTGTCAGATCTCACTTACCCGTAGTTATGTCTGCTTTGAGAACTGGTATTGATGAAGATCCCGATCAGGGAACAGGATTCAAAACCTATCATTTCAAGCAAGAAACGTCTATTCCCTCTTATCTGATCGCTATTGCTGTGGGTAACTTGGTGGGACAAGATATTGGACCTCGAACCACAGTTTGGTGCGAACCTGAAATGATTAAGCAAGCTGCATGGGAATTCTCTGTATGTAGAATACGTGCTTAGAGCATAGGGTTGTAGGCGAAAAGTCAAACTAAACTTGGGTTTTGTAACAATTTAGGATACCGAGTCATTTATTGCTACTGGTGAAAAACTATTAACACCCTATGAATGGGGACGTTATGATCTACTTGTACTCCCCCCCTCTTTCCCTTATGGTGGTATGGAGGTAAGACTCTTATTATTCTCGTTTAACATGGTATTGACTATCGGTTATTCATGCCTTTTTTATGCTGGTGATTAGAACCCATGCCTTACTTTTGTGACACCTACCTTACTAGCAGGTGATAAGAGTGCGGTGAATGTCATTGCTCATGAAATCTCTCATAGTTGGATGGGTAACCTGGTAACAACAAATGCTTGGGTAAATGACGCTAATAAGATGTAGTAAAAAGTCTAGTTTTTTCTTTACAAATCAACATTAACAAGACAAACTGTTTTATTGATGAACTTGAACATACAATAGAAACATTATTGGTTGAATGAGGGCTGGACAGTTTTTATTGAACGCAAGATTCTCGGCAGACTCTATGGTGAACGTGTAAGGCAATTTGAAGCACTTAGCGGTAAGATATAGTTATGTGTCATCATCCACAAAAAACAAAAAATTATATATATATGGTTGCTTATTGCAAAATATGTTAGGTTGGAGGGCATTACAGGAAAGTGTTGAATTATTTGGAAAGGATTCACCAAAGACAGTACTTAATCCTGATCTTCGTAATGGTGCAGATCCTGACGACTTTTTTTCAAAAGTTCCTTACGGTAAAACTGCTTTAGAGCTAAAGCATTCATTTGCAGAATTAGCCCACAGTGTGATTGACATAACTTTCTACTCTTTCTATCCATTGTGCCATCGTTTCTTCTATTATAGAAAAGGGATTCAACTTTTTATATCACATTGAAAAGGTAGTGGGTGGACCCGAGATTTTTGAGCCTTACATGAAGGCTCATGTACAGCGTTTTGCATCCACTTCAATTTCCACTGAAGATTGGAAACAATTTTTATTCGAATATATGGAAAAGACACATGGCTCCTCCATGATGGATAAGCTCAACACCATTGATTGGGATGCTTGGATCAACCAGCCTGGTATGCCGCCTGTCGATCCTGGATTTGATACATCTCTTGCGGATGCTTGTATTGACTTGGCGAAACGTTGGAATCAAGCGCGTGATAAAGAAGATCTTTCAGAGTTTTCTGGCAAGGACATTCAAGACTTTACAGCTGGACAGAAGATTGTATTTTTAGAAAAACTCACCGATGTTGCGCCTTTACCTCACCGTCTCATCAAAAAAATGGATGAACTTTACCAGTTTACACCAAACCATAACGCAGATTTACGCTTGCGTTGGCATCAGGTGTGCTTGATTACCAGTTACGAACCTATGTATCCAGAGGTAGTCAAGTTCATTACAGAACAAGGACGTATGAAATTTGTACGTCCGCTTTATCGTCTGCTTCATCATGCCAAAAATGGTTCTCAGTTGGCCGTCGATACTTATTTGAAGCACAAATCGTTCTATCATCCCATTGCCGCTCAGTTGATTGAAAAGGATATTGGCTTGATATAATTAGAGATGACAGCTGCTTGTGGAATAGAAAAAGAGTTGCATAAAAGAGGTTTTACACGTTTCTTATATGTATTAAACGCGGTATACAATTTCTTTTCATTAGACAAAGCGATGTGAAGATTACGTCAAAGGTGTTTTTATTGAGCATTTACAAAATTGCATCCAGTATTCTAATGCTAAATAAAAGAGTCTTTTGCTGTTTTTCGAGTCCATCTATTTTCACCTTTTTTCACTGAGCATTTTCTGAAAAAATGGGTTAGAATAAAATAACCTTAGGATCTCGAGTGGAAGAGAAGAAAAGCACTTAAGGATCAATTGAGCATTATCTTTAACCCATTAGCAATAGTATGGATGTCATGGATGAGTTTTTCCTGAAATGACAGGTTACATGATTATGGTAGACAATGCCCCAATTCATGTTTTTTAAAATAATCAAACCCATCTTGAACCCATTGTTATACGGATACGGATACGGATACGGATACAGATACGAATTGAATTGAATTGAAAGTGTGTGTGATTTTTTCAAAATACGGATACGGATACGAATTGAATTGAAAGTGTGTGTGATTTTTCCAAGATACGGATACGGATACGATACGGATACGATACGATACAGATACGGATACGAATTGAATTGAAAGTGTGTGTGATTTTTTCAAAATACCGATACGGATACGATACGGATACGATGCGGATACGGATACGGAATTGAATTGAAAGTGTGTGTGATTTCTTCAAAATACGGATACGATACGGATACGGATACGGATACGATACAGATACGATACGAATACGAATTGGAATTTGAAAGTGTGTATGATTTTTTCAAGATACGGATACGGATACGATACAGATACGAATTGAATTGAAAGTGTGTGTGATTTTTCCAAGATACGGATACGGATACGATACGGATACGATACGGATACGGGTACGAATTGAATTTTCTTTTTTCTTTCGAAATAATGACCGAAAAAAATTTAGACATCCTTCCATACAACTACAGACCAGGCACTGATTTAATCAGTAAAATGGTACTAACCGACAATCAAGTCATCAACATGTTAATGAAAACTCTAGTACCTGAAGCGGCAGAAGACCATTATGTTGCAGCACTGACGTGTTTGGTGAGATAATAACTACAATACTCGAGTACGTACAACCAGGTAGAGAATACATTCTACCACGGTCTATCTATATTGCATCTAATATAGGTTATGTACAACATAGAACAAGATATAGGCCTAAGTATAATAATCACCAATAAGCATCTGAACCTGAAATTAGTGACTAGCATACGCGTCCTCAAATAATATAATTCCCATTAAACCTCACAAAGTAAATAATCCTTCTACTTCATCTGAAGAATAATAAAGGCACCTAAGTTCATAGTCATCGACTTACAACTGTTATCAATTTTTTAAATAAGCAAATACAACAAGCACCAACGGAGTTTATAAACAAAAACAAATGCGATGTCCTTTATGCTCCTCACAATCCTTTAAGTACATTTCCACCTGTATTTATTGAAGTGCAAAATCAAGTGGACGAAAAATTCTTGGTACGTGCCGTTCATTACAGTACGCTGATATACGCACGGTACAATAAACACCCTATTTTATTGATAATTGGAGTTGCGAGTGTGACGGCGTCATTTATGAGTAAGACGGTAGCAGATAGCGACTTCTCCTTCGCCAAGCAAATACCATGTATAGGCTGGGCAAAACGCTGCCTCGTGATGGCATCTTCAACATTAAACATAACCCAACATAACATCGAAGAAGAATTACACCCTTTACAAGCATTAGGTTATTTCATTTGCTCACAAGCAGTGTCAATTAGCCTTTTGGAGTATGGAAAGAATGACAAAACGGTGAAATTGTTATATTCAATTGCACATGCCAACCTTGAGCAATTAAGTGGAGAAGAAGAAGAAAAGCTGGAAGCGATTAGGAACATTTGTAACAGTAGTCAAATGCAGCTCCAAAAGATAAAGGGATGCCTCGAAAAAGGAGATGAAGCTTCAAAAGAAAAGGCATTAAGCTATGTGGACGATACTTTGGAGTTCCTACGACGACAAAAAAGAAAATACTGCGAAACTATTGAAACAACGCCTATTGAAGAAACTCCTCCATTGGTTTATTTAAACAAAAAAAGGCAGCCAATTTCTGTTGATCTCAATGACGAGCAAAAAGCTGAGCTATATCAATTTGTACAACGTTTTAAAAGTATTGAATCAGGGAGAACCAACTGGAAGAAGTGCTTTCAGCAAGGACATCTCGATAGCATACAGGCAATCAAGCACTTTAAAACTAGTGAAAGTTTAAGATGTCATTATAATAGATTCTTTAAATAAACAAAAAAAGATTTTATTGTTATCGTCATAAAACTACTGTTTTTAAACATTTATTTTGTTTATAAGCCATCATTAGATAATATGACTTTATCATTGCTTGTAATAGCAATTATAATATCCAATAAAGGATGGTATCCTACTTTACTCTTGTTGTGCCTATCATCCTTTGATGACACTAATATACACTGCCTTGCCCAAAACGCACACGGTATTTCTCTAAGGAATGGCGACTCTTGGTGTTGCGAGCTTTGCTCGATAATGTCTTTATCAAGTTGCTGGACAGCAATGATTATACAAATAGGAAGAGTGTTATACATTTCAAAAATATTGGTGCATTGTTGGATGATTTGATTGAATTTCGTATCATCAAAGGTCTCAATGGTGTTGATAACTATGGGTGGTAAACTATTTGGAGGATCATGTGGAATATATAAGACATTACACACGCCTTTATGTATAAATTCTATTGGTTCAATAACATATGAACCTTTTGGTGCTTTAACAAGAGTTTTGGCTATAATGTCAATGATTCGTTCGTCAGTCAAAATGATCTTGCTAATCAAGTCAATTCCAGGAAAATATTCAGTTGGGACTACAAAATTACTAGAATCTTGATCACTTTCATCTAAAATATTTCCATGTGTGTAAGAAAGAGAATATTTACATTTACATTTCTACAATATATTTAACCTGTTATTAGCATAATTGCTTTGGAGTTTCCTACAAGATATTGAAGAAAAGAACGATGGATCCTCAGGTGAAAGGATAATTAGGTTCTAAGTAAAAAATAAACTTAGAACTTAGCGAGTATTATTGGTTAATCAAATTCAATTCGTACCCGTATCCGTATCGTATCCGTATCCGTATCTTGAAAAAATCACACACACTTTCAAATTCCAATTCGTATTCGTATCGTATCTGTATCGTATCCGTATCCGTATCCGTATCCGTGTCGTATCCGTATTTTGAAGAAATCACACACACTTTCAATTCAATTCAATTCGTATCCGTATCCGTATCCCTATCGTGTCCGTATCCGTATCTTAAAAATCACACACACTTTCAAATTCAATTCGTATCCGTAACCGTATCCGTATCTTGAAAATCACACACACTTTCAGCAGCAGTAAATCTAGAAAAATGTTTATTTCTCAAAAATGCATAGCATCGGAGAACCAAAAGGCCCTGATGTATTTTTTTGGGAGTTTTGAAGCCCTTACCCCGCCCTTGCTGTTTTATTGCTTTTAATATAGAAAATTCAGCACTTTCAACCTTTTTCTACATTTAAAATTCTGAACCGATTAGAAAAATGCATCGTGTTAGACCAAAGGGAGTGAGCAGCCGTGTATACCCTGCTACTAAAAGTATCAAACCTCAAAATAAAATAACGAAATGGAATATTGTTTCTGGTGACAAGGTGGCCATCATTGCCGGACGGGACAAAGATACGATCGGTGAGGTGAAATCAGTGGATCGTAAAACGAATACACTTTTTGTGGAAGGAAAGAAATTGGTAGAGTTCCATTGTGATTTTTTGACTGACATGAAGTTGCGAGTCTGACCTGTATGATCTGAACCACCTTGTGGTAAATGATAGGCAAAGAAACATGTACCTATGCAACCTGCTGCCCCTGAGGGTATTGTGAGGAAAGAGATGCCAATTCACTATTCCAACGTCATGTTATTACATCCAGATACACAGTAAGAGCAGTGAGCATAGATGAACCTACATGATTGACTGTTGTCTAAGACCTTTTATTATTATTATTATTATTATTATTATTATTACAAGATTACCTACTAAAATTGATAGACGCAAAGTATCGAAAACTTTGGAGGATGGACGTGTTATCACACGTTGGTCGAGATTTGTAAAAGGAACAGATATTGAAATCCCCAAACCCTTTAAAAAATACAACGATATCGTTCAAGATGAGAAGTTCACTACGACAGCGGATGAAGTACTCAGAGTAACCTACACTTCCACACCAACGGATGCAGCACAGCCTCCGTTTCCCCAGGAACTAGTAAAAGAACTCAGAAATGTTCATAAAAAGAAATTGATTGTCCCATTAGACACCCATGAGAGCTCCACGACCTCATCACCTACCACACCCACAGCAGGAAAAGCAAAAGTATCACCATCCACCTAAACAATGACCCTAGCTTTGTATCGCCAATAGCTAGATGTTGTTTCTCATTTCTTTCACTTTTTTTTTTCCCCTGTACAGTCTTTTATTGTAATTTTTGTCTCGTTTAAAAAATTATCTAGAATAAAAAAACTTTGGAAATAGTGTCATGACTCTTCCAACGACAACAGAAGCGGTGATGATTATGATGAGAGCCTCCATTTGGAATACGAATGGTTCGTTCTAAAGCTCTTCCATAAATCAAATGCTTGGTGCTTTCAGATATTCTTATTCATTCAGTACGGCCGCTGTTTCAAATATATATATAAAGGTGAGCATGAGCTTTTTCCTCAGAGCTCAGTGTAAGCCTTTTGAAAAGGGGCCGTCGTGAAAAAGAAAATCATTTGAAATGAGATGAATGTTTGGACCCCACTTCATAACACAATTTTTCTACCAAAAAAAAGAAAAAAAAAAAAAAAAAGACCTTGGTTGTTTTTAGCAAACGAAAAAATGACCATGTATGAGAAATGGATCTAGACAACAAAGTATCTTTATAAAGCACTCATTCATATGCTTAGGCCATAGGAGTATAAATAAACTTCGAAAGAGCCACGAATTGAAAAATGAAAAACAACAGCAGTAAAATGAGAGAGCAGCTGTCGCTACAGTATGTATTTATGTGGATTCGTCCATGTTTTTACTGAGGATATTTTCCGCATAATGCTTCATTCCGTTGGCATATCCGAGCAAAGTGGGTTTGAACAACACATCTGTAACACAACAGGAACCCATGATAACCTCATAGCCTATCCACTAGCTGCCGCATCAGATGATGTATTCGATACCTTTGTCCCAAGCATCCTCACAGGCGAATCGTTGACCATGCTTTTGGGATACATCACAGCAAGTTAGAAAGAGCTTACAAGGGGAAAATGCCTGTCATGGAAATAGAGATCAGGACCAAGGCTTTAACACCCATAGGTGGATAGAAAGATTTGAATTTATTTGGTAAAATAATTGGAATAATAAGAGTATTGATATACAGTATAAGAATAAATAAGAAAAAAAGGGGGGTGGGTGTATCTTGTGCTTTAATGATGGACACAGACGACGGATTTGGCGTCTTCTTTCGGTAAGCATTTGACCCAACATTTGGTAGAGCAAAAGCGCACTCTTCGCACGACGGCTGGATGGCCTCCAAAACTCTTGATTTGAACCGAGGTGACCCATTCATTGACAAAGGGTCCTTGGCAACAGGAGCAATAGCGACATTTGGTTCTGCCCGTGACAATATCTTTGGCTAAATGGACAGGCAAGACATCGATCGAGGGCAGCACATCGATACCCTGTTGTAAAACAGTCCTGGTCGCTAGTTCTCGCAATGAATGGAATAAATTGGTTTCTTTCGGTAGGGTGGGCTGCTCGATCTGCTTTCTGTTGTTGTGAGTGGTCGATGCTGCCGATGGATCCAAAACATAACAGTAATCCGAGGTCAAATGACTGGAATCAGCAAGGATGGAAGAACGGGAGAGTCGAAGAAGGTCATGGTTCGATAGATGGCTATGGGGTGGGTCTCGTGATGATGCTTCTTCTTCTTCTTGTTCTTGTTCTTGTTCGATCATGCCAAAGAATTCTTTTCTTCCATAATAGGAGGGTTGAGGTGCAGGTCGCGATCCGTCGATATTTAATTTTCGTGCATGATAGGAGAGTTCGTGGTCAATGGATGCATCTTCGTCTTGATACAAATGAGGAGAGAGTAAAGGATAAGAGGAGGGAGGAGGTATGTCTTGAACAGAGACATGAGGAAGGAGTGGAGCGTCATAGGAGGGAGCATCACATTCTGACGAGGGGGGTGTGGGTGGTAGCGAACCGATCGATGGAGGCGAATCGACTCCATTGGATAACATCGATGACAATGAACCGGTACTCTCCTCGCTATCGGAACGAAGGGAGCGTAAACATCCAGTGCCTTTGGGACCGCAGGGGTCTTCCTGGTGAAATACAGCGGTGGTGGGAGAAGAAGAGGACAAGAGGGCGGAAGAGGAGGACGACCGGGGTAAACCCAGTTTCATCATGCGCTTCAAGACTTGAGCATAGGCATTTTGGCCTGGGACTTTTTGATCACAATGGCCAGGTCTTGTGAGGGGGTTTCCTGTAATCAAGATATTGGAAGACTGCATTCTTTCCAATATTTCGGCAGGCATGATGCAAAGCAGGTTTTCACTGATATCCAGTAATTCCAAATGCTTGAGGGACACTAAATCGGCGGGTAAACTCATCAAATGGTTGTTGGAGAGGTTGAGGGATTTTAAATGGGAGCATTGAGTGATGGATTTGGGTATAAAGTCGAGCTGGTTGTGGGAGGCATTCAGTATTTTCAAGGTGGGGATATGGAAATCATGTGGTAGATATCGGAGTTGGTTATAAGATACATCGAGCTCTTCTAGCACGGGCATGTCTGCGATACGATCGGGTATGTGGGTCAGCCTATTGCCACCATAAACAGAACCTAATTGTAAATGACGCATATGTTTCCAATAATCTAATCTATCAGGAAATTTTTCGACTGAATTAGCAGCGATACGAAAAGTAACAAGGTTGGGTAAGCGTTGAGGGATATCCTCGGGTATCTCTTTGATTTGATTTTGCGACAGGATCAGTACTTCCAATTGTGTCAAGGAAGACAGCGCTTCGTGCGGCCATGTGGCCAACTGATTCGACGAAGCGTTGAGGATGCGAAGATGGGTGAAATGAGCCACTTGTTTGGGAATGTCGGTGAGTTGATTCCTTGAAATGTCCAGCTCGACTATTGAATTTTGAACTGAATTTAACGGTTTCTCCAAATAAGAGGTAAAGGGTAGAATAAGGTTCTTGAGTTCTTCTTCGAGCTGATGTGTCGTCAGTGCTCTTCGTCGTAACATCAGTAGACCGCTCCCTCCTGCTACAGCCGAAGCGAGTGAAAAAAACAAAGAGTTCGCAGGACATGGTGCACTGTTTTCACGATAGACTTGACTGTAGTCGATAAGAGGGTCCTTGTATTTCTTTTTCATTTTATGATGCCTCTTTGTTTTTCTTATATGGAGACCGAGTGGCGCCAGCGCTGGATCATCGATGCAGGATTCGATGTCAGAAAGGATCGGTGTATTATAGTGCGGTAGAAAATATTGTAGAGGTGGTTGTTTGTCTGGAGGCAAGACACCTGTTAGAAGCTTGCCTTCTAATAGATTGGGTATATTGAAAGGCATTGAAGAGGCTTCCAATCTCGTCAAAAAGTGGAAAAAAAAAAAGAAAAAAAAAAAAATCAACAAGGAATAAACAAAAAAGAAAAAATATAAAGAGAGTTAGAGAGGAGTGCCAATCTGATAAAACAAATTTTTATCAGATTTTTTTTTTGTTTTTCCCAAACTTTAAAAAAAAAGGCTGGAGCCCCCCCCCTTAATTGGCTTTATCAGATGTAACTTGACAAAAATATGTAATAATAAACTTTTTACTATTTTTTTTGTAGATGTTTTTTTAAAGTAGAAAGTAATGCTTCGAGAACGAGATGGAGCAGACGATCTCCCTTGTTGAATTATCATTTGATTTTCCTTTACATTTTTTGGGTTACAGCTATTCGACAGCTCATTCTTTTATTGGATTTGTTTCTTCGGGGTTGTTGACTACCCCTATGCGTAAATGTTGACGCGTTTTTGTTACATGCGTCCTCCAAGCAAAAAGTACGTGACTGACTCAGATCGGCCCATTTGAAACCAAGCATTTTTAACAAGGAGCCAGCGCTCCACTTTTTTTACAAATTGTCGTACGATAAACTCATTTCTCACAGTGGATGAAGAGGGTTACCATAGCAACCCTAAAAAAAAAAGGCAGTATTCTTTTACGCTTTGCATAGAGGTTCGTTTTCTTTGTCCAACGGGATTACATACACCATGGCAGACGACCAAGAGTACGGCTGTACACGATGCATGTCGATGATGAACAGGATATTGTCGGAGTGACTTGCAGCAAATCTTTTTTTCAGCAATCTAGGCTAATCATTAGAAAAGACTTTCAAATCTCATACAGCTATGCATTTATGTGTACCACAGCATGAATGAAATATGTGTGATGCCAAGACGCAGTCGATTTACGAAATGGATGTCGGTAGTGTACAAAGTTTTTCTTTTTTTTTTTAATTTATAATGTATATACAAATAGGGGAGGGAATGAGAGTCATTATTTTAGTATGTCTAGATAGAAATGAAAGAAATAAGGTATAATGCCAAAAAGGTGGTCTTTTTTTTTGGTACATGATAAGAACAGGGCTATGTAAGTATATAAGTGTATTATAAGTGTATGTAGAAGGGTTGCTGTTGTATAGGTATAGATAAAATAATAGATAGAATATATATTTTTTCTTTTATTTGGCTTTTTTCTGAGGGCTATGAATATAGCCATTAGCGAAGATTGACAATGATATGCATCCATTCATGATGGTGTGTGGCAAAATGCGTACTGAGCCATTTATAGACAAAAGAGCCATTCATTCTCACCAAAAGACGTTCAGTGCAAATGGGGCAGGTAACATAAGAGTACCGATGACCTTGAGAATGGCCAACATTGACAATGCTATTTCTCAAGGAGGATGCCCTATGGGCACTATGAACCACTTGAAAAGTTTGGGTAGCGGTGGTGGTGATGGTGGTGATGGTGGTGGTGGTGGGGGTGGTGCCACCCCTCCTTTGACCACTGCTCTTGTGTTGTTGCGCAGTATCATTCAAAGGTTTGTTTGTGGAAGAATGGAGAGCCTTCTTTGTCTTTTGCCTATATTGACTGTCCAGCAAGGGTTGGGAAGAAGGCAAGGAAGTGCTGCAAGACATTTTCCTTCAGCTACTTGATAAAAGAGAGAGGGAAAAAAAAAAGAAAGGCTCCAAGTAGGATCCATTCTTCAAATCGTTGTCGTTTTTATATTAGACATGGTTTTATTAAAAGTAGCACCAAGTGGCTCAATCGAACAAAAAGGTGAGCTTCCCCTGACTTGCACAATACTGAACTTGCGCACGATCACCACCCTCACCTCGCAAGGGACAATGCTTCATAATGACACCTTTCTATTTTGCGGCTAAACTTGATCTGGTACACAAAGAAAAGGGCATACCACAAAATCGTACACTAAAACCGTTGTGCATCACTGATGGAATGCTGTGGGGGAGGCGCATTGGCCATCTATTTTTAAACCTGTTACTAAAACGACTCTTTCCTGGATTTTGTAGATGACTTAAGGACCCAGACGGAATAGGTGTTGAAAAAGTGTATGCCTGTCTGCATTTCCTATAGATCCTTTTCAAGAGGATGCGTTTTTATGACCATGATAACTTTATAAAAAGCACATTTGCGTAAGTAGGCTACTAAAAAAAATGAAAGAAAAAAGTTGGCATGGCCAAGTTACACATCATCGTGTGTGTGTCTTGTTTAATTCACTTGATAATGCGCAGTGATGTCTCCTTTTTATGGAAATGGCTCTTCCATAGTCATCACACAAAAAAATAAAATCAAGGGAGCCAAGCTGGCTAGTCTCTTTTTGACCTATATTCGGTAACCTGCCCGTGCCTTTTGGTACTACCTAGACAAGTGACACGAAGCGTGCCATTGTCGGGTCTACTACTACTACTGGGAGTGGGATGGTAGGCCACACTGTACAGGAAGAAGAGATGGATTGACAGAATAGAGAGAAAAGAATGAATCAAGACCTACAAAAGTTGTTGAGGGGCAAGGGACAAGGAATCAAGAAAGAGAAAAAAGCTCAAGTATCGATTTATTTGATCTCATTCTGACACCAGTTGGCGTCAATACATCCTTCCCCTCTTTCATAGGCACGTGATGGAGGAGAAGTGTAGTACTGCGCAGCGGCATCCAATAAATAATAAAAAGTATGGATTAGGGTAGTTTTATTCCGCTCAACTGTTCAAGGTACTTGGATTTGGTGGTAAGACATTCCAATGGTTCCTTGGACGAACAATAGAGTTTCTCGCAGACTTTCTCTGCTTGATAAGACTAAATGGATGGCATTCAGGGTCAATTTTTTTTTTTTTTTTTTTTTTTTTTTTTGTTTTGCAGTGAAAGAGAACAACACAAGACTTACATTTTCATCATAGTAAACAATAGGTTGCCAATCCTCATCTTCCGCATTTCTTACAGCCATGGAATACATATTTTTTCTCAAGGTGCCCTCACGTTCTGCATTCTTGACGGACACTTGCACGGATTGCACCGTGCCAGGCTCTGTTGAACGTTTCTTTTCCTCTTGTTTTTCTACATCCTGAATACGCTTGTTGGCTGCTTTCCACTTTTCGTCAATTTTATCAATGTATTTGAATCCCGGTCTCAATTGGATCGTTGTGCGTATCGGCGTAATGTGAAGTGCTTCGTCGCGGATGACACCAATCGCATATTTTGTTTGACATGGCACTTGGACGGACGTGAGTGTCATTTTGTCCAGGAGTTCGTCTTCTTCTTTTTTAGTTTGTCGCGATCTGCCATAGCCGCTCAATTCTTCTTCGTGTTCTTCCATACGACGATCGTAAGCGGTTTTAAATGTCTTGTCATTGAGACCCATGGCAAAATCTTCGCCTCTTTCTGTGCTGTAATGCGGCGATCGGGTATCGAGAGGTAGATCGAGTTCGACCATTTTGGCTTTGGGCTTTAAACGTGCTGCTGTAGGACCTGTTTTGTTGTTGAAAGGCGTTGATCGCATGGGATATTGAAAGAGATAAAGATATTGACTGAGTTCTGTGGATAAATAAATAGGGTATTCGGCGAGGATCTCATCCTCTTCGTCGTCCATGAGGTGGTGATGATTGTTCTCGTTCATTAGGGTTGTTTTCTAGAGTTCAAAAAAGATGGAAAGAAAAAAGTCCACTGAGGGTCCGTTTTCCCCGAATGGGCCACTAGGAAGGTGTGGCTTTGAAAGTCTTTTTTTTTATTTTATGATTGAGTTTTAACTTTTTTTTTTCAACCGTTCGCATAAAGCACACCTTCTTTTTTTTTCCTTGATTGATTTGCTAATATGTATTAATGTTGACGTTCCATCATGCGGAAATGGTGGATAGAAGAGGGCAAAGGGAAATACTCACTCATCCTAAAGAGGACGGGCAATAGGGGCGCGCATTTGGATGAGAGGCAAAAGAAGAGAATGAGCCAAGCCTATATTTTACCTTCCGCTCGACAATAGACTTTATGATTGCACCTCGACCTATTTTAAATGGAAGCTCTCCATGGCAATCTTTCGTTGAAACGTCTGAAAATCAACAATGGCAAAAAACAATAAAGTAATTATTTGCTGTTCACAGACCCCTCTTTTTTTGGCGGCACTTTTTGCTTCAAGGGCTGAGCTTGAGGACATCCTCTTTCCATCCTAGCATCATTGACTGGGACAATAGGATAGCTGGGTCATGTCTATAAGCTTGAACCCTAATGTATCTTACGCCCAAGCCCAAGATATTCTTGATCTTGAGAGCCATTCTCTTTTTAAAAAACAAGGCTGCCGGAAACTGATCCTCCATTGTGGATCGTGCAATGGATCATATACGTTAGGTAAAGATAACCTAATAAAGCGGAATGATATCACTTGACAATGCAACATGTCGCGTTTCTCCATTTGATCTTTGCAAAAGGAGAGTGATCCGTTGAAAAAGATACTGGATGGACGTCTGCAACATATCATCCGCATCCTTATCCTATAGATCATCCGATATCACATCATAATAACTCTTGACAAGGAAAAAATCGACTGTTTCTTTTGTTGTTATTTGAACCATTTTCCTTTTCATTTTGGCGAAACAAAAAAAAAAAAAAAAAGAGAATAGGTTTCAAATTAATATTTGATTATTTTTTTTATTTTTTTTTTTTTCTTTTAGCGCTGATGTTGAGTTTACAGCTCAACATTTTTTTTTTTTTTTAACGGGCCATCTAAGCAAAAAAAAAAAAAAAAAAAAAAAAAAAAAAAGTGTGTGTATGAAAAACACTTGGAGTCCGATGAGGGTTCCTCCCTCTCCCCCAAGAATGAATCCATGTTTGGGCTTTTTTACAGCGCACAATAAATAATCACAGCTTACTCTTTCCTTAATTGTACAATTGTTATAGGACTGTATAGGTGGGCTCCTCCATTGTGTGTGTGTGTATGTGCCATTTTTTCTATCTTATCAACAGGATCAAAGACCCAATTGAGCTCAGCCTACCCCTTTTTCTCTTTGTCATAGATGGAAAAAAAAGAAAAAAAAATTGCAGGACTCTCACTGAACACAATACGTGTTACAAATCTTTAAATTGCATTAGAATAAAAAGCTTAAACTTTTTCTTATCTTCTTTTTTCATGCGCGCGCGCAACAGAAACCTGACATCGTTTTTTTTTTTTTATAGTCTAAATTAGCTTTTTTTTTAAAGACAGCGCTTACATACGAACATGATGAAAGAGTAGACGGGGGTGCAAAAGAGAGGGTCCCTGTGGCAAAGCTCTATCAAAGGCACCCACGCTATAAGCTAAAAAGTTTTTTTTTTTTTTTTTTTTTTTTTTTTTTATTAATTTCTGATAGAGAAAGCCCCGATAGACGGTGCGATGAGCGCAAAAAGTGAGCGAGGGGAACCCTCTTATTTCAATTCCAGACATGGACTGATATGGCATTTTTGATACGGATGACTGACTGTTGTGGTAGGGTGACAATGATCCTCTCTGCTCTTGTTCTGCTCAGCCCGTAACGATAGAATTTTCCCCTAATGTATTTCATGCTCTTTACACTGTCTGTGGGTGCATTCGATCACATGCAGCCTTTTCAATGGCCTAAGCTCTTGTTTTTTATATAGGATCTATCCCATTTACCAAAAAAGGGTAAACATGGGTTGGTACCTTTATCAGGAAATTCAAAAAATACGGCTAAAGTCGAATACATACGTCATGCAAAAAAAAAAAAAAACCAAAAAAAAAAACCACAGTAGATAGAAGCTCTAAAGAAGGCAAATATGATAAAGTCACAGAATGAAACCACCATTTTTTTTTTTTTTCATAAAAAAATGTCTTGGTCAAAAGTTTCGATAGGCCCCTTTTTCATTGGTGGGTTTTGGTTCTGAACGGACTTTATTTGACATAATTAAACGTCTTTGAAAATCATGTAAATTATAAAAGAAGTACTCCACCTTTGGGCTTTGGATCTTTCTTTTTTTTTTTCCTTTTTCAAATTTTTTCTTTTTTTGTTTGATACTCATCTCTATCAATCATTATTTCATCTTTAAATACAATGTCTGCAGTTAAACAAAGAGTTACTATCATCGGTTCTGGTAATTGGTATGTTCAAAGGACACGAAGGACGGGTCGCTACACAAAAACAAAAAAATCATGCAACGTTTGGATCTGTCAATAGTCAGTTGTAAAAAATCTAATCATTTTCAATCTATTGATTAGGGGCTCCTCCATTGCTCGCGTTTGTGCTCAAAATGTCAAGAAATTCCCCGACATCTTTGAACCTGAAGTGCGTATGTGGGTCTATGAAGAAAAAATCGACGGTCGTAATTTGACCGAGATTATCAATGAAAAGCATGAAAATGTGAAATATCTTCCTGGCATCAGTCTTGGAGACAATGTGCGTGCCATTCCTGATGTGTGTCAAGCTGCCAAGAATGCCAATATCCTTGTTTTTGTCTTGCCTCATCAATTTGTGTACAAGGTGTGCGAATCTCTTCGTGACGTGATTGACAAGGATTGCAGAGCTATTTCTTTGATCAAGGGTTTGGATTATAAAAACAACAACTTGCTCATTTTCTCTGAAGAAATCGAAAAGATCTTGGGTGTCAACTGTGCTGCCTTGTCCGGTGCCAACATTGCTAGTGAAGTCGCTGAAGAAAAGTTTGGTGAAACCACCATTGCTTGTAAAGATCCCAAGGACGGCGAAATCTTTGTTAAGCTCTTCCATACAGATTACTTTGATGTCAACGTCATTGGTGACTGGAGAGGTCTCCAAGTCTGTGGTGCTCTCAAGAACGTGGTGGCCCTCGGTGCTGGTATCTCTGATGGTCTCAACTATGGTAACAACACAAAAGCCGCCATCATCCGTCGCGGTTTGCTTGAAATGAGAAAGTTTGGCAAGACTTTCTTTGGTGGAGTACACACTGAAACATTTTTCGGTAAGTAAAAGAGAGAATGTGTCTATGTGTGTGTTGATGTGATAGGGGGCCATTGGGTGGAAGTGTGTGTGTTTGTTGATGGTTGTATGGCATAAGCCTCCTCCCCCGTCTTCACCGCCTTCGCTGCCTGCCTGTCTGTGGAATCTGGGAGTTGGATTGTCTGGGTTTGTAGCTGACAAAATAATACTTTTTTTATAGAATCGTGTGGTGTCGCTGATCTTATCACGACTTGTTCTGGTGGTCGTAACAGAAAGGTGGCTGCTGCTTTCATCTCTTCTGGCAAGACCATTGATGAAATTGAAAAGGAAATGTTGAACGGTCAAAAACTTCAAGGTACAACCACTTCACAAGAAGTCTATCACTTTTTATCCGCCAGAAACATGACACAAGAATTCCCTCTCCTCACTGCTATTTATCGTGTCATCTATGAGAAGGCTCCTCCCGAAAGCATTGCTCTTGATCTCCGTACTCGTTTAAACGAGTAAAGAAATTCTTATCAAAAACATGGATCTACTTGACGCGTTGTAAAAAAACTTTTTTAATTATTCTAAATGTTTATATCTCTTTTTTTTTTTTTTTTTTTCTCTATCTATTATACATAATCCATCACACATACTGTCTCCCCTCTTTTTGTCTTTTTAGGGCAAAATACGATTATACATAAGAATATCAACACATACACACCCTTTCTCCCTCTCTCTTTTTTCGCTATAATTTCTCGTTCTTGTTATTTTGTCCTCCCCCCGTTGTAATTGAATATATACAATTATTATGTATCCATTAAATGTATAAAGAAATTTTTTTATTGTGATTTTTTGTATTTTCCAGCCTTTTTTAAATGAGGAATGCGTCATCCATCTATCTAAATCTAAAAAATGTTTTCATTTTTTTTTTTTTTTTCTGATGATTGATAAATCTGAGCAAATCTGAGACAAATTTCATGGAAAGGTTTTAGCAGTCGAACCATCCTCAGACCCATTCTCCTCAATAGAGTCCCACTTTCTAGAAAAAAACCCAAGATCGATCATGCTGATAGTGATAGAAACACGTTTCTAAGAAAGACAATAGATGGACGAGAACGATGGCAAGACTTTACCTGACGCGTCGTGTTGGAAAAAGTAATAGCAATGACTAATAAAAAAAGTTTAGAGTTGCATTAACGTTTCTATTTAGATTCACATTACACAAAAAAAAAGGTTTTTCATCTGCAGAACAATGGCATTGACACAGAAAAGCTGTCATGGGAATGGGCCAACCTTATTTTTAAGCAATTCAAGCCTTGAAAAAGCGGTTGAACCCTTATGTAATATTAAATAGTAGTACAGAGCGTCCATGGCTCTCTTTCACATGACAATAACGTGCGCTTCAGGTACCCAGGATCTGCTCCAACAATAGACCCAAGCTTTGACCCATTCTTTTACCAAGGCGGGGCACAGTTCTAGCAAAAATGCCTCAGACAGTGGAGTTCACCAAGAGGAGCAATGACCTCTTTCTCTTGTTGGGTCGCGACGGTAGTAATGAATACTGCTTATGCATGGACAGAAAACAAAATGGAGATCTTGCTTCCTGGCAGTCCTGACTTTAGCATAAGACGATCAATGTATCCATCGCAATCCATCCATGGAAATTTTCCATTATTCAGAAAATCTTATAGGCCCGTGGTGTCAACTCCGCGAAAAAAAAGGTCTCAAACATGGCCGGTGCGGAAATCAATTGAATCTTTCTTTTTTTTTTTTTCTCATTAAATCAATGCATCAGATCTTGAAAGATAATTTACACTCGGAACACCCAAGGGGAAATCATCCTGAACGTGAACAATAGAACACGCTTGTAGAATGCAGGCGGAGTAAAAAGTCAGAACGGGATCAACCTCCTACATGCGCCCTCGCTCTTTTGCAACCATTCGATCCAGTGCAAGTTGGAGGCATAGGATTACATCCTACTTGTAGCCTCGAAGCTCTATCGTATTTTTAGTGGAGGTTGGGTTCACTTTCTGATCATGATGGAAGCAAGTGTGAGCCGTTCTTTCGCTCAAAGGGTCAGCAAAACCCACTACTCAACGAATGCGTCATCCATGGATGATTGCCATGCAAACTATACTATCTATAAAGATGTCCTGAACACGAGCAGCACTTGCCATGAATGATCCTTCTTAATGATTGGAAGAATGCTTCTACCGTGGTCTATGGTTCTATTGGATCACGAAAACAAAAAAAAAAAAAAAACCACAAAAACTGAGAGTAGCCGATAGACACATAGGAACGATTATAAATCACTTTATGAAGGACAAAGATGAAGGGTACCCTATTTTAAACTACTTATAACTCTTTCATAGATGAATACCCATCCTATGGGATGTTGAGAAATCGTACACCCAATGATACGAGATCCTTACACCTCCTTACTGCTGACATCATAAGAGGAGAGAATAAGTAATGCTTTTTATACGAGATGCCCTACCTCGTGTAAGGCTGAACAGGTTGTTCTATAGTTTACTTTTTCTACTACAATACGCTACTATACAACATGAAGAGTCTGCCTTGACATAAAGAATGAGCCAAGAGGATAGGCTTTCTTCATCCTTTCACAATAACTGTTCACTAGCACGAATACTATGGGCTTGCACAATAGTTAGTACGGGGAGGACTTGGTATTCATGTGATCTGGTGATGATGCAACTCCTCTATTTTCCCACTCGCGGTCAATACCTGGACTCCACAAAGGCGAATCCTGTTTATTTTACCCCTGAAAAGACGCGCGTCTTTATCGAGTAGAATAACTCAGTTTTGCAATATAAACAACCTATTTTCAAATTTTCGCAGTAGATGCTTCCTTTTTCTTCTTTAAGACTTTTTAACCTCTTACTAGTTTGATCTCGTTACGCTTTTTATTCCTTCAACAAAATGCTATTTAACTCTACACGTCGCCAAATACCTACGACCACCACCCTATACTATCAAGTCTTGAAGGGTGGCATTATCCACCATCGGATAAAGCTACCTCAATGGAAGGTCATCTTTATCCATGCCCTTTAACATTCTGAAAGCCCATGATGCCTTCCTTTACGATTCAGTAAGCAAAAAGTTATTATTATCTAATAAGCCATTGTATTGACAACTTTTTATTTTTTTTTTTTTTTTTTTCTGTTGGATGACAATAGGATTGCGAAGAAGACATTAAAGTAGTAGAGGAAGATGCTGAGTTGAGCATTTGGGAAATCTGGAAACAAATAACAAAGAAAATGCAAACAGAAGAAGATGTTGATAAGTACAGGTATACTTGCAAAATTTTCTCTAAAGTGATTATTCTTGTTTTCAGTTAATGGACAATTTTGTAGCTTGGAGCACCTAAACGTGATCCAGCTTGGAAACAACATACGATCCGAAGTGACAAAGAAGCATTATCCTCCAAATTTGATTGAAAAGACAGATGTGATAATCAAAGACATTCCCAACTTTTTCGTGTCAGACATACAGTACTACAATATGTTTTTTGATACATTGGTAATGAGGTTTTTTGCCTTGGATGATGAGTTTTTTCGATATTTACTATTCTATGCCGATGGATAGGTTCTCAATAACGAAAAGCTCACCAATGAATCATTAGCAGAGGAACACTTGACAGTTTTTCAATCAGAAAACCCCTTCATGAAATTCTTTTATGGGGTCATTTCAACGCTGTAAGTATTTGAAAAAAAAAAAATGATCATTGTAAAACTAAAAGTGTACTTAACTTGGCCTGCATTGTAGTGTTTCTGAAGCATTGGCTCAAAATTCTGACACCTGGCTGGGAACTCTGTTAGAACTACAGAGTTTTATGGCCATGGATGGAATATCCATGTCAAAGTATCTCAACAACAAATTTCCTGCCTGGTGAAATCCGCTTAAAAGCCATGTGTCAAGAATTGATACATTCTTCGCAGGTTAAGTCCTTCTACCATGCGGACGGCCTTCTCATCAACAGCAAACATGAAATAGAAGTTGCACTGATTGAAACAGCAGGGCCTTTCCAAGCTGTCGATATCCAAAAGGAGACAAGCGATATATAGTCTTGTCTCCCTATGGATATCGATATCTTATCCTAGTTCAAGTTACAGGTATGTAAACATGTTTAATCAACTTTATAATTTTTGCACATGCCCGTCCTCTCTTTCTCCAAGATCAAAAATAAGAGTATGGAAACTCTCTATGCCTTATACTGAGCTATACATCATTCATTGTATAGGTTCAGTTGAAATGCCAACATCTTTGCAAACATGCAAAGATAGAAAGTTGGTCAACTTGTTATGGTTCACTAAGGTTCGATTGGTTTGATTTAATAAAAAAGGATGGTGATATTGCGATTCTAACCCATATTATTTTAGGAATGTATTGAAGAATCATACAAGTTGATGAGTTGGAGGAATCAAATATAAAAAACATGAAACTAAAATGCACATACGGGTGGCCACTGATAGATTTTCCAATCAAAAACTATTTTTGATGAAAGCGATAGCTTTGAAGGCCTTTGAGAACCACACCATGAAAGGTTGTCTCGATAGTCGTAAAAACTGACAAAACTCGCTTCATCTAGCTCGACTTTCTCGGTTGTGTTTCGTTCATAAACCATTGGTCAAGTATCGATATTGGTGATGACAATGATTTGACAACGCGTACTTGATGCTGCTGAAGGCCATTTCTTAATTTAATAAAAAACAAAAACTGCCTACTGTTACCAACAGTGATTCTAAAGTGTAGATACTGTAGCCTATTTTATCGTATTCCTTGACAGTTTTCCTCACATTTTATCAAAATGCTTTCACCCTATTGGACTTGACTGGCTTTTATAGCTTTCAGAAAAACCACAAGATAGGTAGTACCAGAGGACATCCTAGAAATGAATTTACAATGACAATATTCTAGGACTGATATCTTGATGGTGTATTTGGAGCCCTTCCAATATAAAAGTAATCGGCACTCACTCAAAATGCATTTGACAGTGCACCTGAAAATGTGTCGTTTTGTCGATTTGACTCAGTCTGACTGATATGACCATCAAAGGTCTGCAGACTTTGCTTGTTCCACTTTATGCTGCGTTCAAAATAGTGTATACTGATAGAGTAAGGCGGCGAGTAGTATCTGACCTTGTAAGGGAATTGAATGTATATACAGTATCATCTATCATATCATTACAAACATCTTTCATTAAAAAAGCTCAAGTGTACTCCATCAGAAAGCAAGTAGAGCTGGAGAATGGACAAACTTGGGTCTACTTTAATACGAGCTGTCCTAAAACTATGGCTATAGGAACTATGTTCCAAAATTCTATACGTATGTTTTCTGTAATACACAGAGATGCATTTCGATGGTATGTCATTCATCATTTTACCAGCTATAAAATACTTGAAGGCATTGAGACGCTTTCCTCTCTTTATCTATCTTTTATCCTTCCCTTCGCTATAGTCGAACGTTATATTCAAATTCCTAGAGAAAAGATTTAGCCATTCGCTTGGCACGTAAAAAAGTCAGTAGGATGAATTTGTACGGTACTTACTGTGTCTACTGGTGTATTTTGAGCGATCCACAATACAAATGTACTAATAGGACCGAAATATCACAGGAGGATAGAGCCGTCAGTTATACACACCTTTTTTTAAATCCTCTTTCTGCTCTATCGTACCTTGACATGATTAATCCATTCTGTGCCACTACGGCAATACCATAATTGATATAAGGTTGTGCTGATTCCAAATGTATAATATACTTGATGATCATCGTACACTAGACCCACAACAAGTGGAAGGTGTCAATAGATATACATCATGTATCCGCTTAGAAAACAGAACAAGGGTTGACTCAATGACATTCAACTTACACAAGCTCCTGCAAATCCACCAGCCATCAGAGCAAATCCAAGAAACAGGAATAATCTGGCTTTCTGGATGATGCCTAGTTCACCAGCATAGGTATCATTACGTTTTAATGTCTCTTTATCGATCAAGTTGATCCTACATTTTTTTTTGCAAACAAAGTAAAGTATGAACGCGAGTCTTTCCTACATGTCAACTATGAATACGGATGATCCATACACAATCATGCCAAATGTAGTCAGTATGCCTGAAAACCAATCTTCAAAACCCATGTGATGTTCTCCATTGAGTTTTGAAGAGTTCATTACAGCGTCGATGAATATCCACCAACCGATCGCTAGCTATTTATTCGTCCATTTTTTGTAGTGTAAGAGAGAACAGGAGAGGGTTAATGTTCAGGGTGTGGGGGTGCTTTGACATTGGCATCCGGAACGTTTGAAACTATGCATTACCAAACCTCCTGCAAGGTAAACACCTATTTGTCTGCCTCTACGTGATAGATAGCGCAAAGGGTTTCGAAAGCGAAATACGGAAGGTTGATCATCGAATATATTGGATTGCATCGGTTCTAACTTTTATAATTAAAAAAAGATGGCAGAAATGAAAAAGGGAACACTTAAATATGGGTAACCTGAAGCTCGGTCAGCTCTATGAAAAAATACGGAAAATTGAAACAAAAATGACGTATACTGCAAGACCGTTGTTCCTTGTTTTTATTTTGTTTTATATTCATCAACAATGACAAGATAAGACTGTTCATTCCGGAAGCTTTTCGAAAGTTGATTGTTTTCAAAATAGCATTGTTCAGTAAGATATGAAAGGAGACGAAGGGTGCTTTACAACGGATGTCTCATGCCTATTGAACAAAAAGCTCAAAAAAGCTCTTTTATAGAATACGAAAAAGGGGGGGGGGTTCATCTCAGCCAACCAATGATCATGGCCACGCCCCGCTTTTATCATTTTATGCCCCTTGCTGAAGTGTTTCCCAACTGTCAAAATTTCCATTTACGCTACTTTTTCTTTACGGATACAAACACACACAATAATAGACTAGAATGGGAAAGCCTCCAACTTATAGTTTATCTCGAAAATTAGGACGCATGTCCTGGAACAAATACAACTTGTTCAACATTGCCACGAAAGAACTTCCGAAAATCAGTACAAAGACCTTGTACCAACAAAAATGGATCGCAAAAAGAGAGACTCGTGCCTATCACGGCGATGAGATTACTGAACGTCAATTCAAGAACAAATTCTTCGATCCTCGCTTACCTACTGTGCATCAGCCTAAAGAAGTCAACAAACGCCATCCTCCAGCTGCCACGCTTATGTATGGAGAGTTAGAACGTCGTTTGGATTTTGTTGTGTTTCGCTCCAATTTCTGTCCCTCTATTTATGCAGCCAGACAATTGTGTGTTCATGGAAAAGTATTAGTGAACGGTAAAAAGGTAAATGAAAAATGGATTGGAGCAGGATGGGAGAAGCTTCTGTTGTGCCTATCCTGTTCACTGTGATCACGCTGGGTAATTTATGATAGATGACATGCGTCTAACTTTCCTTCTTATGATCATCCCCACTTAGTTGGCTCATCCATCTCATAAACTGAAAGAAGGAGATATTGTTACAGTAGACCCTCATGCCATACAATTCTTGAAAGGGGAAATAGGACAAGAATTGGACTTTACACCCAAACCATTCTCGCAACCTTTCTTATTTGTACCAGAATATCTTGAAGTGAATTACAACACCTGCCAGACTGTATTCTTAAGAAAGCCGATTTCTCGACCAGGCCGTACGGAAATCCCATCGCCTTATCCACCCGAATTCCATTCTCTAGCTTATGAATACTACGCTGCTAAATAATAAAATAGAGAATGAAGGATGTGACAGAGATATTCTTTAAAACTAGGCTAAAGTCATTGCATAATAAAAATGGCTTCCTATTTATGTACTAAACAAGACTCGAGCAGTCGTCTCAATGCTTCCATAGGGATGGAGAGCAATACACCATCCATAGTGCAAGAAGTCAGTTGTAAGCGCAGAGATAAAGAGTAGCTGAAATTTCCTGAATGTTCTATAAAAATCGAAAAAGGTCATTTTTCTTTAAAAATACAACTTCCTCTTACTTGACCTTTTTTTTTTCTTCTTACTGTTATTTCTTCAGAAAGCTGAAAAATAAAAAAAGATGCCTTTGGATTATAGTAAATGGGATAACCTTGAACTTTCAGACGACTCAGACATTGAAGTTCATCCTAATGTCGATAAACGCTCCATGATTAAATGGAAGAGAGAGGCCATTCATCGTGAACGCGCCGAACGTAAAGCCAAAATGGATTACCTTGGCAAGTTTGTACCCACTCAACAAAAGGCTCTAAAGAAGGTACAAGAGCTCATTGATATGCTTCAAAACAATGACGATGACGAAAAGGGCATTCGTCTTGTGATGGACGTGTTGGATAAGCAGCAGCAAGAAGCGGCTGGTATGCAGCTACCTTCTTTACCTCCGCAACTAGAACAGCCCTCACAGCAGCAGGAACAACAACAAAAACCAATGGATATGGCACAAGTGTTTGCTGCCATGAAGGCTCAAATTGCAACAGGCTTGTCTCAAACAACACCTGCTGAAGTGAAAATAACATTACTGGAAAGATTTAAACAAACTGCTCAAACCATTGAAAAGACAGTGGAGGACTCGTCGAAAGAATTGAAAAAGTTACAAAAAGAAGCGAGTAAAAAGTTGACAAGTGAAAATATGTTTACATCCGAGAAAACGAGTAAAACAGTGAGTAGAATCCTATCTATGAACACGTTGCGCCAAGGATGATCATGTTTGTCTCATCAACATCCATTTGCTCTATATAGATCTTGAATAAACCAAAGCCTATACCATCTTCAACAACAAAGAAAACAGAAAAGAAAAAGGTGGTAGAGACACTGAACCCAGATGTCAAAATGAAAGATCTCTCCCTTGAAAACAAGATGACTGATCGTAAGGAGGAAGAAGAACAGGAGGAGGAAGAGGAAGATATCGACATGTCACCAAAAGCAGCACAGTTCTCCAAAATCAAGGGCTTTGAAGATAGTTTCAAGTTCCTTACCAACAATCCTGAAATCATCAACGAAAAGTCCTCTGATTCCATTCTTGGGCAAGCATTCACAGCACAGTTGAAAGGAGATGAAGAATATGCAAAGAATTGCGTTATACAATCTCTTACTCTTCAATACTGTGGTCAGTTAGGCCGGGATGGCGTCAAACTTTTCTTTTCAAAGATGAGCATTCCCAATACACAGGGACACAAAATGTTTATTGATGATGTTGAAAAGACGTACGGTCGAATTCGTACACGTTGTGTTGAGATTGCTGCCGAGCAAATAGAAGAGGGAAGTGGCGAAGGCGTAGAAACAATTCAGTTACAGCCCATGGGAGATGGATCACAACTTACCATTCGCGTGCCTGAACCTGAACACGAAGAGGCTTACCAAAAATTCACTTCAATGCCTGCTGAATTTCAGGAGGCTGTTAAAGTGGGCACTTTGGATGCTTTAAATAAAGTCTTGGGTGCTTTACCAGTATCTCAAGCCGAAGCATTAGTCAAGATTTGCTCAGACTACGGATTCTTGGATGTAGAAGGGGAAGTGGTTGATCAAACGGGTAGACAGCAGCAACCTGACGTATAACAGTAATAAAAGGGCTATTCTCATGATTTACCAACACTGTACAAATAAAAATGTTTACATTATATTTATTCAAATTGTTTGAAAAAATGGAGATGTTACATGCCAATCTACAAATGGTTCATTCATTTACACTTGACAAAACAATGCTCAAAAGCTATGTTCTCTATCCTCCAGAGTTGTGTGGAATGCTTCATGTCTTTGACCTTCCGTAAGGATGTGCTGTTCAAAAGTTTCAAACCCATGATGTTTAAGCGCAAACAATGAACGCACTTTTTTGCCTTTTTCGCTTTGCTGGATTCTACTCAAGCTTAAAGAGGGTCAAGCAAATACGCTGAAAACACGCGTCAAAAAATAATGTCTAACGAATGGATGCATAGGGTTGCGTGGAATGTATTATTTGACAGCGTGTGCACTCAATCCATTGTCCTTTGAATGGCTTGCATTCGACTGCTATTAGAAACTAGACTCTTATAAATGAATCACCCACAAGGGTCAAATACTACATATCAGAGCTGGTAGACCACTTTGAGAAATTAGAACAGTTGCGAACATTATGTTTTAGTCCCACATTCACGAATATTACTCGCTCTTGTTCTTGTTCACTGACAAACTGTACCTGTAGTCATGGTTATTTATATTATCCAGTGCTGAAATCGGCGCCATTCGTGCATTGATATCACTGTAGGATTCTGTTTTGAGCGGATTTTATTTCGATCTGTAAAGTTATTGAATTCCGCTTGTATTAGGCATTTCGTTCTAAAGTGGGGACAAAGCATGGTTTTGATTTATTGTGCCTTAAAAAAAAGAAGCTCTGTGTTACAATAGTGTTGAGTACAGCATGAATTAAACAACCTCCATATTCATGTGCACCAAACAGTTTGTGAATAGTCACTTTCATTCATTCTTTTTCCTTTCTTTGGTTTTTATTGCACTCCTCTTCTTTTCTTTCTTTGCCTTACTCTATAAATGTCTTCTCTCAACAATCTTCCAGCAGAGATATACTTGAACATAGTGAACCATTTAAGTTTGGGCTCACTCATTGCCTGCAGTAAAGTGTGTAAAGCGACTCGTTCAGCAGCACTCCGCGTTCTCTACAATAGGTACACCTTATCAAACCGTCAATTAAAGAAACTGTCTTCATTTTATGAAAAGGAAAATGAGATTCAGACAAACAATGAAATACAGCAGCATTCTGCGACCGTTACCTCCACAGAAGCAGCATTGTTTCCCATGCATTATGTGAGAAAACTAATCATCTCCTTCTTTGGCAAAACAGACCGAAATGAAGCCATTTTTCGAAAGATTATCGTTGGATTTACTCACCTCCATCTCATAAAAATAGACCATTGTGAACTATGGCATTTGGAACAACTGTTACATTTAGCTCAGTCAAGCTTCTTATGCTCGTTACGGGAAATCAACTTTTCAAACTTTTATTCTGCTCAGGATCAATCTCATTGGGACAGTCTTTATTTATTGCTTAATCAAGCGTTGAGCAAAACGATCACCCATCTACAACTGGATCACAATCAAATACTGCATCTAGTCGTACAGCATCTTCTTGAAAGCAACAATAACAGCAGCAGTACGAATAGTACGGATACAAATGTAACTCGTCGAGTAAACGACTATTTGAAAGAATTTGTGAGATTAAACTCACTCAAAATTGACAATGCCAGAAGTCGAAGAGCAGCTTTATTGGCAAACCATGGAGAATCAATAATCAATGCTGTGCTAAAATTGGATATATTTACTTTTTTGTCCCATTGCCCCAGCCTACGCAAACTGCATTACATATCCTACGAAGATAAATTGGTCAATGATGAGCAGAATGATATGAGAGCAGCAATCAATCATCAGCCTCCGGGTACACCAGCAACGAATACTGCTTCCTACATCACACATAGCATGCTTAAAAATGTATACCATCATCAGTTGAATGAATTACATTTGGAGTTGGGTTGGTTAACAGAAGCATGTACGCAAACCATTGCCACCCATTTACCACATCTATCCATCTTGAAATGCATATTAAACGTCTGTCAAGACAATAACAAGTATTTGCAGACAGCAAAAGCTCTCAGAGCCCCTATGTTTGTTCAAAAACTATACAGCTGTAAACAATTCAAAGTGGGACTGACCAATATTCCGTCACTGACTGAAGACGAAGAAAGACGAGGAGGCCGTGAATGGAACCCTGTCAGAAATGCGGAAGGACTAGCCACAAGAGAACAAAATCCAGGGAATGACATCTTGTACGCTTTACTTTTTTATGAGGCATCCCCTCGCTCGTCACGATCCGTCAGCGCAACATCCACGGCGCCATCTTTTTTACAACATCAGTCTCAGTCGTCCACAATGTCCATAAGCAGTGCCTTCAATCTTAATTGCAATATATCACCCACAGTGACGTCCAACCATCATCAAAGTAAAGACAGCAAAGCAATCAAATTTAAAATTGAAGCGGATTTTATGATGCCTTACAGTCAAAGTTCCAGAAGCCATAAAATAGACTCTATTGATATTTCACACTCCTCTGCAAATCAGGATAACGGTGCCAATAGTTGGACAAAGGTGTCTTTGTTTGTTACTGATTACGGAAGAAGACGCTTTCATGATGGCTTCATACGTACTATTTTCCGTGATGACTCGGACGACGAAGGAGAGGTCGAAGGCGATGGCGAAAATGAAATAAACAACGGACGACCCGGAGGAAGAACACGTTTTCGACTGAGGGATATCGTGGATAAAATGACTTGCTTGAAATTTGCTACATCTATTAAAGTGCTGGATAGAAGCATGGACGTATCTCCTGTTTCTTTGGATGATATCTTTGTCACTTCCAAATTATTGACAGTGCATTCGCCTTGTCTGGATAGCTTTTCTTACAGAAATGGCTACGGTAATTCGATGGAAATAAAAATCAACTTTCCAAATAAAAGCAACACCATCAGAACAGATAAAACCACACAAGAAAGAAAAGAAGAAAAAGAAGGAGCCAACACAGCCACAGAACAACAGCAACAACAACAACAACAACCATGTCAGCAGAACGCTCGTCTTTTGGAATTTGAAAACATCATTTTAAAAGATGACCACTGTCCCTATTTCTTGCCCAACTTTTTTGATCATGTAGAAGACTACAGTGACAATATCCTCCAGCATGTTACAGCGCCTTTAATGCCTTGCGTGCCTTTTGTTAAAAATGTTACCATCACAGGCTTCCACTTGAACGACAATGAAGAAAAAAAAACGACTATCAATATGACCAACATGCAATATCTTCACACACTTAATATCAGCATCAGAAAGGAGGTGCTTAGATCCGTCAGTTCCTTTTATTTGGTGGTCAAAATGAAATCAGAGAAAAGAAATCTTGCCATTATCAAATATGGCTGTCGCCTAAAAGTTCGCAGAGGACAAAATGATTTCAAAAGGGTCAAAACATTCAAAGAAGGAGCAAAGTCGATTGAAGTGATCACAATTCTCTGTAATAGAATCGATCGTTTAAGCATTTCAATTAATCACTTTTCCACGTCAGCCATTGGAACACTAACACCTTGGGCAGATGCTAGCATCGAATGAAAATTATTACCGGGAAGCTGTGCTTGCATTTACATTTAGAATTTGAGACACATGATTCATTCCCTCTGAATAATTTATAATATACATACACATGTTTATCTTTCATGTGGACCGTCTAAGAAACATTATGACTTGGTATCCATAATAAAAAACTGTATATAAACAAGGCACAATCGCTGTTCAACTTATCTCCGCTCCATGTCTGTCTACTTTTTCATTACATTCATTATTTCGCTTCACGCTTCCTGTATTCGCAACATATAGAATCAGTCAACCCATCACAGAGCACTTTATAAACTCTCCGCTGATGCGCTCAGCCAAAGAGATGCATACGCGATAGCAAAACTATCAGGAGAAGGAAAGTTGATCTACCGTTCCTGTTGGGATTTTTCATCTTGTAAACTGACTTTAATTTCGGGTATTTAATCTTTGTTCGTGGGCCAAAAAAGAAAAGCTTGCCCTTCTCTACGCTTTTTGTTCTTTTCAGCCTTCGTCACCTAAAAATGAAAAGAAATGGAAATGGAAAGCCCATGAGTATTTTCAGGATTCCAACTGATTTATTAGAAAATCTCCAGCCTATAGCTCAGACTGTCGTCCATTCAACAGACACGGATAAAGAACAGGATGAAGCTCACATTACAGCCAAAGCTTTAGCGCGTTTACAACTGCAGCAAGAGCGATTAGCAAACAACAACAGCAGTAGTAGTGGTAGCGGCGCCGAAAACTCAAGTGGAGGAGAAGCAGAGTTGACCTGTTTGACCTGTCGTGCCACTTTTTCCGATCGACAAGAACAAAAGCTACATTTCAATACGGATTGGCATAGATATAACATTAAAAGAAAACTCGTGTTAAAGGTGGATCCAGTGACGTACGAGGAATTTGAGATTTTATTGGCAGATTTAAGTGAGAGTATATCTGGTTCAGAAGATAGTGAGGAGGAGGAAGAGGAAGAGGAGGAAAATGGTATTGGACGAGAGCAACCACGAGATGAAGACAGTAAAACAACTCTGAATAGTAAAAGCAATACACTCGACTCTCTTATCTACAGAGAAAAGGAGGAGCAAGAACAAAACGAGCAGTTCAAAAAGGATGCAAACCAGGTGGTGATGCCCCATATGAGAAAGTATTCTTCTTTGACTTGGTTCAAGGAAAAAGAGCCAGCAGACCAAGCCTCATCGTCTTTCACTCTTCATTATGGCATCTATCGTCGTCTGCTTGTATCCCCCACCAACCCTATGACATCGTTACAACAACTCAGTCAACATCAACAATGGACCATTATTATGTTGGGTGGTGGTCATTTTGCTGGTTGCGTTATTGATGTACCCTCTACAGAAAAAAAGCGTGCTCAAGTCATTTATCCTTCCGAAGAAGGGGGTGTTATTAAATTTATTGCTCATAGAACGTTTCATCGCTACACAACACGTCGTAAACAAGGTGGATCACAATCAGCCAATGATAATGCGAAAGGAGCAGCGAATTCAGCGGGTGCTCAGATACGTCGATACAATGAACAAGCATTGCAACAAGAGGTGAGAGAAGTACTTGGTCAATGGCAGCATCTGATTATGAATAGTCAGATGGTTTTTGTTCATGCACCGAGTGGAAATCGTAAATTGGTGTTTAATTATGAAGGGGCTGTATTAGATAGAGTAGGGGATCGTTTGAATACCATTCCTTTTGCCACGCGTCGACCGACTTTGAATGAATTAAAACGTGTCTATTTTGAGTTGTCAACATTAAAGACGATGGATGTGGATGAACAAGCGCTACATGACTTTAAGCAGAAATGGATAGAAAAAGAAGAAAAAGCCAAGAAACAGTTGGAAAAATCAGTAATGAACAAAAGCAATAGCCAACAGCCAAATAAAGCAGCAGCAGCAGAAACAGACAGTAGTTTAAAAAAGCTTTTAAATCTTTTGAAGCAAAACAAAACAGCAGTGACGTTGGCTTTTATTGAGAAGAATGAAAAAGATCTGCCGTTGTCCGGACCTTTACCGGTAGATCAGTTGGGTGATAAGGCAGATGTGTATCATTATCCCACGTTACTACATATGGTGGCCAGTATGGGTAACGGCGCAGGTGAATTAATCAAAGAACTGCTCATTCGTTATGATGCGGATCCAACCATTGTCAGCGATGCAGGCAAAACAGCGTACGAAGTGTGTAAAGATAAAGAAGCTCGAAACGCATTTAGACGATGCATGTGCGATTACCCCGATAAATGGGATTGGTTAGAAAAAGGACGTGTGCCTAGCCCATTAACGGAGAAACAAGAACAAGAACAATTGGCAAAAGAGAAAAAGAGATTAGAAAAAGAAAAGGAAAGGAAACGGTTAATGGAATTAGAACAAGCTCGATTGGAAGCCGAGCGTGAAGCAAAAGAGAAAGAAGATCAAATGAGAAAACAGCAACAACAGCAGCAAATAATAAATCAAAAGGCAAGATTTGCCTCAACCGCTCGAAAATTGGGCAGTGGTAATAATAGTAGTAGCAGTAGTTTGAATGATACTTTACAGATGAGCCCAGAAGCACGTATGCGCTTAGAAAGAGAGAAACGGGCAAGAGCTGCAGAGGAAAGAATGAAGAGATTACAACAGCAGAAATAATCTATCTGTATATATATCCCAGCATACCATTCCAATTTTTTGTAAATATAGTCCTCCCTCAATAAATTTAATTTATTGCAAATGCTGAAATCAAAACTTTTTGCTTAACATGAGTGTTACCATGTGGAATGGTTGAGAAAACCTCATATCGTTAATAGCAGTAGTTCTTATCTCAATAGTTTGAAGGTAATTGTACATCATTCAGAAATATTCCGAGCCAAGTCTTGCCAAGTATTTTATACAATGAAATAGGACAAAACGGTCCTTTTATAATTCTTTCCAATCTTTTTGCTTTACTTAACACGCTTACTTTGACAACAACGTGACATATAAGAATGCATCCGTATTCAAATACGAGCAATAAAAATCCCCTATTATCAACAAGCTTGACAAATACGGTTCCTTTTTATGATGATATAGATCAAGCAGCAGAATTCGAAAACCATCATATTCCTCGAACCTATTCTTTCAAGGACTCTATTACATCCTCGCTCTCCAACCTTAGCCTTCGTCATCTCCTGCCTGATCATGTCGTAAAACCTCGTTTGCTGCTATCCCGAGCGAGATCCAGTATTTCTCGGTTACATTCTCAAATACAGATCTTGCCTTTTCAGAGTAACAACTATGATAGCAGTAGGATGATACCAAAGTCAGTGACAGCAGGAGGAAACATTCTTTCTCATTTGGGTAAAGATAGTATGACGAGTACAAATCATAGCAGGAGCAGGGGAAGATTAAATCGTGATGCGCCTATTGTTCATTATAATGGACAGAATCAGACCTTGGAATCATTGACAGCCGAGAAATTGGTTTGGATTAGGACTGAACCAGCGAATGCAGGCTTCTTTTTGAAGAAGAATCCTTTAATTGACTATCACGATTCTATTGTTTTGAGAAAACCACTCCGGCTGAGCAATATTGACAGGTATCCAATCATTCCATATTCGCTGTTTACAGAATAGAGATACACTTACTTACTTGCACTATCCATTTTTCTTTTTGTGCAAACAGTATTCAGCATAGAGACACATTAAAGCCTAAAGCCATGTTTTATTTACGAAGTAAGTCCGTAACTGAATCTTCAGCAGCCCGTAGCTGATATTTTTGCCAATTTCAACACGATAATAGTTGTCCAAACATTTCTGATTGACTCCAGTAAAAGTAAGTGCTTCGTTAAAAACCTCTTCCTTTTCGTCGCGAGATGTAACTCTTCCCTTTCCCTGCATTTCTCTGAAATATAGGCCGGTTACTTCGCTGTATTGTAACAGTGGATGATCACACGTATTTTACTTCCTACGTTCAGAGCAGCAGGAGCGGAAAGAATAGTTCCGTTACAGAGTTCGACGAAACGTTCCTAATGTATGTTGATGGGTACTATGTCCTTTTTTATGGATCCAAGATATGACGTTGCCATGTATCCTTTAGTTTTGATTCTAATTTGGTACTATTTAGTGACATAGAACATCCAACCACAATGACAGTAGGCCTTTATTATGCTCACAACAAAGGATTACTACGTCGAAAACAGAGCTGCGCGAACTTATCAAGTCCTCAGATACCATGGCAACCACAACGACAACAAGCGGATGTATGCTTGGGTTACGCCACGATAGATATTGATCTAAAGGCAAGAGCAAAATCGGCGGAACGCCTTTTATTAGATAATCATAACGAGGTAGACGAGAGTAGCAGCAGCAACAACTGCCAGCAATTATTAGTGGTGCATGGTATTTACCTCAGTCAAAGAATACAGGATTATCTTCACAATAGTGTGTTGCACAGCGATTATATCACGATACAAGTCAGACATGGATATACCTCTCACTATCACAATTACGGTCAAAAGAAGAAATGGGTTCGATTTTGGGGAGTTTTGAGAGGCATTCAATTAGAATTGTACCATAAAAGTTATAAAGAAAATCAACCTCCTTTTTATATCATACCCTTCTACTATTTCATCAGTACACTTCTGCATCAGGATACAACCATTGAGCAACAAGAAGGCATCGTTCTTCAGTTTGCTGATGGTGCATTGGATGAAAATGAATTTGTAACTAGGATGAAAGAACAGGAAGCAAAGACAAGAAAGCAGTATTCATATCAACAACCATCTGCTCCCATGGAAGAGGATTTGGATTATCGTATTTACATGCTGGCTGATTCAATCGATGCAAAGCAGCTTTGGGAAGATAGGATAATTTATGTAGGCTCTATCTTTGATGAGCTTCGAGGCTGGAATTTTGACGAAGATGATGAGGATGATGAGAGTGAACCAAGTAGTCATGGTAGTGATATCCATGGCCATGAAGCAAAGATGACAGGAGCTTCGTATACTAGTAGCATTTATGAGGAAGAATTAGAAGGCAAGGATATGACAGTTCCTTTGGATCTGCTGTGGTAAAAGAAGAGCAAAACGGCAGTGCTGGATCCTGTTGCTCTATCATTATCCATATATATATATATTCTTTCACTATGTGTCTAATAAAGAACCCAATGCATCAGAAAAAGGAAAAAATGGAAAACAAGTTGCAGATTATGTAATCAGATCAAAGATAACCAAACTACCAGCAAATTTTGCAGCTAAAAATAGATTTAGTAGAAATTGATCAACAGTGTGCATCCAAGATGAAGTGTGTTGTGTTTTGATGGATATCTCTACTCTCTCATAAGTATGTAACTTGTCTGAGCTAAAAAAGGAAAAGACTATAAAATAAAATGGGAGCCATTCGTCCAACAAAAATGCAGTGCGAAAAAGGGGAGACTGTTGGTTGTCGTTGTCTGCCCTCCTTTGCCTCTCTGTTGGGTTTTAGGCTTATCAAATTCCAAGCTTGAAAGCCTCATTATTGGCTAAAAAGAGCACACCCTGATCGGAGATTCAATGTATCGATAAAAAATATATCGCTGGAGAGGCTGTATGTGTATTCTTGCAAAAAAGAAAAAAAGTTTTTCTTCAACTTTTTCTAAATTCCATCAATTTATGTTCTGCACCTTGGGTCCACCACTCGATCAAATTCACTTCATTCACGGCCCTTCACCAACTGCGTGCTTACTTCCTTAAGTTTATAGAAGAAAGAAGAAGAAGACGACAAAAAGAATCTCCAACAAAGGCTCTCAACATCAACTATCACACAAACATCACACACAACAGCCCTCATTCGTACTTTTTTTGTGCTCATTTAGAAGACTACTACTACTACTACTACTATTACTACTACTACTACTCTCCTCTCGCCATTTTTTTGCTTTCTGTTTGAAAAAAGAAAAGTTTTTCTATTTTCCCTGTATTATATTTCTTTTATAGATATCCATTCCATACCTCGTTACACTCTTTATTTTTTTGTTTTGAAAGAGATTATTACATCATCATTATCATGTCTGGTAGAAACGGTTCTCCTCTTGGACGTATGCTTACAGTGATCGACTGTCCTAATTCAGCTTTACGCTTCTTAATTCTCGATTGCCCAACCGAGTCAACATTGGATTTTTATATGGAAGAGTTTATGCGACTTCATGTCGTTGCCGTTGTACGTTGCTGTCAGCCTACTTATAGCGCCAACCGCTTAACGGACAAGAATATACAAGTTTTAGACCTTCCTTTTAAGGATGGTGGAGTGGTATGTTATTCCGGGTATAATATACATAGTGTGTATATGTTTGGGAAAGAGGGCTGTTTGCAGTATACGATGAAATGAAAAAGGAGGGAGTATGCAGAGTAGGGGGCGGGCATGGGGGAGGATGTGGGATCACTATGATCTCTCTACTCGTTTATCACTGAAAGCTAAAAATATGTTTTGTTTTTAACAATAGCCTCCAGCTCAAGTTGTTCGTGAATGGTTACAATTGGTAGAAAAAAGCAAGCAATTGGCCGAGACAGCAAAGAATGAAGGCCGACCTACACCTACTATTGCTGTTCATTGTGTAGCAGGTTTGGGTAGAGCTCCAGCTTTAGTGGCTATTGCCTTGATTGAAATGGGAATGAAACCTTTGGACGCTATTGAATTCATCCGAGGAAAACGACGAGGAGCCTTTAATAAACCTCAAATTGCTTATTTGGTAAGTCTTTTTTAAATCACTTTAAGGTTGTAGCAGAATACTTATGTCATTTTTCTTTTTCTTTTTTGTAGGATTCTTATAAACGTACGCTGAAACCTAAATCGGCGGTTTCTAATTATTCCCTTCGGTCATCGCTCGGTCGTATGTTCAAATTAGGTGGTAGTAGCAATAGCAGCAGTAAGGCAAACACACCTCCTCCTCCCGCAACTGCTGGAAATACTTTGTCACAATTGACGTGAATCCATCGCCGCGGTTATTCTCATGACCTTCATGATAAATTACGTATTATTCTAACTGATACTATTACTACAACTTTATTATGTTTATTACTTTTACATAGATCTGATTTTGACAATGTTACTACTATTCTTCGTATAAATAAAAACTATCTGTACAAAAAGAAGAAAAAAAAAAAAAAAAAAAAAAAAGGGAAAAGGTACTTATTGTCCCTCTTCGTCATGATGTGTATTCTCTTGTCCTCCTTGAGTCGTCATGACTGTTGTAGTACTGATGGTTGCTTCTGTATAAGCAGGAGGAGGCATATAACAATCTTGACAGAAATGATGTCCTTCAGCCATCGAGCTTTGTTGCGGATCTTCCTCTGTCACTGTTTGAGAACGAATCGTACTTTCATTCAAAATGATTTCTTTTGCTGAGGGTGCAGAAGGTTCAGGTAAGGGTGGAGAAGAAGAGGTAGGCGTAGTCGGTAGTAGTGGTATGAGCATGAGTTCCGATAATAGTGAGCTCGTATTATTGTAATTGTTCAAAATGATATCATCACTCGTACAAGTGGTACTGCTGATTCGACTCTGCAGGTGTTGATATGGATTTACATGAGATTCTGAAACAGTTGTGGTAATAGTCGTCGTATTGTCCAACCTACTGCTTAGATGGTGACTCTCCCCCATCGCCGCTGTATTTGATGCTTCGCCGCTCTCTTCGCCTGATCTACTCATGTCCATCCTATAACAGCAGGCTGGGCAAGATGCTTCCTCACAAGACGTTGGCTCGTCTTCTGCTGCATTGTTACCTGCATCCGTGGGATGACTATGCTGACTGTGGTGATCCTGATGACTGCTAGGGGGAGCACTGTTGCTAATTTTGCTACTGCTACTGCTACTGTCACTACAACTAGTACTACTTCCCGTCTCTACGTCATCCTGTTTCTGCTTTGTCTTTTTTTTATGGCTCTTTCGTTGTTGTTTTTTACATTTCCTAGTATACCAATAAATCATGATGCCAACACCTAATGCAAAAGATAAGGCTAATCCGCCGGTCAAGCTGAGTACAACAGCCAACGTTCGTAATTGTCTTTCGTTATAATGCAACCGATGTAATAGCGCATCCTTTGTCGACACAGTATTTGTAGTCGTTGCTGTTGTTGCCATATGAATAGAAGCAAATGTATCTTGTGGATCCCATTGTAAGGGTGATGGCGACGACGTTGTCCATTCTTCTATATCCACTGTTTCTGTCGTTGTTTCTGTCGTATGAGCAGTGGTTACAGAGTGATTGTTATAGTAAAGGCTATCCATAATCGTCTATCATTTACGTATCCTTTACAAGAAAAAGAAAAAGCCATGATAATCTCAATACATCAATTTTGTGAACTCTACAATGTGGAAACAAAATAGAAAACAAAAAAAATGAAATGGAATTAAAAAAAAAAGGGAAAAAGAAGATCCCTTGCTCCCCCACAATGTAGTTCGTTGGGTTGTTTGTTTGTCTCCCTTTGCTTTTTTGAGATGTATGTATGTGCGGTGTACATCTCTGTCCGTCTCCCTTTAAACTCAACCTGCTTGCAGTATTGTTTATGATTCAGCCCATAACAAGGTCATTATGCAGAGTGGAACAGAGATTTTCAACCAATGTAGAAAAAAAAGTCCCATGTTGGAGGAATATTTCAAAGTTGACGTTTTATTATCAACAATGTAAGATCAGTCATTAGATAGGCTCATTAGCATAATGCATTATTAAGATAGTCATCTCTCTATCTCGGCTATTTCCAGCCAAAAAAAGAAAACCACCCCTTGATTTGAGCTTTTTCTTTTCTTCTTTTTTTCCCAAAACGTTCGTCACCGAAAGCCAAGTCTAATATTCATAAGGATATTGTAATCTAGCAGTATAATGAAATGATGGCTGATGGGTATAATATTCCATCATGGGCGACGGATACGCCATCGATGGATGCTGTTGCTGTTGAGGATAGCGATGATACCGGTTTCCATAACTTGCTTGTTGACGTGGTCTTTGCATTTTGATGCTGCCACTCCCATGACTGTCAGCATAAAATCCACTGTCATAAAAGTTCATATCGTCTTGGTCGCCATAATGATCGGTGATGGCTGATGCTATGTTCAAAGGCTCTTGTTGTTGTCGTTGTTTCGTATTGGCAGTAGCGGTATTCGTAGGTAGAGAAGATGCTCGAGAACCTGGTCTGCTGTTGCTGCTGGTACTCACACCATTCCGTTCAAGTGTTTCTCTGCCTGTTGATTTACTTTTTCTAGGATGAACATCGTAATAGGCTATGGGTAACACTTGTTGTTGTTCTTGTTCTTGCTGATAATAGAATGGATACGGATCATAGTGCCCATACAGATAAGGATTCATTGTCTGGAAAGGAACCATGCCATCTCCTGAAGGTACTGCTGCTGTTGTTGTTGTTGTTGTTGTTGTTGTTGTTGATTTCCTTATTCTGTTACTACTACTACTACTATGACTTCTTGGCCGTCTTTTTTCCATTCCGTAATTTTGATGGACGAGATAGTCATCGCCCAGATCATCCTCATTGTAATAACTGTAGTAAGAGTTGTAGTAGTCGCTATGATCTTTTTGTTGCTGTTGATAATATTGTCTACCTGATTCTATCGATTTCGCTCTTGGTCTTGCACCTGCCCTTCTGCCAAGGCTCAAACTGTCGTTGATATTTTTAGCATGGTTCTTTCCGCTCGTTACAGAAACACTGTTCGTTCTCGTCGAACTACTCTGTCGCAAGGGCGTGTTCTTCTTACTGACAGTAGCTGGAGAAGAGAAAGTGCCATGAGTCATGCCTTCTTTTCTGTCTTTTTCGGAATGATAATAAAGAGACGATGGAGATAAATGTTCTTTACCATCATGGCTAGCACGGGAGGGTGAGCGTCTCTGTAATGATGATGGGCTGTTATTTGACATGTATTCCGTTGATTTGCTTCGGGTGATTATGTTTTCTGCCTTATGACAACCCACACTGGCAGTACTACTCATCACGTTATTTTCGCTATCCTTGACATGGTTTTCAGGATAAAGTGGAACATGGTGTTGACGTAAAGAAGAGCTTCCTACGGATCTTGTTGATTTTATGGAACCATTCTTATGAAGACCTCTATGACTTTCTTCATGATGATGAGGAGGAGGAGGAGGATTTATAGTATGATTCAAAGAAGGGTCTATTTGTTGTTGCATTTGCTTTAATTGTTGCCATTGTAATTCTTGGTGATACTGAGTGGAAGTGCCATCCTCTTGAGAGCCAGCCTCATGACCTTGTTGTTGTTGTTGTTGTTGTTGTTGTTGCTGCTGCTGCTGCTGCTGCTGTTGCTGATTGGTATACTTTAGAGCAAAAGTAAGTTGATCTTTTGTTTCAATGAGTGTTTCCATCATTTGTTGTCGATGATGAAGTAATTCTTGTTCTTTTCTGGTCCATTCTTCTCTATCTTTCATGCGCTGCTTTTCCATCCATTCTACTTGTTTTTTAAGTTCTAATAAAAGAAGATGTTGTTGTTGTTGCTCTTTTTCTATCATAGGGCGAGGAGGAGAAGGGTCCTGTTGTTGTTGTTGTTGTTGTTGTTGATGGCGATGGCCTGGGGAAGAAGACAAAGAAATACCCGTTTTTTTCTGTCGATAAGGGCTTGTCATAGTAGCTGTGGTGGCGGTAGACGAAGAAGTAGAAGAATCTCTTATAATACCACTATCATTTGTTGATGCTTTTGTTTGAGCAGCTGTATAAAGTTGTGGTGGATGTGTATCTTTGTTGGGTGGCATGGTGGAGAGATCCACAGCGGGCTGCTTCTTATGACTATTCAACAAGTTTAAATTGGGCAAGTCCGCTAATCCATCCTTTTCTCTCAGATCGAGCGACGAATCGGTATCCGAAGCAATCGATTCCTGAGCTGATTCATAAAGACGGCTTGAGTCATCGCTTAGAATAGTTGAATGCGATGAAGGTTGATGTTTCGAAGCTTGTGGCGGCGGCTGTTGTTGTTGCGACAAGTGATTTGATTTTACTGTTGTTGGAATCGTTGTCGTCACGGGTGGAACAGGTTGAAAAGGAGCAGGCGTCATTCTACTAGGATGAGCACTCGCAACATGATCTGAATCTATAGAACACAAAGTGAAAAAGGCCTCTGCTTAGATGATGGATCCTCCTTTCAACTCCATAGCGTTACTTACCCATGTCCATACCTTCTTTATCATCATTTTGAGGAACTGAGTGGGTATAGCCATTGGGCTCGGCCGAGTGATCCCCTAGGTTCTCTGCGAATACTTGTTTGTCTTCTTCTTCCACTTGTGTTTTGTCTCGATCGAATCCGCTCAAAATAGCGCGAGTCGGCGTGACAACTCTTCGAGGTTTAGGCATAAGAAGAGGGGGTGTGGATGAAGCAGCTATAGGGATAGTACCTCGCGTCAGTGTGGATGACGCTTTGGTGTCTATTACAAACTGGAGTGGATCCTTGTTGTGGGCATGGGCCATCCTTTGTGCGGGAGGTAAAGCGGGAGCAGGTTTTCTACTAATGATCGCTGTAGGTTTTTTTAGCTGCTGTACCAGTGGCTGTTGTTGCTGTTGTTGTTGTTGCTGTAGGAAAAGCGAATGAGGGGCTGCTGTGGTGGTGGTGCTATCATTCGACAAGACACCTTTGTCCATTCGTTTTTTCTTTTTTTGAAAGAATTTAACCATGCTCCCTTGTTGGAAAGACTGAAAGGGGAATGACTTAGATTTAAAGAATGCAAAAGAAAAGAAAGAAAAATAAAAGATTGTTGATGCTGCAAGCTTAAAAAGGAGAGAGCAATCCGAGCAACAGCAAGAGAGAGAGAGAGAGAGAGAGAGAGAGAGAGACAGAATGTGCATTCTTGTAAACTGATCGAAAAGAAAAAAGTCAAAACAATCATCAACAAGAATAGCCAAATGAGGAATTGTGATGGTGATACAGACCTCACAGATTTTTCATAATGAGCGCATAAAAAAGAGAGTAGTCGACATGTCGGATGATGGTAGATGATATTCTGCAGAGGAGGGTATGAAGCATAAAGTCAAGTACAGTGACTCTATCTGCAAAGGGGAAATCAACACTACTGCTCGAGCAAAACCAGCTGGGAGGACAGTCTATTCGTGAGGGAAAGAATCCATCCAATCCAAGAGCCGACACCGATGCACTCTCTACCTGCTGTACATATGAGACTAAAGACAAAGCGGGGAGAGAAAGAAAGGAAGAGTTACTGCTTAGCAAAAATGACATCTCTATTCCTATTGCAAATAGTACATAGGCTGTCTTCAAAGCGGAATCAAATAGGATGGATGATGGCATTCTTGTGTTTCCAAAACATAAGGACCGTTCTAATCAATAGCAGCTGGACGTTTTAGAAAAGGGCTTAGCAACATTTGCCTTGGTGCTTTCAAAGAAGTGCTGATCCAAATCTTGCTCAGATCTGTCATACATAGCAACTCTATAATTAAGTTTCTTTGTCATTTCGAATAATATGACAGTTTCTTCCAACGAGTCATTGCATTTTTAAAAGCTCGTCTATTGAATATCGTGATTCAACATTTAGAAAAAATAAACGTTGAAGAAGAACACCCTCAAGTGCTTACGGAGGAGCAAATTCAGAAGCCCAAACCTACAACAGCCGCTTCCCACGGATTCCGTTCCTACCAGTTCCTCTCCATCATCCATCCTCCATGCATCAGCATGGCATTTTGGCAAGAAACATCGACCCTTACAAGCGCTGCTGTATCCTAGTAGGCGTTGGCAGGGACTCAAAATCTACTCTTTATATTTAAAGCCAATGCTCGTCATGCTGTTTATCAATGTGGGCCTCTCATTAGCTATCTTTTATGTAGCCAAAAGATGGCTAAGCGTACTTGTTGCCTTGATTTTATCGGGCATGCCACCTTTGCTACGTGTTTTGTATGTGTTTTATAAACGTCGAAAATTTGATATTTTGGGAATCCTCTTTGTCGCTTCCTTTACTATTTCAGCCGTGGTATCTGTCATTTCAGGTAGCCACTATGTCATGTCACGTCTAAAAATGCCAGCTTTTTTTTTAAAGAAGTTTTCCACTTTTTGTCTAGGTGATGCTCGTTTGGCTTTATTGAGGGATTCTGCAACGACAGGTATTATCAGCGTCTTGTTCTTCCTCACGCTGATTCCTCCCCGTACACGATGGTTTTATAATAGACCACTGGTGTTTTTAATGTATTCTCAAATGACGGAAAACGTAGCACCAAAAAAATGGACAGATGAAGAGGGTGGTTTACATTCTATGAGCACGCATGAATGGGTGTGGGCCTATTTTCCTCTCTTTCGAATCTATTGTTATCTTCTCAGTGGGCTTTGGGGGTTTGTATTGATGGGTGAATTCATCTCGAAAGTGATCATGATAGAAGCAACCCAATTGGATGTGGATCGTATCGTGTTGTATGGCCAAATCATAGTGATTGTGGTCACTGTGACGATGACCGTGGGGACCGTGATTGCTTCTAGGTTGATGACAAAAAGAATGGCCGTGGAGGCTGAGGAATGGTTCAAACAGAATGATTATAGCGATAGACTCTCTATTTTATAAAATAAAATGTTTACCCTTTGCTTATGTGTTGTCAAGTTGTACTCGAATCAACAGGGAGGTTCACTCCAAGGCTTATCGAGTCAGGCGCTTCACAAAGAAATCGAATCGATGGTTAGCGAGACTGCTAAAGGTCAACGCTCGGCTTGTCCTTGTTATTGGCATTACTGAACGGTTCCACTTTTAGCCAAGGCCGATAGGATGAGCATAAGGTCGAGCTCTGCTTTTTGACAGCATCAGTCCTTTGTTGCTATATCCTAGCGTGCTTCACTCCTGATGATACAGTGGCGTCAAAGCAAAGGTTGGATGTCGTCGAGTAAAGACACTGTCCTACTCTTTTATGAGAGGAGAATAACGAAAGGATAGGCCGATAGGCAGTTGTCCTCTCAACGAATGACAATTGAATGATTCAAAAAGCTCAAGATAAATAGAGAAAACCCAAACAATTGTCAACCAAGGATCGATTTTAGTTTTTGCTTTTTTAGTAGCACGTCTTTCATTCTTGTTTGTAATGAAGAAGGTCCCATGGATAGAATCAACAAGAGAGGGTGCATGGATTGGGAACAGTACTGTTTCCAGACAGAGGGTTGACCATGGTTTCCGTTTCTATTTCTTTGACGAATGAAATTTCTGATGCATGAGCCTCCGTCCATCAGCGCTATTGTCTATCAACGGAAGGAACAGTCCTATTTTGCTCATTGTATGGGATGTTGGTTTAAAATAAATAAAAAAAAAGAAACTGTTTTTGGTCAAAGGATGGATTTAGCCCTTGAAGGACCATGGTCTATGTATACACTGTATGCAAAAGGGGTTTCTAAAAACAGTCAAGATGAATGGATGGGTTGACGATCTCTAGAGGGTCATGATAATGGATAAGTCGGTATGAAAAATGCAAGCAAAAGAAAGGGATATAGAGTGACAGTCTAGGTAGGTAGAGATTAGAAAAGAAATCGCTTTGTCTTTTCAAAGTGAAACATCTGTAGGACGCCATCCGTCAGCGTTGTGCATGTCAGATTTGGCTCTGCATTATCGTACATGGAGGAGACATAGACCTTCTCTCTTTTGTTCAAAAAGATGGTTCTGAGAGATAGGTTTTTTGCACCCGCCAGATCAAAAGCATAGGAACCGATCAAATAGATATTCTATCATGTAGAGGGGAGAGCGGAATGAATGAACTACGCGTCCTGTGTGTCGACAAAAAGCTTGTCTTACCTCTATGCGTTTTGTCCGCGATACAATGGTTCTCATGAGCTCAGAATAGACCGTAGGATGAGGTTTTGATAGTCTTAGGGTATCACAACACACCATATTCTCCTGTTTGAAATAACCCTCCAGTCCCACGGATTGTAATAGCTCGAGCGTTTCCTGTCGTCCCCAAGCACTCAGTAACCATATTTCCCAAGTCTTACTGTGCTGATCTTCAATCAAAGTGTCCTCGACCCTCTTGTTGTGCTCTATAATTAATGCTAATGCTTCCACTGCGTCTGGGTCGACCGTGAGGTTTTTAAAGCTAAACATGACTGTTTCGATTTCATCTTTTGTCAATAGACTGCTGCTGTTGTGATCATAGGAGAGTCGTCTGCTGTCATCGTCAAAAAATAACAAAAGTGAGCGTGTTAAAGTGGCCCTTAGCACTTGCTGCAAAGGACGATATTTACCACCATGCGAAGTTGCTATGTAGTCACGCCATGCCGTCGCATACCAAAATTTAAAAAAGTATTTGATCTCTGTTGCTGTTAGGTGAAAGTGTTGATTGTCCAATAGTACTTGCTGTAGCGCTTCTAGCACACTGTTAAAAGTGAATAAGGAGCCTTGGATAAAGAAAAAAGAAAGAGAAAAAAGCATGTTTACAACCTAGTGGGATAGACTCGGATCCCTCTCTTTTTTCTTACTTTACATACCGAGTAAATCAAACGCAACAAAGGGCATTGTTCCAAGGCAAGTTCAAGCCAAAGAGAAAAACGACAGTTGGTAAGCAGTGGCTGTAGTAATAGTTATTGCTGACGAACGAGTCTATGAAGGAAAGAAAAAAAAGTGATACGAGAGAGAGAACAGAAAAATGTAAAAATAAAGAAATTCCGTCATGCAAGCATTGAAATGGGTGTAATTAATTTTTACCCAACGTAATCAAAAATGAACACAACAAAAGTCGCTTTCTTTCGTACGCCTCTTCCTTTGGCCCTTTATGGTTGTCTATCCAGTCTATATCAAAACCTTTTTTTTTTTTTTTTTTTTTTTTTTTTTTGCTTTATATATCATGGAGGTCTGATCTCGGATAGGAATACAACTCATTTGAGCTTGCCTGCACTCGTTTATTGACATTAGATCAACAGAGATAGTTTTGTGTTTTAATGATCTTTTTAACAGTATGCATGAGAGGGTTAGCGTCGTAGGGGTATGGTCAACACAGTAAAAAGTTGTAACCCGACACAATCATTAGGAAGGTAAGGATGCAAACACATCCCTGCCCTAGAGGATGCTTGTCCTTTGGAGAAGGTAGTACTCATATCCTGCGTCTCGACCAATAGAAAAAGGAATGGCATATGATGGATTGGGAATTTCTCACAGTCCATGAAAAGGCTTGTCAAGATCCGTACTACTGTTCTCTTTTTTGTGCGTATTCTTGTTTGGCGAGTTGGACTGTCATTGCGGAGTCTTTTTGAATCCGTGATGGATTAATAATGAGAAAGGGCGTATTTGAGATTTTTGCATAATGCAGACAGAAACGGAACGAAAAAAAACCTTTACTTGCTGAGTCATGATTTTGTCAGTACAGTGGTTTGATTCCGCTCCGGGGATCAAAAAAACCCAAAGAAGAAGAAAAAAGAGTTTGTTTTATCGTGGAAATTATAGGCTTTAAGCTATCTTTTTTTTTTTTTTTTTTTTTTTTTTATCTGGCTTCCTTTTATTTTCTAAAAGAGCGTTTTTGCTGTCAAAGTTTTAGTATTACATTTCTATTTTAATCATCCTTTATTAAACCCCAATGGTCGAGACAGAATCTAAAATGTTCAAGCCCGAGTTTGACTCTGTAGAAGATGCTCTCAAAGATTTTGGTAAAAAGGATAAAAGAAAAAGACAACAATTCGTCTATCTCTAAAAATACTTATCTACATGACGCCTCTCTCTAGCGGAGAACAAGTTTGTCATTGTCATGGATAACGAAGACCGAGAAAACGAAGGCGATTTAATCATTGCAGCTGAAAGGATCACAACGGAACAAATGGCGTTTTTGATTCGATATTCAAGGTAATAAAGAGAGAAAGAGTGTGTGTGTGTAAAAAGAGCGCCTCAAAAAACTCACCCCTCCCCCCCTCCCTTCAAAAGTGGCTATATATGTGCACCTACGACACCAGAACGTCTAGATCAATTAGAATTACCGTTAATGGTACAACGAAATACAGAAATGATGCGAACAGCCTACACTGTTTCCTGCGATTATGCACACAACACAACGACAGGTATTTCTGCCCATGATAGAGCATTGACATGTCGAAAGCTAGCAGACCCCACCAGTAAACCACAAGACTTTATGCGTCCTGGGCATATTTTGCCTCTGCGTGCTGTGCCAGGAGGTACTTTTGAACGGTTCGGTCACACAGAAGCGGGGGTGGATTTGTGTCAATTGGCAGGTGTTGCACCCGTGGCTGTGATTGGGGAGGTTGTCAAAGAAAACGACGAGAAGGGCGAAATGGCACGAAGAGATGATTGTTTTGCTTTTGCAAGGAAACATGGCATCAAGATGATTACCATCAAAGACCTGATTCGATATAGAAGATTACGTGGCGACACGCATTAGATGGGACACTGGGCAAACGATGGGGAGATAGAATGGGGGATCTTTTTCATCCCTAGGATGATGACTGTAGACCATGTCTCACTTTTGTCTGTGTAAATATATAGGTATACATAGGTGTATGTACGTATGTATTTTTTGATATCCTATCAGTAAAAAAACAACCCAAAAGAAGCCTCCTCTGAGAAATATATCTTGTCATTTATTCTGTTTCTAAAAAGAGGAAACCAGCACAAGCCCTCTCCCATTGTCTTTCAAACATCGAGTGACTCATTCTATATAGATAGATCGGCAGAGCAACCCACCACCACCGCCACCACCATGACTGAAAAACCTACAGGTCAATGAGGAGTTTTTTAGCAGGTTGCATTCTGGCATGCGTTGAGAGCGAACTGCGGGTTATTTCAATTTACCAGAGAGGATGTTCGAGTCAAGGACAAAAAGTGGTTGCTGTAGAGTTAGGCAAAGAGACCGTGCTCTTTCAATTCTGTATAATGTGTTCTTGCCAAGGATTGTTTAGCTACTTCAATATCAGTTCTGATATCAGTGATAAGAGCATCTACATCACATCACGGGAAAATGAAATGCGCATCAGTCGCGGGAAAAAGGCGGGTTATCCGGGTTGTTGTGTGTATGTGGCTTCATAGATGCTCACCTAAGTTTGGATAGTTTTGTTCAGGTCGAATGAATCCAAGAACTAATACACGAATAGAGATGCCATAAAAATCATCGGGAAACTCATGAATGATGTGAACCTCCTATTGCATTGGAAAATGAGGTTATATAGAACATACAAACACGCGATAAAAAAAAAAAGCAGGTGACGAAAGAGAAACGAGAACTTACGGCAGATCTTTGCTCGTTTTTGAAATAGGGGTTCCATCCCAAGCTCATGACCATGGGATAAACGGTGCTACCTCTTTCACCAATCTGTGTCCAGCCATAATAGACACCCGTTTCTAAACCGGAAGCCATAGTCGCAATAGCTTCATCCGACAGATTCGCTAAGTTGAATGGTTTCCATTATACAATGAGTGTGGATCGATCAGTTGTCAATAAACAATAATCTCTATTGGCAAGTTGACTCGCTGACATATCTGCCTTTGACATGTCTTTCTCTCTCTTTCTCTTTCTCTCTCTCTTCCTCTCTCCCTCTCACTTTTCTTCTCTCATGTTCCATTGTGCTCATCGGTACCTGTTGGAATGCCAAGTTGTTTAGAACCTCTTCCATAACCTTTCACGACAGTGCCTTCAAGAGCAAATGGAAACGGTTCATGAGGTTTCTCTGGACCTACAAGTAATGGACGGTCCGGATTGATCTTGATACTCATTATCTAGGTTTAATGACGAATTCTGGGGAAAATAACAGATGGGTAAATTTCAAAAAAAAAGGACAAAAATAAAAAGAAAAGAAAGCCCACATTAGCCCAATTGGAATCCAGATATCAGGAGCTGTTTTGCCCAAAAAAAAAAAAAAAAAAAGAAAAAAGAAAAAAAGCTCTTACTCTCATCATGAAGCCTTTCCCATCTATAAAGGCTTTTTGATCAAACAAAAACTGACTTTCTTAACCAATAAACTACTGTACCAAAAAGAAATTACAAGGGGCGCTTTGGATAAGCGTCAATGAACATTTGCCATGACAAGCTTTCTTTCTCTCAACAAACACACATCAGAGATAAAAACTGGAAACGATAGAATAAAAATCGATGGTTACAAAGGTACATGGTTTTTATGGCAACAGAAAAATGACGATTTTTTTACAACAAGCACAATTGCAAAGCAACATGGGCTCACACTTGGACACAAAGGAGCAAGTCAAACAAATGTTTTTGAATGCTTAAGAGTTTGTCTAAGCAAACAAAAGGTTTGTATCTCACGCGTAAAAGTCTTTTTACAGATGGTATCCTACCTGATGTGATCTGCAAGGCCGAAACAAACATTGACTTGTGGCTACTTTCAGTGATCATTGCGTTTCCTCATGCTGTTACACCCTGGTTGTTTATTGTCAAGAAATAGACAAAGGATGTCTTTCTTTCGTGATGGCGCGCTAACGAAAAGGTGAGAAAGGTGCAGTAGAAAAGAGTCCATAAGTAAGTAAGTGGAACAGTATTTCCCACTATTGGGCGCTCTCGTGTTACCGTCGTTGGTCTTTTTTTTTTTTTCCCCCATTGGCAACATCGTTCGCGCTCAAGAAACGCTCCACTGTAGTCAAAACAGATCCGCTTTGCCTTTGTATTTTCTCTTTTCAGTTTACTTGCAGCGTCCATAGGAGCTCAATCGAGACAAGTTCAGACAGTAGACATGTATAGGGAGCCCATCGTCACGGCTAGAATACAATAGCATGGATGGCTTTTGAAGTGCTGGAAATAAAAAAAAAAGCACCTTTTACGCAACTTGTCGTCAAGAAAACTCTTGAACAGTTAGAATAGCTCCTGCCTATCCCCTCGTCTTAGATAAAGCTTTTCAGATATGGATTATGTCCGATATGCTTCCCCCACATTTTTTCTCTGCTTACTTTTTAAAAAAAAAAAAAAAAGTCGCTGTCTCTTGAACTTTTCTTTACATTGAAATCACTCTGCTGAATGTTGTTTGCTGGAAGCAATAAATATATTATTTCACAATGAGCATTCACGTTCTCGATACATCAACCATAAGAAACATACATTCTGGACAAGTGATTACTGATGTGGAAGCTATTGTCAAAGAACTTTTAGAGTACATTTTGCTTCAATTGCATCATGGCGAAACCTCCCATCCTTCAGGCACTGATTAACCGCTGCATTCAATGCGACCTTTTTGCTTTTTCTTTCCCCCCATTGCCTTCAACATAGAAACTCTCTAGACGCTCATGCTACGTCTATTGATGTCGTGTCCATCTATAATGGATTAGAATCAATCCAAGTATACCATTCATTGTTGTCATGCTCTCACCGGGCCTATATCATGTACGGCGAAAAGCCAACCCCATTTTCCCTCTTTTAGGTAAAAGACAACGGGGATGGTATTGCAGAAAGCGATCGCCCTTTTATCGCCAAAAGACACCATACTTCCAAATTGAGCACTTTTGAAGACCTTGCCCATGTTTGGACCTACGGCTTTCGTGGAGAAGCGATCCATTCGATGCTAAACCTATCCAATAAGCTCACATTAACAACAAAAACGAAAAAGGATACCGTTGGCAAACTCTATGATATCAACAAAAACGGTGATTTGATAAAGTAAGACCCAGAGAAAAAAAAAAAAAAAAAAAAAAGAAGGGGCTCTCGGTTCCCCTTTCGTTGTGTAAGCCCGTTTAGGAATGACTTGATCCCTTCCACCTCTTTTCTTTTAGTGAGACTACCTCCAATGGAATACCAACACCTTCTGGTACCATCATCACTGTTCATAAGCCCTTTTATCATCTACCCGTACGAAGACAGCTGGCAGCCAAGAATGCCGTGCAAAATACAAAGCGAATCCAAGATTGCTTGATAAGGCTCGCTTTACCTCATCCTGAAGTAAGGTTCTCATTCACCCAGACCAACCATAACAGCACTCGTCCAGTCCCACCGTGGATCAAGCCCAAAACACAATCCGTGGAGGATAACATTACGGTTCTGTTCAACTCAAAGTTGACAACGATGCTCGAGAGACATTTGGAAACCATCACTTTCACTATCAATAACGAACAAGAAAACAACCACACTGAAGACACGACGCTTACAGTGGATATGGTCATCCCAAAACCTCATTCAGGTAAAAAAAATAGCTACAAAGCAGCCGTTCCAAGAATGACTTTCCCCCCCCCCCTCTAACCGTCCCTCTTTCCCTGTGCCTAGACCCTAATGTTACGTTGAAACAAGACCTCATTTTTGTTTATGTGAATCAAAGACCCATTCATCACGCTCAATCTGAATTGACAGACGTAATCTCTTTGATTAAAACACGTTATAAACAGCATCTAGGTTTGGAAAAAGGTCTCACCAAGAAGAGTCCTTTCATCTATCTGGATATACAACTATCGCCTGCTCAATATGATGGTAAAATTGAATACGACCTGGAAAAAAGGGGCATGCGTCCAAAGTGCTAACCAGTGATTTTTACTACGAACGGCTAGTCAATGTGGAGCCAGATAAATCAACCGTCTTTTTCCACAACAAAAGCACAATCTATCAACTCGTTCAAAAAATAGTAGATACGGTCTATCCCCTTCCTGTATTCAACCAACAACAAAGAACAACAACCGCTGTAATAAACGATCCCTTTGAATCCAATGACCAAGAGATCTATGGGAAAAAAAATCCTTCCCGTGCCGTCCCTCCTACTGCATTGAACCCTAGCGCAACAATAGAGAAAGAGCCATTGGCAACAGCAACCATGGCAAAAGAGAGGGAGCCCTCTTTTACCTCCTCCATCTCGGCACCTGGTACAAGTAGTAGAACGACGACGGAAAAAGAGAATAGCTGGACTTTGTCTATGCAAGATGGCACCCAAGAAGAAACGGACGAGCTCGAAACATCAGAATACAACACCGACAGCTCACCCCTTCCATTGACATTGCCCTCAAAGCCAACGCTTGCACCACCCCCATCGCCCATGGAGGAAGCGACAACCGTTGCTGCTGTTGCTGCTCCTGACAAACACAGTACGGATGAGAGCAGTTGGCTGCCAACGAACAGTCATGTTACTGACAACAGCAACAACACACCACTGGAGAGCTCACCCTCCTCCGCCTCGCTCTCCTTTCTACGTGAGTATTTCTCTCCATTGAACCCTGCCTCTACTTCTGCCTCTACCTCTGCTTCACCCACCGCGCCTGACGCTTCATCCAATCACATCCCACGAAAAAGAAAAGAGACTCACCCCTTATCACCTACTGCGAAACGGTCGGTTCCTTTTCGTTATAACAGTATCGCCTCCTCCTCCTCCTCCTCCTCGTCTTCCTCACCGACGCCTGCTCAAAGACGACAAGCACAATGTGGTTTACTCGCCATGCTAGCGAATGCACAACAACAACAACAACAACAACAAGACCAACAACAACAACAACAGCAGCAGCAGCCACCACCACCACCATCGAACCATCGTCGAGAGTGTTTCCATGATACCCTTCACTGTCAAAAGATCGTATGCGTGGATACGGAGCATATCAAAGTTTCCTTCAAGCTACGTCACTCCTCTCCTCAGAGCCAGACGTGTCGTCTATCAGTGAGAGAATATTTCAATTGTATTGCTACCAGACAACAAGAAGACGCTAACGACGACAACAAGGTGACAGTAACAAAGTTCTTGTCTCTACCCACAAGGTGGACGACGGTGGATCGTACTTTATGGATCCAGAAAAAACCAAGTAAAGCATGGCGGCTTTATATCACCACCACTTGCGACTCTTATCCACCGTTTTGTCTGGAAATAGGATGGGTCCATTGGGAGCAACTGAACGTATGTCGCATTTGGCAACAGATGATAGAGAAACACGCATTCATACCAAAGAAGCCTTTGGATAGAATGGTGCAGATCGTGATAAAAGAAGAGGAAGTGGATGCGTCGTCGTCATTGTTGCTTGCTCCTGTCTTGATGTCCTTAGAAAAGAAGCCTATCCATGTCAAGAAGGACCGTCATGGAGCAACAGAGGTTACTTTTCAGGAAATCATTAATGAGGATGTTGTTGAAAATGGGTTCAGGGCACGCTGGCGTAAAGGTAAGCCTTTGTTGAAAGCCTACTTTTCTGAAAAAAAGGTTGTTTATTCACACCACATGCATCCACACATGTGTTAGCCGATCATCCACCTGGATCCCTTGTTGTACAATTGACACATATCTATGACGGACTTGATATCGCTGATTTCCGTGAGCTTTTGTCACTCATTGGAAGATGCCCTCAGAAGCCAACCCATCGTAGGCTACTTCGACCCGATAAAGTGAAGCGTCTTCTCTGGTCTCTTGCAGAAGAAGAAGCTCATCATCCTCATGGAAAAAGTAGCACCCACGATCCGTTAGAAAATGCGCTCCATCAAACACTTCAGGATCTGGCATGGCGTCAAGAGAGCGATAGTAAAATACAAGACATACCCACCTGGACACTTGGCTATACCCCTTCCCCTCTGAATCGAATCATCGCTTGTAAACTGCTGTGCCCGTCGTCCACCCTTGAGATGAGGGAGGAAAAAGAATGAAAAAGAAACACAAAAACTGCTGCCGTCGTCCTACTGTTCTGTAATACATTCGTTACAATAAAAGCCTTGAACAGTCATTCGCCTTAGCTATAAACTCATCCTCTATCTTTCTATCCCATGCTGTCTATCTTGCTTATTTCCCCGCGCACGCCGTGGCTGGAGATGTGATGTGCTTTTTCAAAACACTGAAACCGGCTACCTTTGGCCTTGTAAGCATTTTAAATAGTACACAGACGCCTTTTTGACACCAGAGGATTCCAACTCAACGAGAATGACCCCCACTCCCCGTTCCATCATCGTTCAAAATAGACTCTGCTCTTACCCTGAATAATGTTATGTGATTCCGCTTTTACTTTATTGATAGAATAGACGTGTGTGTACTGTATTTTTATTTGATTCTGTGCAAAAATGTTGCCTATTTTCTTGGCAGTCTTACGAGCTAAATAGAAACAGCCTTCAAACAACTGTTGGTATCATCCAACCTCATCGCTTTTTCCCTTTTACTCAAATAGGATATGGCCAGTCTGATTCCATTGGCTGTGTTAGCCTAATGCCGTTGGATAAAGGTCATTGCAGCAGTTGTCGGCCGATGAAAGTATCAAGTGGTATGAAAGTATACATCATCTAACTGTACACTTCTTGAACAAAATTGCAGATTGACATCAAAAGAGACAAATGCTCACATACACATACTCATCTGGCATCGTGGAACAAAGCTAAACTAATACAGGATTCATCGGACACTGTTTTTCGAATCAAGGGCACCTCATGGAATCGCTGTATTCATAGTTTCCATCACTTTTACTTTGTCTCCTTCCTTGGATAAAAGTGGATACAAATGCTTCACTACTTTAAGGGCCGTATCATCAATACTCGTCACACTTGTGTCAATGGTCAATAGGTCATTCTCGTCTTTTAAATGAGTCTTATACTGCTGGTACAATTGCTTATATTCCGGCCAGACGATCTTTTCAAAGTAGAACGGTGGATCTTGCCAATAGCCCTCTTGAGTAACATAGCCTTGTCGTCTTTCGCGTCGTTCTTTCATCACTTCAAACGAGCTTGTGAGCCAGATTTTCATGTCAAACACATCGGTTATCCATTTCTTATGAAATAGCATGAATCCATCGACAATCACTAAAGAAGTATTGCATGCATTCAGAGCACGGCTCATTTCATAAATTTCTTCCAGCACGCAAGGGCTCAAGAGCTCTGAGCCATCATGCCGATTGTTTTCTTCGTAAGATGGGTAGTCTTTAGGAAGTTGGTGATGGCATTTCACATACTCCATCGTCTCAAATAACTTGACAAAGTCGACGGATTCTGGGCAGTCCCAATTCTTCAAACCTGTTACCATGTCAGTGGGAATCTCACTTTCGCGCTAAAAGGAGGAAAAACCGTTAACGCACCATTGGAATGACAAAGCTGTGATCTTTGTTATTGCGCTGAGCTTTACTTTGTAAAAGTCGTCCTGATAGATAACTGTTGAGAATGGACTGGTCTTCCGTAAAATGCGGGTAATAGTCTATTGCCGGTAGTCACAAAAAGAAAGGAGCATTGGTTCAAAACCCCGTATGTTGACTTGGGAAAAAGAGACAATAGCACTTACAGTCTTACCAGAGCAAGAAGGTCCACTAGGCTCGACGATACAATCAATTCTCCAACTTTTTCTTTCTTTGCTATTATTTAAAAGTTTGTCAACTTACGAAACACCAACCACAAATAACCTTCGACGCTCACTGCTGAAAGACATGGATGATTGAAACAGAGAAAGAGAGAGGAACGCAATCAGGTCCAAAAGCTGTTAAACATATTATTCTTGATGGCAGAGGCATTTTTTCAAAGACCGCGAGTGGCCTTTAACCACCCCAATGGGCCAAGGATAAATCTCAGGCTCAAGGACAGCCATTGTTAAAACGATATCCATCTGCTGGCTTCTCAGTAGGGTGGTCATTAGGAAGTATCCTCTAGAGTATGAGACTTGCTGTGGCACAACGCAATGCATCACCAAAAGTACAGGGGTAAAGCCTGAGAGACAAGCGTTCTCTTTTTGCGACACTGACGCAATGACAAAGTAGTATCTATGCTCATACTCTACAGTGATTGACATCCGTTTATTCCTGTGATCAAAATTTTTATTGCTAGTTTGAACATTCCTTTTCCCAGTTTTCAGGGATTTGATTCTTGACGATATTTTTAAAGGCTTCTAAAGTACAGAGTGACTTATCACCGTCTTTATGGTTACCCTTGGCAAGACAACCAGGTAATTCCAAGGTTTTTTCATTATATCTAACTCTTACAAAATGATCATTTGTTCCCTTTTGCTTGAATAATTCAAACAGAACTGCACTACCAAAAGGAGGCCATCGTTCATCAAATCCGTTTAAAATAATTAACAATGGTGCCACAGTCCTATTTTTTCCCCAATCATGGACACAATTAGTTTGATGAGATCCATAAAAGTTGTAGCGGTTAGCGGATACTTTACGTGTCATGTCCAGAATAAACTGCCAATTTAAGATTTTCATCGTCTTCCTTTGATTGAGTGGCTCTATAGATCATACGGTCTCTGATCACGCCCATTAATCTACCCAAACTCAATCTACGTACTTCCTCTGATACCATGTTTCCATAAAACCACTCCTTCACCACTGTATCCTCAAGATCTCTTAACAATTCTTCGTCGTCGATATCGGCGGGTATTTTGAACCCGTGAGCTTTAGCTGCAATCAATGTATCCAAAATACCGTTCGCAGATGGGTGACTCTTCAATGATACTTCGTCTACATAGTTTTTAAATCGTTTGGACAACACCTTGAATCTATCCTGCAGCATATCTGATACCTTTTGGTTAAACTCCTTTGCTAGAGCACGTAAACGCTGACAGTTTGGATTCGGGAACATTAAATCGTCTCTAGGATCACTATAGGACACGTTGTAGCAGAAAATGATACTGCGTTAGTGATAGGGTCTTTCTTTTAACATCGACTGACACTCCTCTCGGACATTGGATGTTTGGTTTTTCATTTTACCGAACACGAAGTTTCAAAGTGACATTGTCAGGTCTTTTGCCGTGAGGATAAAGACCACCGGTGATTAATTGTTGAACAGATTCTTGCGTACGGATATAATCACTGCTCCTTAAATACACAGCCTTTTCATCGTACAAGTCAGGTAAAAAGTGAAGTCTATCATATGAATGATATTCCTGCTTTATGAGCCTTCTGTTGTGTCTGCTACCATGCATAGCGTGTTCTCTTACTTGTCAATGTAGAATTCTCTCATGCGTTGACCCAAAATTGTCATTCTGTATCTACCAAGATTTGTCAATTGGCCATAGTAACTAAGAAGAGTAGCGTACGATTCGTTGAACAACTGGAAGCGCCTATCCAAGGACTTTTGACACTTTTGCTCTTACCATAAATCAGATTGGATGGGCATGGAAGATTTACTCTCGGTTTCTGCAGTTTCGACTAATCGCTTCGTTTTGACAGCTTCTAAATCTTTTATCTCGTCCTTATCAAATTGAGCAATCGTTGAGAACATGGCCTTGTTGGCTGCACATAAATTCCAAACAGGAGGAATGATTCCTTCCAGTCTTCTTCTAACGGGTGAACGTTCACCTTTTTGCATGAAACGCAACGGTGAGTACAGCTGTCTACATTTTACCGAGTATTTGTTTTCGTGTCTATGTTGCTGTCGTCCTTTACTCCTCCTTACCATGTCTATGAACTACTTGTAGAAGCCTTTATGCCCAACAAAAAAAAAAATTTAGCTTATCACGGAGGAAAAAAAAGGATCCCTTTGTTTACTTTAGCACACATTGGATGTAGCTCCTTACTTTAATTCTAAATCAGGTGGATATTGTTCATCCTTAAACTCGGGTAATTTTGCTGACATTTATATGGCAATACTACTTGTCCTTTATTAAGCTTTTTGAGGAAACAGAAAGAGGAAAAGGCTATTTACTGTTTATTTTTCTTTTCTTTTCTTTTTTTTTTTTTTTTGTTTGGTCATTCCTACATTTTTTATGGATATTTTCTAATTCAGACAAAGTTTTATGAGCCTTGAGTCTAATCTGAGTCTTTACTGATTTGACGTTAATTTTTTTTTTTTTTTGCTGGAAAAAGTATTTTCTTTAGAATTTCGCGGGTACTTCACTCAATATAAGTCTTGACTAGTTTTACAGCACCTTTGGCAAACGATCAAACATTCTCAGGCTTTCCTATGCCCCTTCGTAGAAAAACGAGTTTGGAAAGCTCGGTATATACTGTGACAATTTATCAAAATGCCACAGTTAATAAATCGACTTTCATCTATAGAATCCTATCTTTTCCATCTGCAACAGAAAAAAGCTGCTCTTCGTTTGGTTGCTGTGGAAAAAATGCTAAAGAAATCACAGCAATCATGTCTTGAAACGAGCTTTGCTGATATTCAAAGTGAAAACTGGACTTTATAGTAACTGAAACTGATCAAGACGATATTAGTTCATTCCGAAAACGTTACTTTCGAGGCACATGCACTGTGCCTTGGTTCAAAATTACAGTGCTCAAGTACCAATTTGCGCGTTTTAAAAATGTTTTTGCGCGCTTGTAAACATCAATTTGCGTCATTGATCATTTCAACTCGCGTATTAACTTACTATATGCTCAGTCACTGGGAAAAAATATGTTCGAGAATGGTCAAGAAGACATCGCTGATGAGACTGGGAATGAGGCCATGGACTGAGAAGAAGAAGTCAATCCACATAACACGGAAACCTTGAGTAATTTTACTCAATATTGTGGTAAACAGCCGATGGATCTTGATATGACAGATCCCAAGCTTCCTGAACGAATGGATCAGCTAGAGAAGACTATCAATGCTAGCACTACACCTGAAAAAAAATGTATGCCGATTATTCTGATAGTCAAAAAATATTGTTTATGTATTATTTGCAGCTAAAGTTGCTAAGTGCTGTTGCTTGCTGCTAGAAAAGCTGCGATTAATGTTCGTACTGGTCAGGATTGGCCTAAAAAAACTCAAGGATAATCTCGAATGGAATATTTTTGAAAAACAAACCAACAAAGTAGCCTTTTAAAAAGACCTGGTAGACTCCAAAAAAAAGGTGGTAGAACCTGGTAGATTTGGTAGATCAGTGTAAGAAAAAAATAAAGCCAGCTTCAAGACGAATATAAGACTCATTTGATTGAGTTTATCGATAAAAACCCCTACGCCCGAGGATATGATGCAGACACCGATTAACTGAGAGCAGTGTACCACTCATGGTAGCAAAAAAAAAGATATATGAGAGTCATGCTAGCATGAAATTTGCGTGGTAGAATGCATAATGCTCGCAAATTCATCACGCATTTTGCGTGCCACCACAAAGTAAAGCTGGTATAGCCGATGCTACCACGCAGCTTGCGTGCTGCCATGAATAGAGCAAGGGCGGAGGACTTTAAACATTTGAGATTTCCGCTCACATTCTACCAACTCTCATAAATCAAGTACAATTTTACAATTTTGAATAAGTTAAAACAAAAAGAGAGTAGAAAGAGTCTCTTATATGTAGACTGGTAATGTTAGAATTTCCTAGACGAGAAAGTGGTATGGACGACAATGCATAATAAGCAAGTGCAGAGTATTGTTGTAAAGCATCGATGAAGAATAACGATAGCCAAAGATAATGTCCTTTTTCTTCTGCTTGGGGCTTCCTTACCAATTTCACCAATTTCAGCCTTTTGAGCAATAAACAAAACTTTACCGATATATCGCTGTGCAACCATTCGGGCTGTTGTTTTCAATTATTTGAGGGCTTCCTTCTTTCACCTTTTTCTTTTTACAAGGGCTTTTAAAAGCTAATGAAATACTGTTACTACATCTCAATTTCTTTTCATAATCTGCTCATTTGGCCACATCACCGACAAGATGCATCAATGAATCGTGACATCTGAGTAATTAAGGCACGCTCATCTTTGCCATTACATTGCTGCTTATAGTTTAGCTTGTTTATTAACTAGGATTGCAAGGTCGTATGAAGAAAGTGAAGCAAACGACGTCAAATACGCATATTGCCGATTACTTCTCATTTAGCACTGCGAACGACAACTAAATAATCTTTCCAAACAGGTATTTTATTTTTGGCCCAGAAAAAAAATAACTCTTCGTTTTACTTTTACAACTCATGGTCAGCAGCCGTTATATATTTATACCATATCTTCAATTGACACTTTTTTTCTATAGAACTTAAGCTTTGTGGCTTTCTTCAACTGTTTCATGTCTTCCGCTGGGCCAATGCCAACGCTCTCAAATAAAGTTGCAGCCTACCATTGCAAAAAAAGAAAAATACAGTTGTTTATGGTTGCAAAGAATCTGTTTTGTACCTATCAGGTAATCATACAACATTATTTTTTACTTCATAACCTTATCGCACCAACTTATTCATTTGTTTTACTTCTTTCTTCTGCAATAATTAAGAGTAGTAGACTGTAAGAATATCAATGATACCCACTTGTCAGGTAAAAATTGTCACTGTCATTCAAACTGGACCTTCGTCAATCAAATGATTCACACGCTTACTTGTAGGAGTACTTTATTTTGCTGTAGGAGTGCATGTAAGGACAATATCTGAACAAGCAGACCAGCTACTTCTTTGCTGACAATTGTAAGGAGATAATAAAAAGCGTACTGCCATGCTTGATGCTTTCTACGATGAAAATTGCGCGGTAGCATGTTTAAGGCGTCTTACCATGCAAAATGCGTGCTGCCATTTTTAAGTCGATTCAGCATGCACTATTCATGGTAGCATGAACTTTGCGCAGTAGCACGCATCCCACGCATCCCATGCATCGTTGCATGCTAGCATGCTATTTTTAACGCAATTTGCATGCTACCATGTTTAATGCACGGTGAAAATGTAAACAGTAAATTATGCCAGTTTGACTTGTGAACAATTGCTTAATCGACAATTCAAGTCTAAGTTGACAGCCGTTTATGCTGTGTTTAAATTAATTAATTCTCACTCGTGTTTCGATACCGTAGACAGTGATCGGGACATGACACTAAGCAACTTTACTTATTGCGGAGAAATAGATACGCCCTTAGTTTAAGAGCACACGATAAAATGCGACTCATCTGTGACAGGTATGAAATTGATGTTAAATTTGAAGACCAAGATAAAATAAACGACATATTTTCCTTAAAGTAAGAACCATTACGAGAAGGAGCTCTGGGAAGTTATTCACAAAGGAGCAAAAAGGTTGGTAAGCGGATCTTAAAGCGTACATTTAATATATGTATACTAGAACTAACAAAATAAGCGACTTCATAACAGAATATCAGCCATTTAGAAATAACTGTAAACGCTATTGGAACTGCTACAATAGCTACAAACACGGCATCAAATCTGATTTCTGCTACATATGATACCGTTGACAAAGAAAATATACCTCCTCAACCATCAATTACACCAATTGAAAATACAGCTGCTAGTGTTAAATCATATAACGATGATGAAATTATTATACACTCAGTTGTTCATAAAAAGGTAAGATGAATATAACAATGCACTGATATTATTCGTGTTATTGACTTAGTTTGGAAATCCAGCTTTCTGATAAACTATCCAGTGACGACTTACACTATTTAAAAAACTACCAAAGCGATGGATCGCCAAAGTCTGATCTTCTCTTGTTATCATCAAAGTTACTCCAGAAAGAAACAGTAACTGTTCTTAAAGAAACTGTACTGGAGTAAGTTACATATATTAAATTTAATTAAGTATTATATTTACTGATTGCAATACTATTGCTTAGATTAAGCTTATCTGGCATATATAACTATATTAATCCAGCAGTTGTAGAGATTTATGACAAAGAATTCAACCATCCACTTCCTCAACTGGTTGACGATGACGACAATACGATCAAAGTCCCAAAGGACATTATTTCGGAAGTGTTTGAAAAAATTTCTCAAAGTAAAGATATGAACGAGGCCTTATATTATCTACAAATCGAAAAGGCTAAGTTATGCAAGAATAATGAGCGAAGAAGTGATAGATATGCTATACTTTCTATCGTAGAAAAAGTGTAAGATCGGTTTGTAGAAATACAATATATTCAGCAATACTAAAATTTTTAATATAATAGAATTGAAGATATGGAGCTCTGGAGTAAATGTGGTGATGAGCAAGAGCTCACATTCTATAGAAGTTTCGCAAGCATCATGGACGTAATGTTCAAAGGTTCCAAAGTCATATTGTCTGAGTAAGTAATACAAATGAAGCGAAAGTAATATATACACATATTGATAAATTTTCTTTTGTACAGTGGTGAGACAGGTTGCCAAAGTTCTCGTGTCGCTATAAAAGCAAATAAGTGTGTTTTTGTCGGTGAAGATACTTCGCCCACTTATTCTCGAAAAATCGATTTACTGCTCAAATACAATGAAAAAAAAGCCATCGATCTTTGTTCTAACGAATGGAAAAGACGCAAAGTAACAAACGATCTCAAATTAAAGCAGCAGTCAAAAAATATGAGGGTCAATGCTTGCATTATTAACAATTTACAAGGAACATATGGTGGATCTCATTCTGTCTTAGCATTGGATGTAATTGGTAAATACATGTTTAACTATATTCAGGGAAAAATAGTTAATTTAACGAAAGCGTTAATAAACGTAAATATAGACAATGTCACGGAGAATTGTTAATTTCATAAACTAATGTACATCGATAAAAAATAAAGTTTCCGCCGGACTCTCTTGTAAGTTATACTATGTAAATGATACATAGTTGTTGGGAGTTGTCTCGACTTCCGAAAGAATTCGAATTACATCTTTGACCCTCAGTCAACAGTTGAGCTAGCAAAATATAGACCTTTTGAATAGATGAGCAAGAACGTAGACTTGCAAAAGGGAACCTCAAGAAACGAAAAAGCTGAGAAAGCTTCATTTAAATTCACTTTCGGATGGGTATTATGGTAATGCTTGTAAATGGCACTTGTCAGTTCAACAAAATAAATTAGTCCCAGCGTTGTAGTAAATGTTGCGGAAAGCCTTGTAGATATAATATGAAGGTAACATGCCTACTTGAACCAACTTGGAAGCGATGGATATCATATTGTTCTTTATTGTAGAAAGTCAAAGCAGTAAATTTGACGAGTTAAACTAAGGTTTTTGAATAAAGCTGCTTGTAGTAATTCTTCGAACAATCTTCAAAAAGAAGTCTTCGATCTTAACAATGCCAATTCCATAATAAAAATATACCAGTAGCTACGTTAGACTAATCGCTTTTGCTTACTATGAAAAGTATCAATATTTCCTTCATGATCTGCTTTTCTCAACTCTACTTGGAGACTGCTTCTATCCACGGGAAATGGTTGGCATCTTTTTCTAATGTATTTCTTTTCCGTTTTATAATATGATGGTCGCGTTTCTAAAGTGGTGACGGGGGTCTTAAAAATGTCTGTTTCTGTTCTCATTGAAAACAGTAGCAACCTAGAGATATCGGATCAAAAAGAACAATCTCGTTGCTTGACAAGCAGCCCATTGTGCATGTCGGGCTTCGAAAAGCCATTCGCTTCTTTAAACCGGTTATCTTTCTTCCCCTCATTTTCAGACACACAAGAAACTTTTTCTTTTTGATAACTGTGAATGCTGTTCCTACTGTCATCTGCCTAAATGCAATGAACTATTATTCTGACACTCAGACGACACCATCTCCAAAACTTCAGCGGTACAATAATGAAGAGGAAAAAAAGCTACGGTGGCATAGGCATCCATTAAATATTTCCAATCCTTCCGTCAACAATATGGCTTGCGCTTCACCTACTGCTGCAGCGAACACATATACTAGCGGTACTCCTACTGATTATCGCATGCCTTTGCAAGAACCAGTAGCGTTTGAAGGTATTCCTGTTCATAAGTGTAGCGCTAAAATGTTTATTTATTAAAGCAATCAATAGATTTTCAATTCAGCTTAGGGCTTGATCCCGACTTTGCTATGCCAATTTCCTTGGACATGCCTCCTCCTCCTCTCCCTCCCGCTCTTCCTACTCTTCCTCGTCACAACACGCCATCTTTTGCTAGTGATGATACCAATATTGATACACAGCGTGTGCAGTTTCAGCCGCACAGGCCACCACCTCGTTCACCAGACCATTACGATTGGCCGATAAACAACAATACACAACAGATACCCTATCATTACCCCAATGATCATTTGAATAACGTTATTTTGGACGAACAGGAACACAAAGCATTTACTGAATGGTTGAATCATTTCTTTGTTGATCCGGATATGGAAGCGGCACCAGCTTTCGCTCAACAAAGCCTTCATCAGGATCGTGATCAACAACAGAAAGAGGATACTGCGGCAAGGAAACCTATCACTACAATGAACCATGCTAATTTATCACCATGTTTGGTAACTACTGCCACAAATAACTCTTCCATACCAGATGAAAGCAGCGTCTGTAAAAGACAACATCCTTCTCAAATGGGAAGCAACGATAGTCACGAGAGCAAGAAAGGTACCAATGGCAGTCGTCGCAGTAAAGGTACGAGTAGCTTCGGCAGTTTTGGCGGCGCCATAAGAAGAATACATCAGAAAGAATTGTTAACAGAAGAAGAAAAGAGAAATAACCATATAGCATCAGAACAGAAAAGACGAAGCATGATTCGATCAGGATTTAAAAACCTGACTGAGATTGTACCTACTTTATCAAAAATTGCCAATAATTCAAAAAGCACCATTTTAATGCAATCGGTGGATTATATCAAGTATCTGGAAAGAGGAAATAATAAACTGCGCGAAAAGGTCAAACAATTGGAGTTTAGGGTGAAAGTAGAAAACAAAACCAAGATGGACATCGACCTACCTATTGCTACTACAGCAAAAAAAGATATCCTACCATCAGAAATACATTCTACAAAGCCGTTCACCTCGCCAGAATCAGTAAAAGAAACAACAGTAGATTCAGCAGTAGACATAAACTCCCAACCTATGGTTGCGGATAGCACAGACAGTGCCTTGAAGTTACATAAATATCAACAGCGACAATTATTAGAGTTACAAGAAAAACTTCACTTGCACCAACAGTTATTGCTACAGCGTAACAAGGAACATAATAGTGAGAAGGATAACAAAGACAATATCGTATCCGTCTGAGTTTTCGGAAATACTTATTTATATCAGATACTCCATACTACTCTAAATGTATACCGAAATCTTAACAATCAAAACTATTTATTTACCAATGTAACATATACCTTTTTCCTTGTTTGCCATAACCATAACAGATACAAGGTCCAGTTGTTGTCTAAATTCAGTAATGGATACTCATCATGGCTGAAATGAGCGTGACGTTACAAATGTTGAATGGGGCAGAGATGGGTCTACGAAAAGCAACACTTGGATGAGCAAAGGAATGTAGGCAGAGAGGGGTAACAATTGAAAAGTTGCGTGCAGATGCCTTAAATTAATGTATAGTTTTTATTTCACTGTACTGGCAATGATAGCATGAGAAGGCTGGACATTTATGTGAATAGCGCAAGCTAACGAGGCAAAGATCTTTTTGGGGTCATGATCTAGACAGTGATAGTATTTTCTAAAGCTGAAGAAACAGATAAATTCGAATTTTCATAGAAGACAGTTACACTCGTCAAGTAGGCTTCATTGAAAAACTTGGAGCGAGATCTCCCTTTGTAGTTCCATTATGAGCAGAAAATCAAAGGATGGCTATCGATGAATATGAATACTGTACAGTTATTAACACTATGATACATTATTTATTGTTACAAATCCGAAACGGATCGCGATTCTATCTTGAAGACGATGTGAGACGCCTAATTCTAGCAAATAAAAGGGGATTGATCCGTAAACTAGAAGGCTGTGATTTTTGTTCTTGCAACCTAATGATTTGACTAGTGAGTATTTTCACGGATGTGGCGTCTACATTGTCATTACTAGTTTGTTGTTCTTCTTGTTTTTTGGTAATATTCATAAATAGGGTCAATGCATTTTGGGTATCACCTAAATCCAATAAAGCAGAAACGAGGGTATATAAAGTTTCGGAATTCGGCTTTACTTGGTTCTTCACCATGTGTTGATATATTTGATGTACTTTTTCCAAATCCAACTGGTATTGTTTGTCTATCACAAAACTGCGTTTGTCGCAGTCATCTATGTCATCTTCAGACGAGACCAATGCTTCGTTTTGCATAAACGATTTGAATAACGAATTATAAATCTTTACTGTTGGCTTTACGTTGAAATGGGGTTGCATTGTGAATAATGTCGAGACTGCTTCTTCCCTTTTACCATCCTGTAACAATAAGTCAATATAGATTCGAAATGTCTCGAAATCCGCCTTTGGTATTCCCTTTTTCTTTGAGCATCGCTGTTGTTGTTGTTGCTGCTGACCTCTTTTCCGTTTTCCTTTATTAGGATGGCGCTGGTTTTGTTGTCCTCTAAGACTCAGTTGAACTCGATTGACTTCCTTCATTTTGTGAAAGAGTTCATAAGCTCTTTCTGGCAACCCATTGAAAGCATAGCCTGCAATGATAGTATTCCAAATGTAGGTTGTTCTGATCAAGTCTTCGTCGTGTTGGTCAGTAATTCGCTGTAACAGATAATCAATACCATCCACGTCTCCTATTTTCCCCAGCGCCTTGATCAATGTAGAATAGGTCAGCGTATCGGGAGGGATCCCTCGAGAAACCATATCATGATATAATTTTTGTGCTGCCTTCACATCAGAGATTTGAGCTGCAATGTTAATGAGCGTATTAAATGTCCCCGCGTTTGGCCCCACCGGCTCTTTTGCTATTTTCCTCTCAATGCCGGTCCCTAATGAGGATTGGTGCTGAACATTGAGGATGACATAGGGCTGCTGCATCTCATCAAAGATTTTCATCGCCTCTGTAAAATGCTGTGGTCGTCGCTGTGGTACGGTATGGCCGCCCACCCAATGAATGAGGGCATTGTATTCTGATACTGTCAAGTGATGTCCATGCGTTAGCATATCCTCAACAATGGTTTTGAATCGATTCAAGTTCTTTGAAGTGGCTCGAGAATTGATCGTATACTTGATAAGGTAATGAAATACACGTCTACTAACGCACTGAAGAAATCCATAATCATAAAGCTCGTCGTAAATTGGCCATATTAAATCCATATTAGTCGAAGCAAGTGCTCGTTGGAAGTTGGCCAAAAGCTTCGCTTTCAACTTTAGACGAGTAGCCATATCAAGCTCAGCGTTTTCTTTCCTGGGAGCATTCATATTATAATGATGTGTGGTGTTGTTGGCCTTGTTGTTGTTAGTTTCGAGGAAGGGTAAATTATTACTGTTTGTTTTGTGATGGCGGAAGAATGCAACGGGAAGCGGCGCTGCTGCTGAAGAAGAAGAACTGTTTCTCACCGCTAAAGCTGTGAATGAAGGCAAAAACCAATGGCCATTCCTAGTGCTTGAAATGGCAGAACAATATATGCATAAAGACTTTTTCGGTACGAAGGTGCTGCTGTTGAGTCGAGGCCATAGCCTTCGCATAATTTCTAATTTTATGAACAGTGAATAGAGAAAGAAAGGTAAGGGTATGCCAGGGTAGGTAGTTAACCAGAGCAACAGCAGAATAAAGCAAAACTGGTGTCAAAAAGTTGAATTTTAATTTATTGAAAGGGTGGTTCTAAAGTGGGGTAAAATTGAAAGCCCAGGTTGAGACCCTTAATGTATCGTCACAAAGTGACTGATTATCAGGCTTGGGGATGCCATCTTCAGGAACATTAGCTTCGAGTTCTAACGGTCACAGGCAAAAAGTTCATCGCGAAATTTCGCGCTTGCCCAACACAACCCGAGACGACGACAGACTAATTATTTCTCCACTTCTTTTCATTCTTCTCGATCAATCTTCTCGTCTTCGATGATTCAATTTCAAGAAAACAGTAAATACATGCTTGCATTGTTATCTGTACCCCTTCGAGTGCTTAGTAACCATGAATAAGATATACAGCTCGTAAATTTTCTGACAACCCTACATTTTTCAAAGAAAAAAGTACACATGAATATGACATGACTCAGACTTTCTTTTCACTAGCTTCAATAGTTATTGGTAAAGACACATTGTCAATCTTTTTTCCTTCGTCAGCCAGGGGTATCATTCCTACTGAAGAAGCATGTAACGAGTAAGTTATAAACAGAAAAAGAGTGTAATAGGCAGTCTACTGATCTTTTTTTTTTCGTTAGATTGTTGAAATCAAATGGCATTTTCTATGGGCCAGATACACAAGAGATCGTTCGTTGTTCCAGTGGCTCTGCCATGCGTTATTATAAGCACCAACAACAGTGGTGATGCCATGGTGTCCTTAGAGAAGATGGCACCAGATGTTGTAATGGCTCATCACGAACTATCCGAGTGGATTCGTTTTTTACAACCGTAATATTGCCAATTCGAACACGATGACGATATTACTCTACTGGGCTCATAACGTTGACCGATGTATATAGCCAGTCTAGCTGAAATATCTCCTGCGACCGTAAGAGGAGTAATAAATGACTGGCATCCGCTTTTGCAGGAGGATATCACACTCGATGATTGCAAAGTTGGTGGATATGATTCTCATGACGACCGGATTATTGTTCAGATTGATGAAAGCAAATTCGGAAAAGTTATACTGGCGTGGCCATCGAGTTGAAGGTGTCTGGGTGGTTGGCGGGGTAGAAAGGACAGATGAGAGAAAGTGTTTTCTCATTGTCGTTGAAAACAGGAACGAGGTCACTCTCTCCAGTATCATCGAACGTTTCGTCAAACCAGGTTCGCTAGTATACACTGATTGCTGGAGTGCCTATCAAAACATGGTAAATCTTGGCATGGACTTAGAACATCGCACGGTGAACCATTCTGTTACTTTCCGTGATGGTGATGTCTGTACCAACACAATCGAAGGTATGTAATATATCAGGTTCAGCTATATTCATCAATTAATAACCGTTTTCTTTTACGTTAGGAACGTGGGCAGGCATCAAAATCAACGTGGCTGCAAAAATGAGAACCAAAAAAATGATGCCATGGATGCTTATTGAGTTCATCTGGCGTAGAAAGCACCATGGCGACATTTGGAAAGGTATTTTAAATACTTTAAAAGACGTGAGCTTCAACCGAAGTCAAAGACATCCTGCTTGGTTCACTAAAGTTGAGCCATAGTTTAAAAAAAAAATGAAATAAAATTGATTCCCATTTAATATAAATTGGTTTTTTTTATTCACGATAACATAATTATTTATAATGTTGGTAAATGTTGTGTATTACCGAATAGTCAATGAGCATCTTTTCATAAAAAAAAAACCAGAATAATTACAATTTTCGTGCGTTCCTGCATTTGGTAATCTCATCATAGCATTGAGGCCAGAAGATATGATGGAAGGAATCTTCTTCAATTGCTATCTAGATGCTTCAAGAACAGCAAGCCTTCTCACTTTTTAAATTAAACTTTTAAATCATTGTTAAAAGACCATCTTTTCTGATGCATTAGCGTCTTTGTTGGTATATACAAAAAAAAATACTATCGCTTGAAGGGAAAAGAACCACCACCTGAACCTAGAAAATCGAAACCAGGAAAACCACCACCACTACCTGAACCAGAAAAACCACCAACAGCACCAAAAGGTAAATTTTGCCGACGGGTAAGGTGAATATCATTAAGACCGACGACTTCAATATCGTTCAAAGCAGAAGCGTCAAGACCGTCAGAGTTGACCACAGGTGCGGCAGACACGAAAGCGAATATGCAAGCGGTAGAAACGAGATTCAAAAGTTTAATTTGCATTATGAGTCGGCAAGAAAAGTTTATGAGAAGGAAGAAAACGATTTTGAATGCAAAATTGATATCCTTTTATAAGTGCAAGAATCTTGTAAAGAGCAAGCATTTTTTTGTTTTCTACTTTAATTAAAAATTCCCTGCTTAAAGATGCCGCTAAAGATGTTCATAGATTGTAGATCTATGCAGATAATCCCTGTTTCTTATAACGCTTATAAGCTTTATTTATCGAAGCATACTATAGCAACTACACTGCTTGGAACGTACAGTTACAGTGACTCACAAAAGTGTGGCAATGTTTTGTGGTTTTTTGATTTTCTAGTTTTCCTTCCATAATCAATTACAAAACACACTCTTTTTCTTATTTATATTTGCAGTAGACTCTATTCGCTACAGTTTGGTGTGCTTTTCATTGCATTCGCTTCAGATTTACTGATTGTAACAGTTGTCATTGCTAAATGGCGAAATCTCGCCATTCACAGCATGATGATCATCATAACTTTTTGTGAAGTGAAAGAAAGAGTTTCAAAGTCAGCCAATCGAAACCACGTTCCTAGTTTTATATTCATGCGAAACGCTTATTTTGAAGCGTTTCTCTTCTTAACATTAAGTTAAATTCGAGATCAATCTGCCATTAGCCTCCATTAGCAAGCATCATCCTAATTAGTGAAATGAGAAGCATTCCTTACGACAAAAAGATGGATATTATAGCTCAACTCAATGCTAAAAAGTCATATAGAGCTATTTCGGCCGCTACTGGCGTCTCTACTAGGACCATTGGTCGAATCGCCAAAGAGATTCAAGTCGAGCCTAATGCGAAGATGGGGAGACCAAAGAAGATCAGCGATTTGCATGCTAGGCTGATCGCGAGATCGTTCTACACCGGTCAATATATAACCGCAGTGGATGCCTCCAGAAGCCTTCGTGCTCAAGGGCACGATATTTCTGCTCAAACGATTCGTAGGGTGCTCAAGTCATCTGATTTCGATTCCAAGATCAAGAAATCAGCATTGCCATTGACTAATGAACGCCGACGCAATCGTTTGAGATGGGCAAGAGCTCATAGCAAGTGGACTGTTGATGGCTGGAAAAAGGTTGTCTTTAGTGACGAAACCAAAATTAACCGTTTGGGGTCGGATGGTAAGACTTGGACTTGGGTAAAGAAAGGGGAGCCCCTAAAGCCTCACAACGTTAATTTCATGTACAAAGGAGGTGGCGGTAGCCTAATGCTATGGAGTTGTTTCACCCAACATGGGCCTGGGTTCATTGCTAAGATTGAGGGCGGGATGGACTCGAAGTTATATTGTGAAATCTTGAAAGGCGACTTTATGGAGACCCTCAAAGATTATGGTCTCAAAAAGAAGGATGTGATCTTGCAGCAAGATAACGATCCTAAGCATACTGCTAAATATACTAAAGAATGGTTCAGAAAAAACAAGGTCAATGTTCTTGACTGGCCATCCTACTCTCCTGACTTGAATCCGATCGAAAATCTTTGGTTTTATCTAAAGTGCAAGCTAGCTGCGTACGATGTACCTCCCAAGAACATGGGAGGGCTATGGAATCGTGTTGCCGACGTTTGGTACAACAAAGTTACAGCAGAAATGTGTATGAAACACATCGAGAGTATGCCTAGACGTATACAAGCCGTTATACAGGCAAAAGGTGGACCTACGAAGTATTAAATCTTCAATAAAAGTAGTTTACCCCTGAACCTTGATCGCAAATTTGCATGAAATTCATATATGTCATTTTAAAACTCAATTTTTACTATGTTAGTCTTATCGAGACAGTACAAAAGTTATATCGTATGAAAGAGAAAGCTTTTATCTTCTTGTTCATAAAAAATACTCTTGCTGTTATGTATATAATTGTATGATGAAAAGAGCAGAAAGAGCAAGAAGTAGTTAAAAGACCGAATTATTGCCACACTTTTGTGAGTCACTGTACCCATGTAGAGCAAACATTTTATTAAGGACTATCTCTGTTGTCTCTGAGACTATCACATAGACAATGAGCCCAAGGTTTCAACTAGCATTTGAGGCTAAAATAATTGACTAGCAAAAGTACATTCGCCCTCTTACTAATTTTTTTTTTTTTTTGGAAGAGTCGTAAGAATCCAAGGGCCATCATCATTGAGTAACTTCCTATTATCTTTTTATTTTTTTTCTAACAAAGTAAAAAGCTATCAAACGGTCTTCAAATAGATCAAATATCATGAGTATCTTTTCTAAAATGCCACCAACTTGTTGCCTATAGCTTTTCTTTTTGCTGTTTAAACTTAGTATTAAGATCATGCCAAAAGGGAATGGATTGTTAATTAGAGTAAAACGCAAACAAACATTTTGTTTTACTCTTCTGTTGCTTAGTCATATTTTGAGAAACAGATTTATTTTTTTTATTTTTTTTTTCTACTCCTGATCCGCAATCATTATAAAGTAGTTTAAGGTATATGTATTCAAAAAAAAAAGAAGCAAATTAGATAATCACAGATTTGTTATGTAAAATATCGGGAGCAGCAAAAAATATTCTACTCTATTGGTTTTTGCAGGGGGCAAAAAGGGAGTCCTTTCAAAAATCACACTGAATGGGCCTTAAGAAGAATAGTATTTTCAAGCATTTCATTTCAAAGGATAGTGTTTTTAGATAAAACCAAAAAAACAGGATCTTTTTTTGGTTATCGAGGTGGCAACTGGAGGATAATGTATAGTAACAGTAGTTGTAGCAGTATTCATGACTTATCTTAGGGGTCTACTTCTTTTCTTACCGGCTTTTGATGATTCAATATGAATGTAATTCTTCTCTTCTATTTGTGTATGGCAATCAACCAATTAAAAAGTGACCTTCACTGTGCGTATAATAGAAAGAAGTATAAGAATAACTAAAGAGTGTAAGAATAATGTCATAGTCGTAGCTGAAAGCACCACTTAGACCAGAAGATGATATAGCAAAACCCTGTTGGTTTTTTTAGTGTTTTTTCTTCTTGCCTTGTTTCCTTATACGAACAAATTATAAAGTGAATGCCAAATTCGGGAAATATGTCACTGAGTTTGAAGACAAGTTTTGCTTTTTTGCCCATTGTAGTCCTCTGTCTAAAAACTGAAGATGCTGGGAAACACAGCTTTAATGCACAGCAAGCAGCCTTTTTAGAAGCCTTTTTCTTTTTATTTAATTTTTATATTCTAGCTTCTCTTTTTCTATTTGATTATTTATTATCACTTGTTATATTCTTTCGTTTATTAATTGTATATAGCCTCGACTTTATTTATTATTTTGCGTTTTTTCCTTTTTTTTCTTAAAATAATACCTATCCTGCCTTACCCCTTATTCTAAATTCACGCACAGCGCAAAGTAAAATGCATGGGATTCACAAACCAGCAGCATTCTATCAAATCTCGATTTTAACAGCATTCTTATTAAGCTGTATTACATCTGCTACGAGTAGTACGATGAACTTACAGTCGCTGCTACATTTGTCTATGGAGAATCTATGTGGATTTTTCATGTTATTTCCTTGGTTCCATTTCGCTGTCATGTCAACTGTGTGCGAGGTAAACTGTCTTTTTTTCTACAGTTTTTAACTTGAGTCAAATACAGTCTCGGGCTCTATGGCTCTGTTCTCTGTTTCTTATATTCTTTCAACTAACTCTCTTCTCCTTTCCCCCCTGTCCTTCCTTTAAAAAATTAGATGTTTATCCATCCTATTCATCCGAAAAGTGCCTGTCAGAATATTCAACAGCTGTACTTTAATTGGAAGTTTGATTTCAAGACAAATACAGATTTTATGCCTGGCACATACGAAGCCAACGTGAAGCAAATATCCAACGATTTTACTGAGAGTTGTGCACCTCATTCTCACCAACAGGAAGAGAACAAAGCTCAGTCTAAACGACAGCGAAAACAGAAACAGCAAAAAAAACACCGTACGAACCACCATCCATGTAAGGATCAGCCTGCCCTCACTCTCATCGAACCACAGTATAAGGGTTGTTCAAACGGAAGAAAAGAAAGCGAGAAAGAAAAAGACACGCGCACAATTGCCAAAAACGATGAGCTTGCTTCTTTTCTGATCCAATCTAAGCTTCTTAAGAAGTGCAATAAAACGGTAGATACACAGATAACCACACACAACGACGATACAGTCGTAGAAACATTAGACCTAAAGAACAAATCCACCCAGTCACCCAGACAAAAGCAGCAGCAGCGATGCGCCACTCTTACTTCCATGTCAGTTTATTCCACCGTTCAAAGTAATCATCGTATGACAGCAACAACAGCTACGAGTTGTCTTCCCTCTTCTTCTTCTTGGGCTGACATTGTAAAAAATAACCATGACAAAAGCGCTCAGATAGACAATCGAAAGCAATCCGTTTCTACTGAGGCTTCCTCCTTTTCTGAAGTACCTTCATTAACAGATAATGAAAGTATGACGGGTTCGATGGACGAACCATCCCCTCAATTACTCGCTCATGAACCACCGCTATCGTCTTACGGCTTTTCAACTGCTGCTGCTACAACAAAGGCTATGAACACCACTCATAGCTCTAAGTTTTATTCACCTTTTTCTAGTGGATTGGATCTCACTGCTTCTCTGGTGAGAACAGCAACAACCGTACCGTACGAGCAAAAACCTTCCTCCTCTCACTTTAGTCGAACACACAGTTACTTAATTCGACCTACTCAATATATCCCATCAGTAAATGATATCATAGACTATACCCCAACACCAACACCATCGCTCTGCAGTCACCAACAAAAATCAGTATTGGATTCGCTTTATCATCCTGCTTCTGAATACAGCAAGAAGGACTGTTTGTTTACCCACCGTCCTTTTCATCAAAACTTTTCTTACTCGCAACACAAAGATATCACTCATCTTCAGTTGATGCATAATGTAAGAAATACACAAGATAACGATGACAGAGCGAATAGAAGAGAGATATAACCGTATTCTCTCTCGTACCTATTTTTGTTGGTCTTTTTTTTTCGGCTGTAGAATTATCTATCTATATGTTACCTATGTATGTAAAAGTTTAAATTTAAACTCTAAAGATAAAGCTATTGTGGTCACCATCATTCTTTAACAATGTAAAAAAAACGAGTTTCCTTCTTTCGACATGTATATTTTACACAAGGCAGTACTATTTTTAAACGTCTAGCTTTTTTGATCCTAGTTCTAACCGCCTCAAAGCGAGATGTGTTTCTTTTAAACAATCTATCTGTTTATGCTGGCGTGCGTGTTTTTGAGCATTCTCGTAGAATTGTTTGGCTTTTTCTCTATTCTGTGATTGCTATGACCAATAAAAAAAAGTGTGTCAAAGACATGGATCAGGAGTCATGGTGACGCGCGGGAGAACCTTACCTCAAATAGCATGCCCATGTTGTATAACAATATACCGCACGTTTCATCACAGAGGTCTCCATCTTTGTTTATTTTGCGCGTATTCGGGTTTTGTGCCAAATCCAATCCTTTTTGAGCCCAAAGCTTGGCTTCTTCATACTGTCCTAAGGCTGAATAAGCCTCTGCCAAATTGTTCATCAGCACGGTGGCATGGCATGACGTGACGCCATGCAAATTCAACGCTTTCAAGTACAGGGGAATCGCAAGACTGGGCTTGTTTCGTGACGCATAAAAGCCGCCCAAGGCTTCTAAAGAGGCGCCCACGTCTGTTTCGGTGAGCCAATCGGGCATATGTTCTTTATCAAAGAGGACGTCTGCCGTATCTCCATAGTCGGACACAGGTCGGGAGGAGAGTTTCAGCAGGTGCTCGACGGACCAGACGTACCATTTTTCAGCCTCCTCGTCAGCTTGCATCATCGATGCGAGGTCCCCTAATTTTTGTGCCAATCCGATCGCTTTCTTTTGTTCCGTAGGCGACAGAGCAGCCATCACGTCCTTAGGAGGATGAGGGTGAAAGAGTGCATTTTCAAACACTTCCATATCACCGCCGTGCGGCTTCTGCTGGTGGTCATCAAGACCCACGACATATCGCAAAGCCAGTAGAAATGTCCTCCTTGCTTCGACCGTACGTCCCATCTGCTCTTGAACAGCACCGAGTTGAATCATGATACCTGTCAAAGGAGCTGTGGTGCCCAATTGATCCACCAATGCCTCCGGGGATTGAAGGGCGGTATCCAGCGACTCCTGAATGTATTTGAGGGCGAGAGCCAAGTCTCCTTTGTGTTGATAATAAAGCCCTTTACGGAGCGGCTGACGTACGGCAGGTGGAAAACGTTGAATGTCTGACCAAAAATGTTCATATAATCCTATGCCTAAGCAGATAAACGCAAGACTCGACAGGGCAACGACCATGGGTGGGATGCGAATCGTGCGTGTGGAATTAGACGCACTGCTTGCCGATCGGCTAGCGAATCCACGTGTATGTGCTGCGGTAGTGGCGAATGAACAGGAGGCGACAGCACGTGGTGGGGGTGAATGCACGGCTGTGGTGGATCGTCGAAAGCCAATGGAAGGCTTTGCTTGTTTAGACACAATGTGGCGGCACAATGGTAAGCTGACTTTATACGACATGGAGCAGGCTGGTTCCTTGAAAATTTTCAAAATGTGGAGAAAAAGAGAAAAAATAATGCCATCTTTTGCCACCCCCACCTTTCAATTCAAGCTGGCGGTGCATGAATCGTTTACCTATTGGTTGCTGACAGCTTCAGTTATATACTGGTAATCTTTATCCTGATGTGCCTCATAGGCCATGACGAAACGGAGGGCTTTATAATATAAAAAGAGAAAAAGACTCGATGGTGGACATTTCATTGACGATTATAAGCGAAAGAAATATTATGAGAATAGAGGATCTATAAGTTGATTTGCGAATACACAGAAAGAGAGAGAGTGGGGAGGGGGAATAATAATAAAACAAGTCTATGAACAACAATATAACGATGGTTCTAAAAGAGTTCTTGAAGGTCTTTTAAAGTGACGATGCCAATACAAATGCCATTCTTTTTACTCAGCACTGGTAGTAGCGTAATGTTTTTGGACTTCATCATAGCAATCACTTCTGACGCCAGCAAATGTTCGTTATCTAATGTAATGGGTGGCGATGGTTGTAACATGACATCAGAAGCATGAATGTTGAAGAGGCCTCCTTCGGGCGAGTGGTATGATTTCAGGACGCGATGAATGTCATCGTGGGTGATGATACCAATCAGCTTTTTGTTCCTGTTGTCTGTCTTTTGGTGACGAAGATCGTCATTTTCATCAACAGAAGAGGTTTCTGATAGTGGAGGAGATGGATAAATAGAGGATAAATGAGTAGCAATTGCCGTTGATTTCGGTTTAGTCTTATGAGCTGCTGCTGTTGTTGTTGTTGTTGTTGTTGTTGCTGTTTCAAGTGTTGTCTCTTGCTGCACCAAGACACAGCTTCCTTTAGGAAACTTGGTCATTTCCATGATGACAATATCGAGCGATGCACTCGGACAAACACTGGCGACAAGTGAACTGTCGATCATGACATCCTTCACTTTCAATAAAAAGCGTCTTCCTAACGATCCTCCTGGGTGATTCAGTGCAAACCCTCCTGTCGTAAAACCTCTCAATTTAGCCAAGGTCAGTGCCAAGGCATCTCCTAGCGCCAAGGCAAGTGTTGTCGAGGAGGTGGGTGCTGGAATATATTCTTCGGCGGCCTCAGCTTCAACATAACCATCCATCCAAGCATCACATTCTTTGGCCAGCTTACTTTTCTGATTGCCTCCCAATCCAATGATGGGTACGTTTCGATGCATTTTCAAGCTAGGCACCAACATGAGTAATTCTTCTGTATTTCCCGAAAAGGACAATGCTAAAACAACATCGTTGGCCTGGATGATACCCAGATCGCCGTGGAGGGCTTCTACAGGATGCAAAAAAACAGCCTGACTACCGGTCGACAGCAGGGTGGCCACGATTTTTTCGCCTATTTTGCCTGATTTGCCGACACCGGTGATAATGAGTTTGCCACCAGCGTTCAAGGATTTAAATACAAGATAAACAGCATGTTCAAAGCCTGATTTTGATTGAAGGTCATGTTTTAATCGTTGTGCAGCAGCATGGATGCTTTCTGACTCTTTGATCAATATATTATATGCATTTTCAACAATATCCTCAGGTGAATTGAGTATCATTTTCTGATATCCGTAGTAAAACGGGGAAAAGAAAAAGGAAAGCGGGGGCAAAATCGGCGATCTAGAAAACAACAAATTAATAATGATCTGGTTTGCTTGAAGAACCTTTTTTCCACCTTCAACCGTCTATGACAACTTATCACCTCCGAACCGTCAATGTTTGTGTAACATTTATCGATCAGAAAAGATCTTGATCGCCTACGTAGGCGATTTCTTAGTAGATGTCATCATTCGGTGTGTTTCAACTTCCTGTAACATCATGTTCTTGTCAGCAAAGTCTCATGAATAGTACTGTGAGCTGTGCTCATTGCAGAGATATATCAGAAAGAGTGAGTCAAAGACAAGTTGAGTATCTCGATAGCTGTAGAATCCATAAGTAGACGCATGCAGAACAAATTCTGACATTTTTTCGCGTGACAAGAGTTAGTAAGTTGAATGAGGTCAATTTTTATGCTTCTTGCGCATGTCGATAAATGGCCAATCAGCAAACTACGACAGATTTAAGAATGTTTGTGTACGACTGTTTGTGTACTGATGATGAACGCTTCAGATAACAGAAGACCAAAAAGTAATAATAAAACATTTATTCGAGACTTGTTGTGTTGATAGCTTTCACTCTCTTTTCTTTTTCTATATATAAAATATAAATTATGATGAGAGAGTTCGTTCAAGACCTTCTATTTGACAGATGATGTGAGTTGGATGCTCCTCATCATCTTCAGGTAATTTGATGGATCCTTGATTGTGTTGTTTGTCAACGTTGGTTTGTTTGAAAAGCCATGCAGAGATAAGATAGCGTCCTGTGGAGAACCACAGGGACCACATTTCGAATAATAAAGTGGTAATAATACTATACTTTAAACCGTACAGAAAGGAATCAACATCTAAGAGGTCATTTTTTTTCAGTAGTGGGCTATGGAGGGTGATGGGTGTTGTTGGTAAGTAGTAGTAACTAAGAGTATCATCGTTCATCATACTGTTGCTGGTTTGTGCTTTTAATGTTGTTGTTGCTGCTGCTGCTGCCATCAATAACTGGTCCGACTTTCTATCATAAAGGATGCTGAATATCCAACACATGGCAAGCCCTAATGGCATGAGAAATTGACATGTTTGCTCCAAAAGATAGCGACAATAAAACCTAGTACTCCTGGCTGCTGTTGCTGTGAATCCAACTTGTTCTATGTCAGTATATTGTTTTGTCTGTTCAAGGGGACGATAGGGTATAGGTAGGAAACTGTTAATGAACAAAGATGTCGATGTGAGTGATATGGAGGATGGGCTCTTCTGGCTGGTACTGTTTCGTTTTCTGGCAATGCGACTGCTATTCATCATTAAAAGTAACGGACAGAAAATCGATGCTTGTGCTGCGACTAAGCTTGCAATTAGTTTTTTACCGTATATCATATCCAAAAAAAAGGGTTGTGCATTTCCGTGGATGGCGCTTGTTGGCGACTCGACCACCTCATCGCCGCTGCTGCCTACTCCTATGGATCGAGAGAATTCTTTCTCTGATAACGCTAATATAGTGACAGAGCTGCGATGATATATGTGTAAGGATAATACAATCACAGCAATAGATAACAGCAGGCTCACGGTTCGAGTCCAGTGGATAACAGAGTGAATACAATGGCTTTCCAAAGTCATACGAGAAACGTGGATGAGAAAGAGTCCAAAGCAAAATAAAGAAAAAGAATAAAAAGTAAATAACTGTACTTTAATTTATCAAGTCTGTTTGAATTATTATTGTTCCCTTTTTGTGTGTGTGTGTGTGTATGTGTAGATTCTTTGTTGCTGCCCTGAAAGGAGATATTAAAAGCAAAACATGCATATTTTTTAATTTCTGTCAAGTAAGCAGCAGGGCAATGCTTCGAATACAAAAATCACAACATCAGCACATTTAATAATTAAATCTGTAAAATTAAAACTAACAAAAAAAACCCTGCGTACTTTAGCCTCCTATCGTCCACACAGAACATTCACTACCATCAATAAGAGACACTTGAGTAATAAGCTCATCAAACACTTTAAACCTTCTCCTGAATCTCTCTTTTTTCAAAATCACTTTTTTTATTGGTAAATTATCCAAAAGAGTCATATTACTCTGTCATATCAAAATGTACAGTTGCTAAATTGTTATAATTGTTGTTGTTGTTGTTGCTGGTGAATGGTTAAAGAAATTTATTGACGAGCAGCAATTTCCTTAGCAGCGATAGCAGCACGCTTGGCCATTTTGGCGTTGGACTTGGGGCCCATGATACCGCCACCCCAGTGACGACGAACTTCATCCCACTTTTCAGTGAAGTTAGCGTTGACAGCAGAGACGAGGTTGGCCAATTCAGCCTTATCAGCTTCAGAGACTTCGGTCAAAGCCAAAGCAGTGGCAGTCTTCTTGTGGACCAATTGACCGAGACGAGCCTTACCCTTGACGATACAGTAAGGGACACCCATCTTACGGCAAAGAGCAGGGAGCCAGATAACCAATTCAATGGGGTCAACATCATCAGCAATGACGACGAGTTGAGCCTTCTTGGCTTCGACGAGAGCGGTGATGTGGTTGATACCGTACTTGACAACGACGGGCTTGTCGGTCTTGGGAACTTCCTTCTTTTCAGCCTTGGCGGCGGCAATAGCACGGAGACGTTCCTTCTTTTCGGTCTTGCTTTCGGGTCTGTACTTGTGCATCAACTTGAAGAGTTGAGTAGCAGTGTTCTTGTCAAGAACGTGAGTGAATTGGTTGATAGCAGGAGGGACCTTAAGACGTTGGTAGATGATCTTCTTTTGACGTTGAAGACGAACGTAATGAGGCCACTTAACGAAACGAGAGACATCACGCTTGGGTTGGACATCTTGACCGATACCAAAGTTCTTGGGGGTCTTTTCAATCAAAGGGTTGGCGTTGGCCTTAGTGGCTTGCTTACCCTTGATGGGATAAGGAGCAGGAGCAACCTTCTTACCAGCGGACTTCTTAGCAGGAGCCTATAGGTAAAATACCCAACATTAGTTTACAAAAGGTATTTTGAATGCGTTCGCTTGTTTCGTTAAAAGGTAATCAACTCGTTTGTAACCAATTCACACATCCAGCCCATCAAGTTGGACGATCTATTGTCGATCCATTTAATGTCGTTGCATCTTGAACATTTTTCGTATGACAACCATTTAGGTGTGAAGATATAATGTCTGCATTTCATCCAATACATGATGGTTGAACATGTCAAATTGTTACAAAAAGATGACCCCTTCAGACTTCAAGAATGGATGGATACATACCATATTGTGATGTATGTAAAAGAGGAGGTTTCAACAGTGGGATGTCCTTCTACTGCTTTTGATTATAAAATTGCCCCTCTCGTCCCCAAGTAGCTGGAGCACCTCACGGCCGAAGCGAGGCAGGTCGAAGCGAAGAAGGCCGGAGGTTTAAATTTTGCGGACCGTTACTGGAGTGTCCGGTTCAATCTGTATTCATTTGCACCCACATAGACATTTCGCTTCAAGGTTGACAATCATCATATGGTCTTTTTTAAACCAAGATGTTACCGTTTATTTTAACTAAGTTATGCACTTTGCACCCCAACCAACAATAAACCATCAGATTACAAGTAGAACAAAGAAATGGGTTGTGGTCGAGACTTTTTTTTTTTTTTCCTTCTCAAAGGGCAGATTGAGCTTCCGAGAATGAATATCTTTTCTTTATGTCTTTTTGGGATTTCCGTGTACTATTGGTTATAAGATCCCATGTTCTTTTACGTGAAATGTCATTATCACTTGACCTTCCATCAGATTCCGCAACGAACTGAGCCTTTCTGTAGGTGGTTTTCTACTGTGCTGTCTTACTGTTCTTTGTTTTGCATGACTGTTTTTTGTTTTTAATTATTCGCTAGAATAAACAAATACTAATAATTTTAAATTGTTTAGAATACGTAGTGTTACATAGAATGTAGATAGGTATTACGGTAACAAAAGAAAAGCGGAGTTGGAAATAGCAGATGTCTATTTAGAAGTGTCCAAGAAAAGCCAAATGCATAAAGACGCCCTTAAAAGTCAGAAGTAGATAACCAATGAGGTGTAAGTGTGTCTCCACACAAAAGCACTTTATTTAACAATAAAATACTGTAGGTCATGGATTACATTGACTAAAATGTGGGGGGCATGATTTACGTAAAAAGGTGTGCATAGGCTTTTGTAGGCAATTATAATGACTGAGTGACTGAGTGACTGAGTGACTAAGTGACTCAAAAGCTTACTGATTGAACTGATGGGCGCTGTCTCTGTCTCTGTCTCTGTCTCTGTCTCTGTCTCTGCCTTTCTTTTAACGGTAAACTCTCCCCTTGATTCCCCTTTCTTTTTCAAGGAAACCCCCTTTTCCAAGTGATGGAAGTTATTTAAATTCGTTTCTCTTCTTTATCTGCTCTTCTTCTTCCTCTTCTTTTAATAACTTTTTTTTTATTGCCCTTAAAACTATAATAAAAAAACCAAAAAAAAAAAAAAAATTTGTATTATTAAGTTCTCTGTGTATTTCTCGGTTGTAATATCATCCTCATCCATATCATCATCAACATATCAACATCCTTACTATCATCATGCCAAAGATATACAGTGCTGACAATAGCAACAGCAGCAATCATCGTCATACCGATCCACAACAACAGCAACAACCAACCAAACGTGTTAAAGTTACATTAGCTTGTACCATCTGTCGCAAAAAGAAAGTAAAGTGTGATGGTGTTCAGCCTACTTGTTCTAGATGCGATTCGGTTGGCATCGACTGTCAATACTCGGACCCTCCAAAGAAGCGAGGCCCACCTAAGGGATATGTTGAAGTGATCACCAACCGCGCTCATAGGATCGAGACGCTGCTATCTGCTGGTCACGGTCATTATTATCAGCAGCAGCATCCTGATCAGCATCACGATCAACGACAGAGATACGACCCTCAAGGAAGCAAACAGAAGCAACATCCTGTTGCTGCTGCTGTCAAGGATGATGTAGTTACCAGCGACAACCACAGCATCCGTCATTTGACATTTGCAGGTATAAAAAAAACTGTACTTCATGGGCATATCTAGAAAATAACAAACAATAAATGTATTATAGTTAAAAATACAGAGCAGCAGCATCGAAAACGACAATACCACCCTTACCAACGACCTATGAATTTATTGTTGCTTTCTATTGCTGAGAAAGTGCAAACTGTTTTATCATCGGAACAGCAACAGCATCATCTTTTACAATATGAAAACTTACACGTACGTTACATTTTTTGCAATTTTCTAGAAAATCTGGTTTTTTTTTCGCTTTTTTTTTTTTTTTTTGTGAATTGGGTGATACATAAAAAGCACAGACACACTGATAAGGTCCATTCTTATGACTACCCTCTAGGACAGCAATGGCTTCTTGTACGAATTTTTAACGTTTGATGCCAGCGGCAGTAGTAACCATCAATCGCAACCCTCCCCTCATTTCAGCAACGTCACTTTTACTACTACTGCTGCTGCTGCGTTTTTGCAACAACAGCAAGAGGCCGTTTGGACAGAAAACTTTTTCAACTATTTCAATCTACTCTTTCCACTGCTTTCCAAACCTCACTACATGTATCAATTAACAAAGCAGGAAGTTAACCCCATCCTAAAACTGGCTGTTTGCATCCTCGGCTGTCGTTTTGATAGTACAAACAACCATCATCACGGGCTAAATGACAATGACAAGAACAATAATGATAATCAACAAGAAGCATGGTTATATACACAATTTTTTAATGATTATGGTCCAATTTTATTCTCGTCATCTACGTCCCATGACATTTCCACTGTACAGGTAATTATTATTTGATTTGCTACTTCCACGTGCTAGTATTCAAAGTTAATCTTTCTTTTAATTTTCTCCACAACTCCCACACACACACACACACACATACACACATATACAAAATACCCCTTAAATTTACATGTAGGCTGTCATTATCATGTGTTGGTCCACATATCTTGCTGGTGATATGCATAAATGTTACTCGCTTCGTCAACTGTTGGCTGTCATTGTCAATGAATTGCAACTGGGATATGAAAGTAGTTCCTGCTTATCACCACATCCTCAAGATGCTTTCCATACAGAAATGAAAAGACGGGCTTTCTGGGTTGCTTATGTTATGGATCAATGGCTATCGGCCAGTCATTTGGCTCCCTCCATTATTAGCACTGTTCCATTGGATGGCAGCCAGTTTATGTTGGTCGGACAAACCGACAAAAAATGGAATTGTAAGTATCCTCAGTTGGAAGATAGTCAATTGTTTGCATTATTTCCATTCAATGAAGATCAGCATCCACAACAGCAAAATGGCCTTATGAGTGAACGTATGAATAGCAGCGGCAGCAGTAGTAGCCATAGTAGTCATCATAGACGCTGTAGTACAAGTAACAGTGGCCATAGTCATCATGATGGGTCGAATACCATTCCGTCGTCGTCGTCGTCGTCATTATTATCAGCGTCATCCGCGTCTACCTCCACCTCTCTCCCGGTTGAATCGGCATTTCAGGTGAATTCTTTTATTGAAATGATCCGTTTGTGCAAGATCATCCATCAGTTTCTATCGCCAATGACCTGTAGTCTTAGTAATGATACCCCGGAGGAGGATGCCGTCAGCCATCGTCTGGAGACAAAGCTTACTGAATGGTTGCTGAATTTGCCATCTTATCTTGATTACGGTAAAATGACCCACTGTAAACAAGATCCACAAGCCTCACCTTCTCCTATAGCTAGAGTGTACCGCATATTGTATTACACCGTTCAAATCATGCTCAATAACAGCAAGAACGACGTTTGCGACGATGGCCAAGAGGAGTTCCACGAAAGACGAACGATGAAAAAGAATGGTGGTCTAAGCAACAGTATATGTACTACCGCAGCCAACACGATTGTTCATATTTCGGAGCAAATGGTGGATGCACAGCAAGAAAAGTATCTCTACAATGTTTTTTTCTTCTCTTTGATCTTGTCCGCTTCCGTCCATTTAAGTGACAATACCACCGTGCCCAGTAGCGCATCGTCTGCCAACAAGATACATTTGTACAAGACGAGCTCTCTATTGAAGCGTGTCAATTGCAGTTTATTGCCTTCCCTTACGCTAGATCAATTAGTAGATACATTTTTGCTCGAAGGAGGCTCGATGGCTATGGATGATGGTCCTTCTAAGGGTCATCTCAGTCGCCGTCACACTTATCAGCACCAACGACAACAGCAGCCGTCGCCGACTCATTCCTCTTCCTCTTTCACATCTGCAACAACCATGCCAACCATCAACAGCAAAAAGCGCGTGTATCGCTTAACAGATGACGACATGAAGGTGGAAGATTGGTTGCTCGACGATACCTATTCCTTTTATCATAAGAGCAGCCATCCTATTCCTTCCTCTGCCCATGTCATGGCTCCTACCAACACGATCACGACGAGCCATAGTAGCAGTAATAGCTCTTGTTCTCCTCCATCCACCCCTCCGTCCTTCCATTCGATTGACTATCACTATGATGCTTTATCAGCTACCGCTCTTTCTTTCCGGAATAGCAGTAGCCTCCCGCCCGTTCATCATGTGCCCTCAGGTGTACCCATCTCTCAACTTGAACAACAGCAACCCCTACTTGATCCCACTGCTTATTGCTCAGGTCCTTTGTGTGCGCCACCACCACCACCACCACCACCACCACAACAACAACAAGAACAGCAGCAGCAGCTACCATTAAACACTCATCACACCGACACTAATTTCAATTATAACGCCAACCACTCCATCTATTGGTCTACTCAAGATTGGGCTAATCTTATGGATATTAACATGGCTGCTACAAATACCAATTCAGTCACCACCACGAGAGCAACCACTATCACGAATAGCAGTACTCCCGTGGTAACCACCACGATGTGTTCGCCCATTCCTTATTACTTTACTCCATCGCCTTATTCCTCTTTGTCTTCTTCTGGATCATTCCCTACAGCTATCGTTGCTTTGCCGTCAGCACCGTTGGATAAAGAAAGAAAGGCTTTCGTCACGAATCCCATTGCTGAATTCGATCCATTACAAGCGCAACAACCATTCTTTCCGATCTAAGTCATACCCTCCCCCTCCTAATATCACTCCACCGCCGCTCCCCACCCCCCATTTATGAATTCATTCTTCCACATCTCATATACATATATATAGTTTATGCTTCTGACAAACAAAGCAGGGATTTCCTTTGTTCTTTCATTTCCTATTTTTATGTTATTTTACAATTTAGACATCATTCTATGCTGCTGTTTTTCCTTTTCTTCTTTGACCACACCACCATTACTACCATCATTATCGTATATATTTATGCTTCTTTTTTTTGTTTACAAGTATTTTTGCCTTACATCATTTTGCCTACATTACATATATTATAATTTTTTTTTCCCTATACATACCATGGCCTAATTTTTCTTATACATATACATTTATTCTCATATTATGTAAATAAAGCTTTTCATCTGGTTTTTTCTTTTATTTTTCTTTTGGCTCCTTCCAGGGACACGCACCAAAGATCAATAAACATGAATTCTGGTCTAGAAAGCCTCATCGTATGTATCAAATAGGTCAACGAAATCCAAAGGACGCAGATACTGTGTCTTCTAGCTTCAATCCTCTACTCTGATCCATTTCCGCATAGAAAGGTGAAAGCGCGAAAATGTCAGTCTATCACATTCATCATACTAGTAGCAAGCACAAAGTGCCCTTGTAACGTACGTCAGAAGCGTTTTTGGTTGTTTTACTACCGTTGTATATAGAACTCAATGTTAGACCTACAGTAGTTTAGAGTCACCATTGTGTAGCGCGGTCATAACCATCGTTTCGTCAGATTGCTTTCAACACAAAAGAAGAAGGATGGGGGTACAAGGCAATGTGCTGACAGGCCATAATGCAGTCTGGCAAATGAAACGGCACGATACTATGACTGCGTGAGGCCTGTACTGTAATTGTGCTCACATGCTGTCAGATGCTCCCAATGGGATCTTTCAAAGTTCCGGAATTGCCTATCAAAACACAGAGCTCCTGGCATGAACCACCTTTTTTGTTTCAATTCAGCATTTCACTCTGCAATAGAGCGTAAAAATAAAGGTAGAGAACAAATAATTCATCATTTACTATGATGACTTGAACGCTCTGCTTTTGACTCTTCTTTGAAGCATTTAGCAGCTATAAAAACGGATGTGAAAGAGACATCTGACGACGCCCGTCCCTTCCATCCAATTGTCCTTCAATGAAAAAGTTCGTATTTATCAAAGTTTGTGTACAGTTTAACATACTATTCAATGACAAACTGGGGGGGCGGGCGGCACAGGGATAGATGAATAAAAAAGTTCGTCAGCATGAGAATAGCAAAGAGGCTCCAAGACATTGACTAAAAAGAAAGAAAAATAATGTGATTGTGCATCTACATCTACGCCTGGCTTCTGCTCCTAGCTCCTGCTCCTACTAAGGCCTTTCAGCAACCCAAGTAGCTTCTATTAAGGTTGATAACATAGTAGTACTTGGTATATCACCCTCAAACTTGATAATTATTGTTCGGATCGAAACCTCCATGCTGACCAACTGCCTATCTATTGATATCTGATACCTCATGCTGGAAGGGTACCCGATTAGTTGCTCCGATCAATGCCTTCCTTTGACTGTACTACAGGTCAACAAGGAAGTGTTGGTATTCTTTTCGATTCAACATTTACAAATACATACACAAATAGGGTAGTTGAACTCTTCATCTATTATTTCAATTTGTAAAATGAGACGTCCATTTCCCAATCGGAGCTTCCAGCCTTCTTGTATTTCCGAGTCCGCTTGACATAGAAATCCCACATCAAGTCAACATTAGCTAAATTGTATTGACAGGAAAGTAAGATTATGCTGTCTCAACATTTTTTAAATTGAAAACCTATGTTGGGAAACCTATTTTGGGAAAAGGTTTTTTCTTTTTTTTTTTTTTTTTTTTTTTTTTTTTCTTGTCTTCTTCACATCCTATTTATCACATACAAAACGCCTCAATTAAAAGGGAGGTACGACTACAATTGAATGTACATGCTTATAGCAGCCACAAGAAGAAGAAGAACAACAACAACAACAACAAATGCAACAACAACATCTATAAGTGCTTGGGATGTGGTTTCTGAGTTATTAGGCTGGGTAATAATGCTCTATTTTCATTTGAATGATCCTTTGACATCTGACATGTTGACATGCTCGGGCATTTGCCTCATCTCATGGCTACCCTTGAATTGGCCCCTCACCCCTCTTCTTAGTCCTATTTCTTTGTTTGGTCAATAAGTTTATACCCTCAAATTTATCTGAATTGGAAAAGAAAAAGGTATTCTTATGGATGGATACGTAAAAATTACTTTTTGATGATGGGCAGGTTGAGCCTTTTTCCCTTCTTTTGTACTGAGCTGCACATCCTATTACTTTCTATATTAGTGTCAAAGGTCTATCCATTGATTACTTGTTCTACCATTGGCTTGGATTTTTATGTTACTCTGTATGGTTTGCATGAAAATGGACTTTTGCTCTGCATTCACCACTCTTTTGTGTTACCCTCAATCTAAAAATGATGGAGACATCTATTGAATTGTTTCTATTTGCTCTTGTTTTGATTTAGGTGTACAATCTGGCTTTCTTTTCGAATGGCCAAATTAGAGATGAATGTGAGTGGAGGCAAGCGTATGCAAAAAAAGAGGCACCCTTTCAGTGAAAACGCGACTACTGATCACACCCTCCTGCTTTTGATATTCAATGATGATAGATCGACAAAGATATCCGAATAGTGAGAGTAATCTCGTTCGATTGAATGATGTTGTTTTCTCAATTCATGGCTTGGCTTTATCGACGTTATTACTCTTACAAACATGCATTTATAAGGTACGATGGCGAAACAGGGAAAGAAAAAAAGCAAAGTGGATCTGTATACTAAAATACCAGTGTATAACAACAGAAGCAATCCAATCAAAAGATTTCCTCGTTTGCTGCTTCCTTTGTGTGGCTCACCATGATAGGAAGTGTGCTTGTCGTTGCCATTATCCATTATGGAGGATTTATATGGCTCGATTTCATGTATTATTTGAGTAGTGTAGATATGGTCTTGACATTTATCAAATACTTACCACAGGTAAACCCGAAAACGACGGATGCTAGCGCAGCTCAGCACTCATTCATTTTTTATTTATTTTTTACCAGGCTTGGTTAAACTATAAAAGAAAATCCACAAGTGGATGGAGCATACAATATATTCTATGGGACTTGACAGGTGGTTTATTGTCTATCCTACAATTACTCCTTGATGCTTCTATAGATGGTGATTTTTGGTCTGGTATCGCGGGCGATAACGTCAAGTTGGGTCTTGGCTTACTCGCTGTTTTGTATGACGGGTTTTTCCTTCTTCAGCATTATGTATTATATCCACGCCACTCTCATCACCACCCATTGTCAAGTCATACGGACGAAGAAAGAAGAGGACTTTTGGGCGAAGGACACGTCTGCATTGAAGACGATGAATACGAAGAGGAGGAAGGAGGGGCTTATTTCACAACGGATGATGATTTAAGTACGGACGACGACGAAGCATCCTCGCTGTATAACAGAGGATCACGAAAACAAAAACGAAATACTTGCCGACACGATGACAGACGAATCCATTATGGGACAACCTCATGAAAACCATAGCAGATATATAAATATACATATTGGATGGCTTGAAAAGATATGTCAAATTAGAATGGAGATACATAGATCACCGTGTAATAATAAATAAGAATATATGTTATAAGAGCGGGGGGGTTTTTTTTAAAAAAAAAAAAAAAAGATGGACATTTCTTTAAGAAAAGAAGCCGGTTCTAACGATGTATAAAAGACGTATGAGTTGCTGTAAACGGTGACTCACATTATCATCCTCCTAATACTTTACCTCGTCTTTGCCAAAAAAAGTTTGTTAAACAGCTGCAGTGTCTTGGAAACATTCAATTTGGCATATTCCAAATCTAATGTCTTGATATGATCTTGTTGCTATTAAAAGAGAAACGAAAGTGAGTGATAGGAGTGGGACTTGCTTTGTTGCGACACTGTACTTGTACCTTTTCTAGTAAATCGTCTAATTTTAAATCAATTTCAAGGACTGGTTTATCACGTCCTTTATAGTGAAGGGCAATGATAAATGTGCCTGGCATGGGCGAACATAACGTTAAATACATGTGGTGGCGTCTAGTGGGAGGTATTTCTGTTTCTGTAATGATGCCTTCTTTTTCTAACTGATAATAGCTATATTTGTAAACTTGGGCTGTCGTGGAGGCGGCTGTTGCTGCTGCTGCTGCTGTTGTTGTTGTTGTTGTTGTTGTTGCCACTGTCGATGATGATGTCTGTTGTTGTTGTTGCGTTTGTGACAGGGTCGATAGTGATGGTGAGCTTTGGTGAAAGGAAAGGGAAGATGTGGAAATGGCCAGTAAAGAGGAGGTGGACTTGCGGAGTGTATTGCTATGGTTCCCTTTTTTCGTCGTCGTGGAAGAGTCTTCGGGCACAACGACTTTCACGCCAAGGCCTACCGTGTTGTCGTCATGACTGTAGTCTCCGGTATCGCTGCTGCCATGCCACTTTTTCTTTTTATTCTGATGACTACTGCTACTGCCATGGAGGGTGGTTTGTATTCTCACATTCTGTAGATAGGCTTTATAGCTTTCCAGCTGACTTTGCAAGTATTGATTATGATCTAAAATGGTTTGATACACACTTTCGAGAGATGTGAGCTCTTCCATGACCTTGACACTCAAATCACCCAAATGGGTGAGCTCTTGCTTGATTTCTTTGATGAGAAATTGATGGTTATCACGAGGATCGATCACGCCTGCTTCTTCTAATTCGCGCACCATCTCTTTCACTTTGATGCCTTTATGCACGAGTTGCGCATCGTTCGTTGTGGTTCCTGCTGTTTCTGCAATACGGTGTAAGGTAGGTATAGGGTTCCCTGGGTGGTGTTGTTTTTGTGTATTCGTCGCCCCACTCAGTTCCTGGGCTAAATGAGGAAGGGTTCGAATGATCTGTACAAACGTAGATTTCGCTTCCATGTACAGGATATCGTTCTGAGTGATATTGTTTTCAGACATGAGGGAGAGGGTGAGGTCTTGAATAGGCATTTCCCAGCGACTGAAAAGGGGCAAGTCGAAGGGCTTGTTCTCTTTCCGTGGTACAGGTTGTTGTAATTGTTGCAACGCACCAGGCGCTGACACCACTTCTTTGACGAGGACGCGTAAATGGTCGGTTTCTTTGGGGGCGAGGATATCCAGATGCTGGTGGAGCAAGGAAATGGTATTGTAGATTTCGTTGGGGGTAATACTGATCATGATATCTTTCTTGCTGAGAGCCATGTATTGATCCATTTCGAGCTGTTCGTAAAAGTCACCTACCTCACAGAGATCGTTGAGAAATTGAATCGTGCGTTGTTTATTTTGTTCAACAAAGCGATTCGTGGGTATCATGTAAGCTTCTTTTGCATACGATGGCTTGTTTGCCAAATTTTGAAGCATTTTGGCCAGCTTTTCAAAAGGAGAGAGATGAGTGTATTTTTCTTTTTCTCTGGGAAAGGGGGGCGGGGAATACAACTTACCAAAGTGAGCGTGGTACGCGAGTGAGAATGAGGTGCACTCTCTACCAACATGTAGGCCTGGGGTGTGACGATCGCTGGATTGACAAATCGCAAGAAAAAGAAGCCACCAATTAAAGAGGAAATAGCATGATCTGTAGTATGAGGGTATTTTCTTTTCGCCAAAGAACGGATCTGTTTGCAGATCCATCGTATTCCGTAGGGCACTTGTTCTAGGGACTGCGTAAGGGTCGACAGAAAGGCATCGGCAATCTCCATGAGTTTGGCCAGCCGTGGTTGAATGATCTTTTGTAGGATGGGGTTGTTGGCGGCCACTTCCGCTGTAACACTTTTGGGAAAGTCAGCGATGCTCTCGTTGCCGTCGCTATACTGGGCAAGCAATGACGCGTCGTTCAAAAGCTCTTCGTATACTTTTAATGGATTGATTTGCAAGTTGAGATCTTTCTGATCGAGGATGAGTTGATTGATTTTTTCAGAGAGGACTGATTTTAGATACGATTGGCCAGGGCCTCGACGGGTATAGGTGGTCATCATACGTGATACAGGAGTATTGGCTCTAAGCAAGGACGTGAATTCGGCTGTTGTTTCAAACTGGGCGGCCAGGACATTTTGAAACATGGTCAAGAGTAAATGTTCTTCTCTACTTTCATATTGATTCCCGTAAAGGGTAAACATGACGGTCTGGAGTAAATTATCAATTTCGCTCAGATTGACCAGTCGACAAAGAATGGCCATATGCCGTGGCTCACTTTGTAAAAGATAAAACAAGTTTCCATATTGCTGCAGACGTCTTTCGTCGTCCAGATAGTGAGGACGATGATGGCGTGGGTGATCCTGGTCAGCACTGTCGGCAGGATGGTGATCTTCCAGACGAGAGGCCACTTCATGTTGCTGGCATGTGAAAGAAAAGGTAAGCCCATAGCACTTGTAATTTTTTGTCAAACGCATCCTTTTTGTTTACCTCTTCAAGGGCCATACGATTCTGTATCAATAATCCAATCCTTGCATCTAAAAATCGTACGTCTCTTTCGCGCATAAAGTTTTTCTTGGATTGTGTCGATATCTTGTTTTTTAATTCACGTAGACGTTTTTGTGCTAAGAAATTTTTATTAATTTTTCTTATCCATACACATTTGTTTCTTGTGGTACCTTGAGCCAAATCGTCTTGCACTTCTACGTCTTGTTCTGCTGCCATGGAATAAAAGACAGATACTGAATATCGTTTTGAACCTCGTCCGCTACTCGATCTCGTTCGATTGGAATGGTGATTATTGGCAGCAGCAGCAGCTACCGCTCGGCTGACAATGGACGAACTCCTGCTACTACTGTTGCTGCCATGGGCATGTTGTTGTTGTTGTTGTTGTTGTTGTGGATAAGGATAGCCAAAGGATTGGACCATCCCACTTCTTCGATCAGCCATGAATCCAAAGAAGAAACGGGGGAGGAGTGAAGAGGTGCCTAAATAAGAGGAATAAAAAAAAAAAAGAGACCAAGTTTCGAAAAAAAAGAGAAATGAATTTGCTAAAGAGCAGCGCACGATGAATAAAGACGACACAAAAATGGGCACTACTTGTGCAATGTGTACAATAAGAGGACGATTTAATTAAAAACCCTTTTTTGATTGGGAAACCACAAGCAAACTGGTACTGAGAATTTCTTTTTTGTACCACAACCCATGTTTTCTTTTCTACATGTGTCCGTGTCTGTGTTTGGATGTGTGTATGTGTGTGTGTACGTGTGTTCACATTTTATGCAACTGAACGACTGCGCTATAGCGTACAACGAACAATCGAAAAGCACATGAATGTTTTTTATCCTGCCCTATCCTCTGAGCGTAAGTCAAATACCACATCAAAAGGATAAGCAGTGCGGTGCGTCATTCGGTTGGATTGGGACAGTATTCTTTGAAAGGATGAGAGTCAGTGACTAGCAGCTTTGTACTTGTAGCCCCATAGATAGTGTCATTTATGGAGCTAACGTAGTAGTGCGTTTAAAAAAGTCGTTCTTGACAACGCCTAGTGGGCTGTGTCCCATGATACCGTGGATGCGAGTTGCATGGATAGCCCCCCTTTAGCCAACCGACTTGGGTTTAGAAGCCATAGTGTATAAAGTTTTGTTCAAGGTAGGCAAAAAAAAACAAGTTGGGGCGACAAGATTTTGATATCACAAAGTCTGTTAATGTGCCTATCCTCACTTTGATGTTTTTTTCAAATGGAGTTGATCTATCCATATATCTGTCTATGGATTGAGCTAATAAAAACCTAATGTCTCATTCTCTAAACTTTTTTCTTTTGCACCATGACTGTGCTAGGTCTCTTTGACGAATTCAATAGAGTTACCGTGAGCTATCCAGAATATTCTTAAAGCAGACACGTCATGATACCACAAGACATTGATCAGGGGAGGGTGTTCATTGTGTCTATGTTTGTTCAAGATGAAGCAGCTTCATGTTTAGGATGAGGTAGCCTGCCCCTTTACTTGGGATAGGGTTTGTCAGAGTTTCTTTTTCCGCTGATCAGGTAAGAGAGTGCCTTTGACAAACGAGGAGAGGTTATCGACTTTTATAAGACAGAAGAGTAGAAATGTAGGATGCTCAAGATATCATTCGTCTTGACGTGAAATAAAGATGTAAGGACCTCACGAATGAACCTCTGGTTGTCACAAGGGATAAGAACATTACAACATTGAAACAAGGCATACGACCGAAAATACGCGCGCGCGTACATGTTGTCTATGTATATGTATATATGTATGTATAATTTACAAATGTAGCTATATTAAAATGACGAGGTTTTTTTTTTTTTTTTTTTTTTTTTTTTTTTGCTTATAGAAACATGTGAGGAGAGAGAAAGATAGGGAGGAGGGGGGGGGATATCAAGAGGAAAAAACTAATGGAGGACTATCTTTTTGTTGGCTCGTGTGGATCCTGCTGCTGCTGCTGCTGCTGCTGATGTGGTGGTGGCTTTCTTTCTTCTACCTGGATGGGGAGCACCCTCCACAATACGTCTTTCCAATTTGTAAGCACCGTTAGGAGAGACAACGACGTTTTGTGTCATATCGGCCATACAATAACCACCCAAGTTGGCTTGCCAAAAGTAAAAGTCGTTGATGAGATGACCTGCTTGATAAAGACTCTCCAAGTCGCGTTGATGTTTATGAGTCAAAGGATGAAATTCAAACACCACTTCATCCGTCGTCGCCGTGGTCGTCGTTGTGGTGGTGACCTTTTCTTCTTGGTGGGCCGTGGCGGCTGCTACGATAGCCGCTTCTGGTACTTCTTCTTTGATTACACCCCACTCTGGATGAGTGAGTTTGGCTGTATTTTCTACGACTTGCTGTTGTTGTTGTTGCTGTTGCTGTTGCTGTTGCTGCTCCTGCTGCTCTTGTTTTATGGGTACGGGCAGTTCTGTCCTTAAAAGCTCATGCTTCAAGGCCTCTTCCACTGAAGGCATACCATGGACGGTATTCGACGTCGTACTCGTAGGAGGAGGGTTCCAATTCATGGTGGCCGTGGTCGTGTCGTAAGAGAGACCACCATGATGGTAGTGATGATAATTAGAATGATTCATGTAGTTTTCCTGGTTTTTTTTGGTTTTTTTTTTTGAAAAGATAATAAATGAGGGGTCAAGGGAAAAAAAAAAAAAAAAAAAAAAAAAAAAAGATGAAAACCCATTTGACTTATTGCTTTATATAAAAGTTTGTTATTTTTTTTTTTCGTGGTGCGTGCGCAAACCATAATGAAGGATAGCATCAACTGATAAAGAAGAAACCACCCCATATCTGCCCCCTTAAAATTTAAAAAAGAAAAAAAAAAAAAGGTCGATAGGTGTTACCTACAAGAAATTTCATTGTTTTCTGGTCATGACAAGGAAGAAATGAGTCTTGCTTTATCGTATGTTTTTAGCATGCGTTGGATGTAAAAGGGTCATCGGTAAAACATGAGCGAGCGGTTGTCGATGTCGTTCATACGGATGGAGACTGCTTGCTTCTCAAAGGAGAGGGCAAGGGAGGCGGGGTTTCTCTGAGTATCTATGCACTCCAATCAGCCCTTCCATGGGACAACAGAGAGAGAGAGTATTTGCATACGATGCATTTGATACAAGTCGCCATTCCATCGTCTTTTTGCTAGCCCCTTTCATGGTAGAATACACAATGATACGATGATGAGTACGACCTTGACCTTGGGCTTCTCAACCCCCAACCCCACGGTACAGTAGCACTTAAAAGGTAACACAAAGGAAGCAGCATAATGAAAGGACCATGACCAACATGTCAGAAAAGAGAGCGTGTACTAAGGATTCATTGAGACTGTAAAAGAAGACAGGGACCCAGTCAAGGTTTATGTGTGTGTGTGAGGGACAGTGTATGTGTGTGTGTGAGAGAGAGGGAGCGGTCAAGACAAAAACAGTTCTTTTGTGCTAATGAACCATGTTGTTATTGTTGTTGTATTCTATGCACTGATCCTTTTTGTTCGTTGATCGTTCACCCCTGAATTGGACTATAGAAAATGTAAAAACAGCGCGGGAAGCACATTGTTGAAAGGATAATGCTTTTTTTTTTATTTCTTTCGAAAAAGAAAGATCAAATTCAGATAGTGAGGATCACGAAATTGAATGCTCTTCAATAAACGATACAAAAGAAAGACCATCCAGAAAAAGATCACTATAAAGCACACGTATCTTTTATAGGCTCTCTTTCTGTCACGTTTTTGGTGTGGGCCTCCTTTTTTCTCAAAAGTATGGGCGAGGACAAATTGTCGAGCTCTCTCTTTTGCTAAAGGATTCTCTCTGATTGGCTTTCTCCGTCTTGAGCGAATATGACTGCTGCTGCTGCTACTGCTACTACTACAACTCTCATACAGGGTGGTTGCTGCTGATACGTCTGATTCTCCTACAGAATCGTCATCATCATCATCATCATCATCATCATCATCGTTATCGTCCTCTTTGGCTCGTACAGTAGAACGACGAAAAGTGGACATGGTCAGCAAAGGCAAATGATGAAACTGTTTGCTATGGTCACCATGGGTTTTTTGTTTCTTCTTTTGCGATTCGACAGCTGAAGTGATGGACGTGGGTAAATGTCTTCTTTGGCGTGTCAGACGTTGGCCCATATCCAAGTCTGTCGGTAGTAAAGGGTCCACCTCATGGTGTTCATCTTTCATGTCATGGGACGAAGAGAGGGCAGTAAAAGAAAGGAAAAAGCAAGGGAAACTCCAAATTGGCGAATAAAAGCGTAACTGACTGAGATTTTCAAAATGGGCGTGTCGTTTACCCAATTAGGCGTATGTTGTTTTGTTTTTTTCATAAGGGCAGATGAAACGGGTAGATAGTGGACAGAGTGTTGCAAAACGATTTTTCATCCTTCTGCCTTTCTCGCATGTCAATGATGTGTATTCTTTTGAAAGAAACTCATTCGTAGGATAAGCAGGCAGATATAGCCTCTGTGATGAAGGAGTGTCCTCCATAGCCATTCCTGTCTATTCAGGCTGTTTATCAGATCTGCTGTCAAAATCGTAACAAAGGACCAGCCTTGGTTTTTATCCTTTTTATCGACAGTGGTCGTTTTTTCTCTTTTTGCGTCCAGTGACCGACCTTGTTTCATACCCCCACATCACACGTGATGCTGCAGAAATGGCTTTTTGAAGATAGAATGTCGACTCTGCCTTTTATGGTTGGCAGCTTGACAACAGCAGGGTTGGAGCCATTCTACAAAGCGCAAGTTCGCTTCTCTTTAAGCATAGACAAGGATGCCATGAAATTTTTGTAGCTGCTCGCACTTGGTGGCTATCTACTTGTGAGACGTTTATTCGTTGTCTTTTGGCTGGGAGGGGGAAGGCATTGGATGATTGTCTGCGCGCAAAATGATACGAGTTAAACTGAGAGTGTAAAATGATCCAACTGCCTATGGGTTCCGGCCGCGCTTCTCTAGACGTGCCGATATCCTCTTCTTTGTTGTATCATCTACCGCTTTATCAAGAGGGTGGTTTCAAGAGAAAATACGGCGCCATCATGCGTGTGCAGTGTGCAAGAAAAAGGATAGTTATAGAACGCCAACGGATCTCAATGACGGCCATGGGGATCGATTGGAACACAAACTCCCGCCTTACAAAGTGTGTGTGTCTACAATAGACACCTCACAGATCCAATTTTTTTTCTTGTTGTCACCCTATGCATTCTCTGAAAGACCTCGTGGTTCGAGCATAAGACTATTCATTGACATGGATGGTTTTACAAACTCGGATTGTTTCGCTAGGTTAGCAATATCCATGATGACCGTCGTCTCGAGGGCAAAAGGATGGTTTTATCGCGCGCTTTCAAAGTCAACAAGAAACAAAAAAAGGAGATCTCTCTAGGGTGCTTCTTTCACTCTGACTCACATGGAGAAGGGTCTAGGGCGTTGAAAAATGATAATGGATCCAAGGTTGGTCTAGTTTTTTTTTTGGGAGGAAATGCTGGGCTCGTATAATTAATTGAGAATCTTTTTGTTAGAAAAACTCCTTTTTAATTTGAAAAAGGTTAAAGCTTAATAAAACAAAAGGAGGGGAGGGCAAGAAAGGGGGTGCGACGAGATGTGAGTGTTCTAATAGACAATAGCAGGACACTATCGATTTGCCCTTTTTTGAAATAAATAATGTATATAGTAACAGTCGTTGTCATTGAAAAGCAGTTCCTTTGTTTTGCAAGTAAGTCATCCGTCTGTTTGGAAGAAAGGCTTTTTTTTTTTTTTTTTTTTTTTTCTACCAAAAAAAAGCTATTATGTAACTCAAAAGAGAACAGCTTCTAGATTTTACATGGATAAGGGATGAAAAAATGAAGGGTCAAAAAATAGAGGTTGAAGTTTATTAAGCTTTTTTTTTTTTTTTTGTTTGTTCTTTTTTTTTTTTTTTTTTTTTTTCTATGGTAAATGGAGGGAAAGGGCCAAGACAATAAAGACATATAGTTGTACATAGAATTGTAAAAAACGAGAGACTATTAAATTAGAAATTTACAATAACTTTTTTTTTTTCTTTTTCTTTTCATGGCTACTTCAAATGTACATAGTGTTTGTGTTTAGGTGGGGTGTTTCCGTGCTGTGTGTTTGTTATTACATTGTTTGAGAAAATGACTGCGTATAACGCGCAAAATACGAGGTATAAAAGAAAAGCATGAGTGATAATATGAATAAGTTGTGCTTGCAGGGTGAAAATGATGATGCTGTGGTTGATAATATGAATGATTGGCATATTTTGTTCAGGAGACAAGAATGAGTGGTTGGGTTAGTAAGTATGGATCATGGTATTCGTGTGTTGAATGCTTGTGGTTGCTTTTTTTTTTGCGTGTTTTTTCTTGGTTAAACAGTATTCACTTTGGCTGTCATTTTGAGAGTCCAAAAGCTTTTCTTTCTTTCCGAATGGACAGTGTGGTTGGTGATAATAGATGACTTTTTTGTTTCTGATTACTTTAAATATGGACAAGCAATCTTTTTATGACCGTATTTGCCACACCAAGTACTAGATAAACCAAAAAATCACGAAGATAAGTACGTGTACTTTTTTTCAAAGAAAGGTGCCAAACTGTACCATTGTCCTCCTTGCAAGTTTAAAGGTTTAATAGCATAGGCCATCTCATTGGTTAGACCACCTGTACTACTGTTATCATTGCTGTCCTGAGAGACGACAACAGCCGCGGTCATTGAGGCGTTATTAACAAGAACTGAACAAGATTTTTGACACATGGATTGGTAAACTAAGTTGATTTGTTTTTCTTTCTTTTTTTTTTTTTTTTTGTTGATTTTTTTATTTCTCTGAATAAAAAAGTGATACGTTATGAAGTAAAAAAAAAAAATAAAAACGTTTAGAAACAAAAGAGAAACTGCGAGAATTGAAAAAAAAGAAAGGCGTTTCTTTGGTATTTATAGTCATTTTTATCAAGAAAAAAAATAGGGGGGAGGTCCTTCTTGGTTCTTTTGCTACTGTCATTTCGCTGCCTTATTGTTTTAGTTATTGCCGGTGGTGGTGGGGGAGGGGCGGGACGGCTTCTATTGACTGGATTTACTTTGTATTTTTTACATTCTATTGTTTTTTGTAAAACATCAAGTAGATAAGGTTAAAGTAGGGCTGTTTGGCGTCATCTCCATAAATGTCTAATTTTGACAGGAAAAAAACCTTAATAGAAATTTTATTGTCATGGGTTGCTAGAGAACAACAACAACAACAACAACAACTGGCCAACCCAGAACTGCATTCTATTGATCTCACTTTCTTTCTTTTTTTTTTTGATGGGCGAATGTTTTAAGTCAAGTGCATGCTATCCAACAGCATTCCTTTTGATCCCGTTCAGTAGGTCAAATGAAGAAAAAAGGACACAAGACTTACTTGATGAAACCAAGGGATGTATGGCTCAAGATACAATCAAAAAAGAGAGAAAACAGAGCCTAGAATGTTCTTGTTTCTATTAATACATTTTAGAATGGTGTGTACTAGAATGAAAATCCAAGTCATAAAGAAGCATGTGTTGTATACAAGTCGTCGGTTTGAGTTTTGATAGAGGCCCAACAACCGCACACCTCCGCCTACCCCCTTTTCCTCCTCCCCCCCCCCTTGAACATCTACATGTTCAAAAAAGAGTGTTACTCAATTGAGCTTTAGAAAGATGATCTTTATTGCTGCTGCTGGTGTCTCAAGAGTGATAATGGGACTCCATATTCATTGTTTATTCAAAAAGGATAAAGTCTAGGTTGTGGTGTTTCGCTTGTCATCCAAAACAAAACAATAGTTTTGGACTTGGTAAGCTTGCAAATACGCTAATGCAATCGTAATCGTTGACGACTAGTTTTATCTATTGGCTTAAACAGGCAAAAAAATACATCGACACCTGCAAATGAACAAAACGATCCTAAAGAAGTTCTCATCGTTTTTTCTTTTTTTTTTTGGCCTTTCTTTCTGCAAAACCAACACTTTAGAAAAAATCTATTCTGCACATCCAAATGGATGAGATCTTATGATCTTTTTTCATTCTATCGCAAAAAGTTCCAGACTCTAAAAAGAAAAAGCAGAAGGGAGAAACAACAGAGTTAAGCCCACAAAAAAAAAGATCTGCAAAACAAGAAATCCACAAAAGCTTAAAATGATCTGTGTAAAGGAGTATAATGAAAATGAACAAAGAGACTAGTCTGGGTTCTCTTCCCGTCCACACGGGCTTGACATACACACACACACCCCTTTTTTGGCTGTTAATTGTTGTTGTTGTTGTTGTTGTTGTTGCTCTCCCTTTCTCGCTCTTTCACTCTCCCTCCAGCAGCAAGTTGTTTTAATGTATGCATGTGTGTGTGTGTGTGTGTGTGTCTCCCTTCTCTCATCAAAGTCTGGCTACAAAATCTATTCTTGATAGTCTCGCCACTCTAAATGTACTCTTTTTTCCATACATTGAAACGGGCTTTGTTCATTCCATCAATACCCGATACTCAATCACTGTCCATATCCTCATCCGCCGTAGAAAAAGGTCGTGAAAAAAGACAAACAATAGAGAGTGCAAGCTTTGTCATGTTGTGATTTTGTGTGTATATAGAAAATATACTTTTCATTTTTTAATTTTTGATTCGTTTGCGTTGATCAATAATCAAATTGGGCGTGTGCTTTTTTACAGTTAATCCATGTTGCTCATGCAACAACATGACCACGTTAATACGAACACAATATAACCATCTGCTTAAATGTTCAACTTGGTGTGACGCCAGTTACGTCTCTTGGAGTTCCAACTAGATGAAGCAAAAAAAAAAAACCCCCCAATTAGTGCCATTCCTCTATACATAATGAATGGCTGTTGTCCATTTACCGAATCTTGGTGTCAGACTTGAGACGGAACCAGTGAGGCAAAGGGCGGTTTTGCTTCTTAGCCTTGCCGAGCTTGACCTTGGTGATGAAAGACTTTTGAGAAGGCTGTTTCAATATTGAAATGGTTGTACAATGCAATCATGATGTGCCGATGTTGAAGAAAATAGAAATCTTTGAGTAAGCAGTTCTGAATCATTCATCGTCCATCATTCTTTTTTTATTGTTTTTCGTCTTTCTATCCTTTGATGGATCCAAAGATTGGATGGATGGACAAGAATAGAGAAAAAAAACAACGACATACCATTACAACAAAGCGATGTTTATGCAAAAAAAGAGGAAGAATCAACCAATTTGCCACCTTTTTCAAGTTGTTATATCGCTCTTCACTCGTTTCGTCCCTTTTTCCTTTCTTCCCTTTGCACCATCCCACACCCACACACACTCAGCCTGCTTGGAGTCATGCTTGGAAGGAAACCCTTCCGGCATCGGCGCCGCTTGGAAAAGACGGTCGGACTCTCATGGTTGCGATTCGGAATTTGATTTCACACCCAAAGTCTTATTGCGCTATGGACGTCCCCCATTCTCCATTGAAAAAGAAAAAAAAGGCAAATGCTTGTTTTTCTCAGCTAAAATGTCATTGTATCCTAACTTCCTGGCATAAGCCACTTCCCAGCGAGACTCTTTGAAAAAGTTGAATGTGATTGAGGGATAAAGCAATCGAACGGGCATCTTTTTTATCTTGCCAAAAGTGCATCAAAGCAAAGGTTGCTTAATTGACGAGAATAACAAAGCAAGAGACAATGACTTTTTCTGCTATAGCAGCAGTAGATCATCGATCCTTGAAGAATGGCTTTATTCATTCTAACACAAATGATTGAAAAATGCAATAAAAATAAAAAAGAAAACAACTTTGAATCGGGTATCATGCATCAGTCGGTTCAAACTATTCCATTGGCAACATCTTTTAAAGATGCTGCTGATGCTTCTTTTCTTTTCTGGGTGGGTCATCGATTCCCATACTTCCATTTCTTGTTCTAGTACTTGTATTTGCTCTTGCTCTTCCTCTTTTTCTTTTTCTTCTCCATCCGCCTTACGATTTGACTGTGCCTGTGGATGCGTGCTGTCGTTGTTGTTGTTGTTGTTGTCCATGGTATCGTTGGCTGAATCCACCTGCGTCCATGTCGCATGGGTAGGCAAGAGAGGTACTGCTTCATACTCCCTCCCGTGGTGGGTGGTGGCAGACGATGAGGATGGGGATGATGGGGCTGCTGACATGGTCAGCCATTGACAGATCCACGACGCCAAGATCTGAGTGGCTTGATGCAAATGATAAGAGAGATACACAAAAACGGCACTGGACAACATAAAATTGATCCACCACCCATCGTGTCTCGTCAAAAAGGTCGCGTCCGTGGCTAACCAACGGGGGGGTACAAGCACCAAAAGGCCTTTGGTATCGCCCGCGAGCCACATGTGGAATTGGCCAATAAAGGTCTCTAGCGAGATTCTACCGATAAACGCAAAGAAGGCTGAATGCGTGTTTCTTAAAGACAAGGTAGCGTTGCGTAAAAACACAAAGGCCAGGATGGGAATCCAGGAAATGTAAGGATGCATGGCATTGTAGACAAACTTGTTGTCACGCGTGATTTCGTACCAGAAATACCACACCAGCGCCAGGACGGAAACGGCCAACGTAGCCGCTTGGAGGAGAGGCCAACGCCGTGGAGCACGGCTGCTGCTCCATTTCAAATAGCCCAAGGCACACAGCATCCCCACGTAGACAATGTAAGCATCGAGTCCCAGACGGAACCGCCATTCGGCTGCGTCCCAGTCGACATGAAAGATGAGTTTCAAGAGGTCAAACGTCCCTTCCATCACACCCGGCCAGTGGATGAAGCAGGTCGTGACGATGCCTCCCACGAGCAGCTTGGTCAACACAAACCATGTTTTTTGGTTCCATGCGTGTCCTACATACATGAGCCCCCAAATCACCAAGAACCAAAACGACACCAACGGTGTAAAGTAATAGCTCAGATAATTCGTATCCATGATGTACGACAGCACACACGTCAGATAGTTGAGTCGTACCATGACGTTCAGTACGCGTTTCAAACTAAAGTCCTGCTTTTTGTAAAAAAAGGTAAAGTGGCCGTAGCCTGTCTGGAACAAGTAGGCGGCGACAAGTATGCGGACGGCGTTGTAGATGCCAGAGACGGAAGAGGCGCTTAACGCATGATAGATGAGAATAATGATTTGCATCCAGCCTTTCCACTCGTCCGTTTGGTGTCGGTTCAAAAAGCCTTCGTCCTTATCAGGCGTGCTGCTGTGACGCAGTTGGACCATACCCAATACGGCTGTCGCGAGCATGAGACTGGCAAAGGCCGTCGTGTCAAAGTGTTTGTTGATTTTTCCAAACAGATGCGTTCGATCGCTGTAGTACATGTAGATGATGCACAATCCAAAGGTAAAGGAAGCTTGAAGGATCTTTTGCGACGGAAAGAGTCGAGTGGCGAGTCCACGAGCACGGCGATCGGCACCACTGTTGTTCTGGATGGACGCTACGGTGGCTGACAAAAATAAAAAGCCAACGGGAATCCATGCCAAATAATAGAGGATCACCCCTATTTGATACCATGTCGGCCGCGGATAATGGTAGCAACAGGTGCTGGCCATAGGGAATTTTTTTTCGAGTTGATCGTTACAACGGTAATTCAATACCACTTGTGTTTGAGCGTGCGTGATGAAGGTATTGAAATGAAGCCCATCTTGCGTGACATGGTTGCTGAATTGCGTGGTGGACATGGTATTCCACACAAAAGGAATTTGAAGAGGAAGGCTCTGTGTTGTTTTCTCGAGATTCAATAATTGAGTGTGTAAATACTCGTTCATGCGATGGACTTTATCGATCGTGATGGACGTGGATCGATTCGCATCCAATCGGCTGTAGTCGGGTATTTCAACGGGTAGGACCATCATGGCCTCCGTCATGCCTTCGAGGCCGTTCGTCTGTGATGGTTGCTGCTGCTGACCTTGTTGACGTACAGTTTGAAACAACACATCGATCGGTTGTCTCCACGCAGAAAAGTAATCCTCTGGAGGTAAATAACGCATATGCCAAGCGCCTCCGCCCACCACCATCAGACTACTCTTGGGTTGCTGTACTGAACTCTTTGTCAAAAACTGTAGAAAGGTGTCATTCAAGTAGGGATCCCACCAAAACTCGAGTTCTAACTGTTCCTCTTGGAAAATGTATTTGCGGTTCGTGTGTGCGTCTCCTTCCAAACTCACGTTGGGTCGAATCAATTGTAAAAGAGCGAAATATTGCTGTCTGACAATCGAATCACCAATGTACACCACTCTCCGACGACGAGAACCTTTCGATAAACAGGTCGATATGTCGGTCGGTTTATAGGGATGGAGCATGCAACTCGAGGGTTGCCAAGTGTGATCTATGGCCCACTCACCCTCATTGAGTAAACTATGACAACGGGTCCTATCATTCGAGTCTTTTTTTTTTTTTGGTGTGTGGGTTAACAACGCTGTGTGGTGTAGCATCAAAGTTGTCTCTAACGCCTTTTGATAGAGGATACTTTACTTGATATGTAACGAATCAACGAGGTGAAACTAAACAGTATTAAGGTGACTAAACAACTGAATTTCAACCCTTTTGTTATGAGCGTAGAGGAATCGGATAAAGTTCCCATAATGTTGGCATCGAGGAATGGTGATTTCCAAAAGGAAAAAAAATCAAAATCAAAAATCAAGGAACGAGTAATGGGGCGGGGAATCTAGTGAAATATGGGCCAGAACAACAAGAAGGAAATGTGTGCTACTGTTTGATTAAAAACAGGGGACATCTAAATTGAGTTCAGAATGATGGAGTTTGAATCTGCTTTTATGGATAAAGGTGCAGAATAACTTTTTGAGACAAGTTGACAAGCAAGTTTTAAAAAGTTATATGTGCGTTTGGGGGGACACGACGCGACTCTCCCTGCTTCAACAGTTATCCTAAGCTTTGATCTTTTATATAAAGTCATTCAATTCTATTCTATGGATGGAAGAATAATACAAGAAAAGTAGAGTCTCATTCATCAAGAAAGATGGTAATGAGACGAAAGAGATGAAAGTGCCTTTTATTAAACTATACAAAACATATTAAAGGTAAAGTGGAAAGTCAGCATGGGTACCGGGCCAATTTGTATTACAGTTTGAATTTTAACACAATGTATATTCTGTAAAAGCTTGTTTGAAAAAAAAAAGGTTATTTCAAGTTAGCAAAACTCATTGTTTTAAGGGATGAGGAAAGAGGGGTTCGCAATGGCAGCGAGGACCGTCCAGAATTTCGTTTGGATCAAGCGAGCTTCCGAGGCGCTTAGAGTGAATGGTCGTCATGCAGTCAGATAGACTTGACCTAATGATGAAAGCCTTTCAATGGCTAAATCAAATGAATAACATGGAATGTGCAATTATAGATATTTTTGTGTGGTTGTTGCTTCCATAGTTCAATATTACAACTACAGAGATTGAAAACGCCTCTTTTAGAAAAAGACTGGGGATAGGGGTATTTACATTCGTCTATAATGGATATAGTCTTGTAAAAAAAAAACTGAAATTATAAAAGTGAAACGATACAGATACCTATAAAAACAAGCCAATCGTATATAAAGGCAATGATGGTTGGGGAGATAGTTTTGGTTTATGTGTGTGTGTGTGTGTGTGTGTGTATGTGTTTGAAATGTAGAATAGGTTTCTACATGATAGATTTTCCGCTGCACTAGTAAGTTAGTAATAAATGACTAAAGACCTCGGAATGTATGTATATTATCATGTGTTGTGAACAACTAGAATGTTTTATCCATAGCATGATCTACTGGATAAAGAGATTTTCAGATAGGTGATGCAGCCACTCCATTTTACCACCTGTATTCTTTAGTCTAAACCTTTGAATTTTTTCATTTTGCGTTGAAATGACACAATAAATGATATCTAAACAAAATTTCAAAAGTGTACAAAATTACCTCTACATTGTCTAAAAAGAATTATTTTTTTCTGTAACATGGGACATTCGGTTCTTGAAAAAGAAACGTAGATCACTTTTTGGTAAACAATGGGAGTTGCCACAAGCGTCATTTCCTTTTTCCCGCCCACATAGCAGTTAGTTCTCTCCAGCATCACCTTCCAAAGACAAAACATTCTCTTTCTCTAATACAGCCTTTATCTGATAAGATGACGGAAATAGAAAAGAAACATTTCCCCCTTTGTACGGCTTGAATCTGGGTTTTTGTTTTTTTTCTTCCTTTTCTTTTTGGAGAAAAATGGAAAAATGAAAAAGACATTTCTTACATTAGCAGTAATAAAGTGAGTCTTCAAGTAATGATAATGATCTTGAAGTAATCTCGTTCTCTGTTCTTGATTGCGCCGTGTATTGATTCTACTGTCATGATGACTTGGGGGTTCCAATTCAATGAGAAATCAGTGGACTGAGCGGCGAGTCATGCTCCACGATCCATTTGTATGTCCGTTTTTTTGGGGGCAAAAGAAAGACATTTGAAATAAAAAAAAAGCAGCCAAATAGAACCCTTCGATTCGTATACCTACGAAATTTGTCTCTTTTTAATGTAGTGAATGCTAGGCAGGGATGTCTCATCTTTATTTTTTAAAAAAAAAAGCTAATAAACAAGCGAAGGGTCCTTTATAGCTTTCTACTAGAAATCAATACAGAAACACGCAGAACGGGTAAACAAACATTTACAAAAGAATATAGAAAATTCGTCAGAGAGATCTCCTTGGCACTTTGTCTCGCCTACTTTCCGTGATTTACAACTCTATCGGATCCATGATGGCATTGTGTGTAACGCTCTTGACGTTTTGCAGCACATGTAACATGAATAATAAGCATGACAAGATTTGCCATTTGACTTTTGTTGTTGTTGTTGTTGATAACAAAATCACGTTCAATAGTGAATGTGATGTATAAGCTCTGATAGATCCCAGGGGTGAGAGACCTATAGCCACAAAGCAACACCATGCGTTTCGACGACGATCACAAGATGTTTTTCCTATTTCCCTTGTCCCGCGCCTCCATTCCTTTCCTTGAATAGTCAAGATGATCTGCCTTTGCAACTGAAACCCGGCAACCAGAAAAAAAAAAAAAAAGGTTTTTTTTTCCAGGTGTGTGGAATCTGAATTTTTTGTTTTGCCCGGGTGAGAGCCCAGAGTGGTTGTTTCTGGTGAAAGCAGTAAGAGAGAGAAAGAGAACTGTATCCATTAGCAAATGAGGTTGTGTTTCTATAAATTCTTTTGGAATTCTTTTGATTTCCCCATGACGTTGCCTATCTCCAGCCCAATGTGCCCTTTATCCATGGGGGGAAAGAGAGAGCACACTAAGAAAAAAAGGAATGTTCCCTCTTCTCAAGGCGGTTCAAGCGGAGACGGAGCTAATCGAGAAAAAAATCAATAGGTACTTCCTATTGAGAAACAAAACAGCCGTTTCCACCGTATCCCTTGGGCAGGGAAAAAGACTGAATTCATTATAAAATGAAAAAAGGTAAATTCTCTCTTGATCGTTTTCTTATTGAATCGCCCCCTTTTTTCCCCTTATTTTCTTTTTTTGCCATGAAACTCTTTTCAACGAGCACTAGCATCAGCACCACGAAAACAAGTGGTGTCATCACCTTGGCTATCTCGCTTTTATCGTGTATTACCACTGCGGTTCAAGCCAACAATGTCACCTATTCCGTGGTCGCGTTCCCCTCTCAAGGTGAACAGGTCGTGGTCAACGTCAATAACCAAACCTTTGCTTTAGCAGAAAGCGCTACCTGCATGGGCCTTTACACAGGTAACGCTCCTTTTGCCTCAGAATATCACTATGCTCTCGTGAACGCCCATGGTCAACAAACGCCCGAAAAGGTCAAGCGTTCTTTGGCAAATGCCAATACCACCACCACGGGTAATGAATTCTTTGATCGTTCAAGAACGTTCTGGGATATTCCCGAGATTCCTCAAGCTTATCCACCCATCTTTCCATGTAAGTCTTCCCATAGGGTCCCCTTAGAAAAGATTTCTTGATATTCATCTCTTTTTATTTTACGGGGTTAGCAAAAGCCTCCGAATTCGGTAATAGCAATCAAATAGCTACCGTCATTGCCAGAGCCGATGGACCTGCTCTCCAGAAAATTCTCGATGATCCTGATACCGACCATTCCTACGTTCAAATGTACAACATGACCTATATCAACCACGATCATTGTTTCAGCTTTATGAGCGCTGGTCTCAAAAATAGTGGTCAATCCTCCAAGAAATACACCAAGCAATCATGGAATATCAAATTTGGCAAATTTGACAAAAACGCCGACGATAAGCTCTATGGCCGTAAGGCGATCAAGTTGCGTGCTGAAGCCGTCGATCCTGCTTTTATCCGAGACAAGCTGGCCATGGACTCTCTTCAAGCAGCGGGCGCTATCCATACCGAAGGTAGTTTTGCTCGATTCTTTGTCAACGGCGAACCCTATGGTTTGTATCTGATGACGGACGAGGAGTTTAAGGGTTTTACAGACAATTTGATGAACGGCGGTCAAAAAGATGCCCACATCGGCCCCACCTACAAGGCCAATTCCTTGGGACCCGATCAATGTGCTGATCTCGTGTACAAGGGCCCTGATAATTCCAGCTATGCCTGGGGCGATATTTACTCTTTGGGCGACCAAGGAAGAGACCCTACCTCCGGTGTCACCAAAAAATCCTATGCCGCTCCTTTGATGGATTTCATGAAACGACTGAACGAAACCACCCATGGCAACACGACCGCACCCGGCACCATTGTTGATCTGATGGACAACACCAACCAAACCATGATCCAATTGGCAATGAATATGCTCATGGGCGCCTGGGATGGCTTGTGGTATACCGGTACCAACTTTTATTTGACAGAACACATGGATACCAAAAAGTGGACATTGATCACCTACGATTTTGATGATACTTTTGGCAACGGTATGCAAGATGAAAAGATGTTGACCGCACCTTATCAATCCTTTGCTCCTGAAGGTGCCAAGCGTCCTTTGGTAGAAGCCTTTATCAAAGATCCTTACTTCCAACCTCAATTTGAAGAAATCCTTAAAACGATTGTTCAAAAATCCTTCAACCCCAGCAACTTGAAACCACGTATTGATGCCTACACCCAAATGTTGGAACAAGATATTGCTTGGGATTATGGTTTGAAAAGAAAAGCAAAGGGTGTAAAGAAAGACTTTACACTCGAAAGCTTCAAGAAGAACATGTATAGCTTCTCTGATGACTCTATTGGTATCATGGAATGGATTGGCAATCGTACAATCGCCACAGCTAAGCAATTGAACGTCACTCTCAACCAACCTACCAACAACAACAACAACAACAACAACAGCATCAGACTATAATAATTTAAAATGATATCCCCTTTTTTTCTCTCTAATCTATAATATTCTATCATGACTCGCTGTTGTTTGCTCATTTTTCTTTTTTTTTTTTTTTACTCATTAAAATTAGTCTACATCATAATGTAATACCATAAAATACATGTAGGAAATCTCGTTCCCATTCTAAGTAATCATGATCAGTGTCCGTTACTTGAGCTTGTCTTTTTACATGATGGCACACATTCCCATATTAAGACTTTAAATTTCAACTCTATTATTCATCTCGTCATACAAAGAATCGATCGTACAACACACCTTTTAAGTTGACTGAGAAAAGTGTACACACCAAAAATTGAAAATGAAAATCCATAGATTAAAGTCGATAGCAGGCGGAGGAGGATGTGTGTGTGTCTGTCTGTCTGTGTCTGTATGTGTGCGAAAAGTGCTGGCTCCATTTTTCAAATCTTTTTTTGATAACATCACTAGATAGAGCCAACCAACAATGAGTTTAGTTCAACAACAAATAGAGTCTGTGCATGTATTTGCATTTGACATTCATACAGTATGAAAAAAGCGAGAGATCCCTTCACATCGTCATGGGTCATGTGACTCATTATGTACAACCATCATGGGCTTTTTCCAATAGTGCCCCCCACATCATTATCAGGAAGCGATGCACCATACAAATAGATAAGGAATATTCCCCCACACTTACTAACTTTGATATAGTCGCGCCAAGTAACGTGGATCTTTTTTTTTTAGTTTTGTAGGACAAGAAAAAAGAAAATCTCTTATCAGATGTGAGGATGCACGAAAAATTAAAAGAGGAAACAGACTTTGGCAAATAAGCGCGCGGGAATTGTTCTATAGTTGACATTTAAGGATTACATAGAAGCAGCGACATTTCACACCATTCAGAGAAGGGCTATGTGAAAGTAAAATTTTTTATTTTCCTTAAAACACCCACACAACCCTTCCTAGTGAACGTACTGTAGATAATATGTGTGTGTGTATATGTGTGTATATGTGTGTACGTGTGTGTGTGTGTGACCTGTTAAAAATCGTATAAATAGTACCCCCAAAGAATGCTTGCTTTGATCTACTTTACATATACATTGATAGACATCTCTCTACCGAGACTTTCTGCACTTTTTTTCTCTCTCTCTCTTTTCTATCTTTCTCCTCTAGTCATATGCATACCTCGTTCTTGTTATCGACAGCTACCCTTCTCATTGCCTCTTGCTGTCAATTTGTCAGTGCAGAAACCTATAAAACTAAAATTGCCATCCTGGGTGGTGGTGTCAGTGGTATCAGTGCTGCTTTAAACTTGACGGCCAATGGCATTACTGACTTTATGATGATTGAAGCCAGAGATATCTTGGGTGGTAAGCCTAACATTTGTTCCTTTTTTTTTTTTTGACGACCCATGGCCTCTGTGATTAAAACAACTTTTTTGTATTATTCTTAGGCAGAGCGCAAGATACTCCTTTTGGTGATACGAATGTTGAATTAGGTTGTAATTGGGTTCAAGGCTTGGGATCCAATCCTATCAATGTATTGGCCAAAAAACATGGCTTACGTACCGCGCATAATGATGGTGATGATGTTGTCTTTATTGATGAAACGGGTCAACATGTCAACTTTACCGAAAGATACAATGAATTTGGAAAAGTGTACGAAACCCTGTCTGATATGGCCAGTAAGTAGTGATGGCATCGTTTGTTAAGAGAAATTTTTTTTTTGTTAACCCTTCTCCTCTATGATGGTCACTAGTGAAACGTGTCAAGAACGATCAAGTCGATCTCTCTGGTAGAGTGGGTTTGGATATTGCTGGCTGGTATCCTCAAAATGCCCTTGATCATGCGATTGAATATTACTCCTGGGATTGGGAAATGGCAGAAGATCCCGAGTCTACTTCTAGTATCTATACCGTAGTAAATGATTATTACACTTATGGTGGCGTTGAATTTGGTGAGGACAGTGATGGTGATCGATTTGTCGTGGATCCTCGGTACAGTTTTTCGCTTGTGGACTACTCACTCCACACTTTTTTGATTTCTAACACTTTCTTGCTTTTTTCATTATAGAGGCTTTAAATACATCTTTTTAGAAGAAGCAAAAACCATGTTTGGAAAAGAATTCAAAGACAAGCGTCTTTTACTGAACCGAACCGTGGAAAAGATTGCCTACAACGACCACGGCGTCACGATCCACACCAAGAATGGCGATACAATCAAGGCAGACTATGCCATTTCTACCTTCAGTTTGGGTGTCCTTCAACACAAAGACGTCGAATGGAGCCCTGCTCTCCCCGCCTGGAAACTCGAAGGTCTCTACGGCTTCCACATGGCCACTTATACCAAGATCTTTATGAATTTCCCCGAGAAATTCTGGGACGATAACCAATTCACTGTCTGGGTCGATCCTGACATGCGTGGTTACTACAACACATGGCAAACCTTGAATCTGCCCGGTGTCTTGCCCGATAACTCGACCGCCAACATCTTTTTTGCTACCGTCACCCAAGACATGGCCTACCGCGTGGAATCCATGTCCGATGACGAGGTCAAGGCCGAAATGATGACCGTCTTGAGAAAGATGTACGGCAAGGACATTCCTGAACCCACCGATTTCGTATTCCCCCGCTGGCACTCCAATCCTTTGTTCCGTGGTACCTACTCCAACTGGCCCATCGGTGAATTAGACGAACATCACGCCAACATGAAGGCTCCCTTGAAAAACAGAGTCTTTTTCGCTGGTGAAGCCATGTCAGCAGAATATTACGGCTTCTTGCAAGGTGCTTGGTTCAGTGGTGCTGAAACCGCTCAAAACGTCGCTCAATGTGTCAAGAAATCCTGTCCTTCTGCTCATTATTATCCCATCATTACCAATGCTAAAATACGCCCTAATATTGTCCGTCGATCTCTTTTAAACAAGCAATAATTGCATTGTACATGAATAAAAAATAACAGTTTACACATGATGTGTCCAAAAGCCCCAAACAAAATTATTATTATTATAGATATCCTCTTGAATTGGGGGGAAATAACAAAAATGAAAAAATAAAATAAAAGGATGTGTATATATATGTATATATTCGACTCTTCTTTTTTTTCCCTAAACCTATTCACTTGAAAAATTAATCCACATCCATTAAATCTTCTTCCGGTCGTTCACTTGAACTAGGCTGATCCATATTTAAATCCGTTTCTACTTCTGTTGAACTACCTGAAGCAAGACTACTTCTAACAGCAGACCTTGAATTTATTCTACCTCTTCTTCGACTACTATTACTACTACTTGAATGATGAGGATAAAGATGTTGCTGTGGTTGTTGCTGCTGCTGCTGCTGCTGCTGTTGATAAAAGAGTAAATCATGAGGATCACGCGCTGCTGCTGTCGTTGCAGAGGAGGGTGCTACTGCTGCTGTTGAGGAAGGGGAGGGGTGTAGTGTAGTAGGATGTGCTTGTGGTGGTTGAGATCGAGTCAATGTCCCTGCTGAGGTACGCCTTAAATTTGAAAGGGTATTCGTCGTCGTGATCGTCGGTGTGCTGGATGCTGACGTCGATGGACTCTCAGGATGGGAGACTGCTCTTGTCGCATGCGTCGTCGTCGTTGTATCCGCAGCAGCCGTAGTAGCCGCCGTGCCGTCTTGTTCATTCATGTCGTCGTTATGTCCTACAATGGGTATGGCGAGTACATCAGGGGCGGCTACATTATCTTCGAGATGAACCACTTGTTCTGCAGGTGGAGGAGGTGGAGGAGCTGCGGCTATCACGGCGGCGGCGGCTGCTTGCGTCGTGGATGAAGTCGCTGCTGGGTTCGGTGGGTGCGAACTATGAGGTCTTTCGATACACCACCAACGATGACCATCGGCCCAAGCTTTGGATTGACACGATTTAGAACAGTATTTTGCTTTTCGACTAGAATAGAATAAATAGCGTAAGCAATGGAGCTGGGGGGGGAGAAAAAAAATGTCAATGGACTTTCATTACCATCTTCGGCATTTGGCAAATTCACGAGGAAATCGCTCCCATTTGCCACATTGCATATTGGCACATTGACGAACGCCTCCTCGTGCTTCATCTTTTCGACAAGCATTTCTCATAATCACGCCTGCCCAGTAAATGATGGCAGCAGGATGTAATCGATGTGTGAATTTTTCAACCACCGAAAATACATTATGACGATGATTTTTATGAAAAGCTTCACGAATGGCAGGATACTTGGACAAATAGGCAAGCAATTGTAAGGATAACAGGATATCTTCCTCTCGGTGTAACACAGCGTCAGTAGAGAGATTGTTCAACAAAGGGATATTGTATAAACTGGCGGTATAGGACTTGGTCTTGGGTTGAATTGTTCTTTTCAGAAAAGTATGCTTCATGGGAATCACAAATAAGTTATCCAACATTGTTTGCGTCGTTGTGTTTTTTTGAACAAGTGGTTGCTGTTGCTGTTGTTGATAGTTGTGGTGGTTGGAATAAGGGTAAGGGTTCTGTTGATAAAAATGGTTTGTCAATAATGCGGTGGTTGCGGAATTCGCATTGGTATTCTCATGATCATAATAATCATTATTCTCTTGACTATTGCTATTAGATCCTTCACCTTCTTCGTCATCGGCCGTTGTTGCTGTTGTTGTTGTTGTTGTCGCCGTGGCTGTGGCTGCGGCTGCTTCATCGTCATTTTCTTCTTCTTCTTCATCGTCCTCACCTTCTACTTTATGAATTTCATTACGACGAAAACTTGGTATGTAAGCCGTGCTTGTGGTATTGGTATGATGATGATGCTGCTGCTGCTGCTGCTCTACGCCCTGTTGTTGCTGTTGCTCTTGTTGTAATTGTTGTTGTTGTTGTTGTTGTTGTTGTTGTTGTTGTTGTTGTTGTTGTTGTTGTTGTTGTTGTTGTTGTTGCTGTTGCTGTCTTCTTTCTTGGTCTTTTTCAATTTTCGCTTGATCCAATGCCTTCATAAAATTCTCAAGAATAGCTAATACAACATGAACAGCTCCTGCTTCTACCACTCGAGTTCGAATGGCTTCCGTACCACGTACACCTACATTCACAACACACTGAAAAGCTAAAGACCATTTCCACAAGGAATGCTTATCGGTGTGTTGGCAGGTAGCTAAAATCTTTACTAATCTTTCTAATCCCCCATCTGCAGCAAGAATTTCACGAATGCGTGGAGAGGTAGACGTCATATAAGCAAGATGAGTTAACGAATTCACAAGGGGTAATGTTGCTGTGCAATCCAATGCTCTACGATCATATAAAGTAGATGTGATGACAACAGCTGCTCTATTCTGTGCTGGAGAGCTAAAATTAGGTTCACGCATTTCTAAAATCTCTTTTCAATGTACTTTTTTTATCGTTAAGTCTCTATGTAAGTGAGTGAGTAAGTGGATGAGTGAGTGTGTGTCTGTGTCTGTGTGTGTCTGTAGAGAGGTGCCTGTTTTTTTCAAATAATTAAACAAGAAAAAAATGAGTGATAGAAATGAAAGTACCGGTATAGAATTCCAAAAAAAAAAAGAGAGAAGGGCTTGAAAGAATAATAAAAAAAAAAAAAAAAGTGAAATCAATAAGGAAAAAAAAAAGACCAGCCAAACAGAAAGAAAATTACAGTGAGAAATGATTCGCTTTATTAAAAAGAATCAGGATGATCAAAAAGCCAACCCATTGAAAAGAACAAGGCTCAATTGTTTACATTGTTCTCCCTCTTAAAGTCCTTTTTTTTTTCATTTACTTCTCCTTTTCTTTGTTGTTTAAATGTTTTCATTTTTATGGGTAACCACATGAAAAGAAACACACACACAAATGATGTTCTGAGTTTCAATATGAAGCATCACGCCTGCTCACACCACCCAATCCGCACCCCCAACAGCTACATGAAATACACCTATGACCAACGTGCAAAAAAATCAAGAAAAAGAAATCGATAGCTGTTACCATAGATACGACCTAGTCCAATGCAAAAGCTCATTTTGAAGCATTGCAGTCTCTCTCTTTGCCAATGGAAGCGCCTTCTGTAGCCGTGCTTTCTTTTATCGCTTCCATGGACGCTGCATATCTACCACATGTAAACATTGGCACAAATAATTTCCCAGGATAGGCACGTATTGTTGCTGTTGATCACGACCAAAAACCAAATTATACATCGAAATCCGTTGCGGAGGGGGTGGGCCGCACTTAAAGCCCATATAAATTTGTATTGAACAAAATATACCATACTATCCTACAGATTGCTTGGCTTCTCACCAAAACATGAGTGGGTTGTTGCTGTGTAGACACACTTTACTGCTACTGTCTTTTGATCGTATAAAAGAAAAAGGACTTGCTCGCGGGCTGATATATTCAAGCAACCTTCTAGCTTACGAGTAAAGGCAATATTGGCTTATTCAGAATGAGTGAGCTTTCAAGTATCAGTACTGGAAGACTGACTAATGTAAGCCATTTCAACAATGCAGCTACCACCTATTTAATAAAGGATTAGTAACAAGTGGGCACCCAAATGAAATGATGCGCCAATGAAAATCGTTATGTATTTGGTTTGATATATAGCTCTTTACAATATTTGGGCAATTGCATCAGATAACTTTAAAGTCATGCATAACACAACCAATGCCAGAAGAAAGGTATCTTCTCTTCTTTAGATAAATGACAAAGACATACCATGATAAACAGACACAACATCCATACAAGTCGAACGATACTATAAGATAGTCATGCCTCGCCAGTTGAGCGTCAATAAAAAGCTATAGTATTCATGATGAGAGTGGGTCATCATTGAACGCGAATAAAACCCTGTGTCTCTCTCTCCGGATAAATTTACTATTTTGGGGTTCACTGTTGAAGAACACTTTTCTCCAATCACATAAATGAATATAGTACTTACGGTATCAAATGGCGGACATGAAAAACTCAATCAGCGGATTTTCATTTCTTAAGTTTATAAACAGTGAACAGCAAACACATATTTCCAAGGAAGATGGGCAGAAGAAGGTGGTGAAGCAATGGACTGCATCATTGAGGAAGGAGAACAGTTTAACCTCAGGAACTTGACTAATACCATTTACAAGGAATCACAACCTGTTCCCACTGAGGTGGATCCTAAGGATGAAGATTTGGAAAGTAGAATTTCTCTTGCGACCGAGAGACTACAAAAATATGTAGCTGACAGTGCGCAGTGACAACAGCTATAGTGTTTATACTGATGATCAGAAGACTTTATTTGTATATTATTTGAAAATCAAATTCTTTCCGCAGCTAAAGCAGGCGAGCGCGCAGGGATTGCTGGGAGGACAGTTCATACCTGGGCAAAAAGAATGAGAACAGACCCTGACTGGAACATTTATGAGAAAAGAACAAACAAGACGGGTAATCGACCCAAAAGCCAACTTTAGGAACCTCAAAAACAGCATACAATTCAGTTGTTTAGTGAGAAGGCTTATAAAACGACAGACGAGGTTGTTGATTGTTCAACAAAAACTTTTAGGGATTCTAATTGAAACGTTCTACAGTAAACAGTTTCATTTTGCATGAGCGTAATCTGACTATGAAAAGATTAGTTCGTCATCTTGCAGCTCGAAACGAGAAAGATACGAATGGGTTATCAAATACGATAACTCAGATATGAATTACCTTCAAAACTGCATTTTTTATTGATGAATCTGGTTTTTATATCAACATCAGGCCATCTAATGGTCGATCAGCTAGTGGTACCCCTACTATAACAACAACGCCGTCCACCAAAGCTAAATTACATTCAATATTAGGAGCAGCTTCAGCAGTTGGTGTCTTAAGTATCGACGTTAGGGTTCCTCAGATGAACGAAAGAATCAGAGTCGCGGGTGGTCGCAAAAGGAAGGTGGCAAACTCTAGAAAAACAGAAAAGAAAGGTACTACTACTGGCCACTATCTTAAGTTCCTGGTTGGTACGTTAGATCAATTAGACAAATACCCTGAATTAAAAGGATTCTATCTCGTTATGGATAATGCTCATATCCATAATCATGAAGATATTGAACGTTTGATTACTGATAGAGGGTACAGGTGTTTATAACTTCCACCTTATTCACCTGAACTAAATCCTATCGAACAATTTTAGCCCATTGTTAAAATAGAGTTAGACGCAGTAAATCCGAGGCATGTAACAAAACTCTAAGAGAATGTATACAACACTCTATAAACGCTTCTGAGAAATGTAGAAACAAACAGACTCTCTAAAGAAAAATAAAAAAAAAATAAAAATGAAAAACATCTTTTGATTGGACAATTTTTTACGCTTGTTACGCTTATTACGCCTGTTACGCTTGTTACGCCTGTTACGCTTGTTTCGCTTATTACGCTTGTTACGCTTATTACGCTTATTACGCTTGTTACGCTTATTACGCCTGTTACGCTTGTTACGCCTGTTACGCTTGTTTCGCTTATTACGCTTGTTACGCTTATTACGCTTATTACGCTTGTTACGCCTGTTACGCTTATTACGCTTATAAATAAATTCCGCTGATTGGACAATTTTTTACGCTTGTTACGCTTATCAAGAGGACCAATAGATAAGTGCCCGTCATATACTCAGCTGTCATAAAACTACATAAACCCTTTGTCTTTTAAGTCTTACTAAAGCCATTCCCAATTTGAATAGTCAGCTAGTCTGGATATTTACTCCGTATTCTTTTATTCTTTATTTTATTATCGTTTATATTCTTGGTTCTGTGCTTGTGATTTAAGACCACTCTTTTCTCTCATCGATTCCTTACCTACATGTAATAGTAGACAATCAGGCTTGTCGTCGACTACGTTTCTCCAATTGGATTTGATAGCTTCAATTGTCATTCCATCTTCCCATACTCCTGTTATTCTGGCCTTTGAGTCAATTATTTCTGGTGTTCCCTCGTATCAACAGGATCAATATGTACAAAAACTTGTACGAGATTTCTCCATTGTAGATCCTAGAGTACACACATATTTCGAGAACGATCTGATCGTGAAACTAAATTTCCTATGTTACTTCGTAAGTTTCGTGTAGCAATAGCAAATGGGTATATTCAACCTACCAGCAACTTCCATCTCCTCCTAAACTCCAGTATAGAGTCTACTGGGTCTATTGATATTCGCCCACTACTTGATATGCAAATGTTCATCTTTATTCAAAGCAGTTAGAAGTACTTCTGCGTGACTCTTTATTCCCTCCAAAACCTACCACCACTTTTGGTACAGGCAAGTAGAAAACGTTTTGGGATCTACCTATACCTCCAGGCGTTCTAACAGTACAGTATCGTACATTTCAGCACAAGTTGCCTGACAAAAGCCTTTTACATAATATCGCTCCCTTCAGCGATTTGTAATATCAAGCAGAGCTTCATATCTAAAATAAAAAAAAAAGAATAAAAACAAAAACAATAAGTGATCAGACGAGCTGACTATAAAGAAGGATATTCTTCTACCCTTATTCAAATAATAAAACAAGGTTCTTTATATATTTTTTCAATAGAGAAACCGGGTAATCGTTGCTAATGAGGTAACAGTCTGTGCTTAAATATTGTATCCAAGAAGCAGCACATCCGTAATAGAGTATCTATAGTATGATCTTCTAATGCCCGATAGTTGTCATATCTTCAAAATCTAATTGGAACTAGATGTCGGACAGATAATAGTATGAATCAGAAACTCATTGAGTGCCCTTCCTGGATGGCTTTTGTATATTTAATATAGATGCAGAGATATAACAATACTATGAATCAGAGCCTGTATATGATACTTGTATCCATTGTCCACAAACCGAGGATACTTTAAACCTCTTTCTCTATGATTTACCCACTAAACAGTCTATCTGGCTCCAGTCTATATCCACTTTCTTTTCAGACCTGCTAATTAAACTTGGTAGAATACTATCCATGCTTCTTTCGCTCGATTATGATGACTTTTAACCCACAAAATTTCCTGTTGCCATCTCTTTATCTTTCATTTCCATTATTGGCTGTACACTACTAAAAAAAAAAAAAGAAAAAAATCAAGAAAATCAAATCTTGAGACAGCTTCGCCGCTTCCTCCCCCCCCCCAATAAAAAGGAGACTCATTTTGCGTAAGCGCTTAAACTATAATTAAGTATCGATTGATAAATTCATAGCAATATCTACTGCTCTTCTTTTATTTTCAATTCTTTCTTAAACGTGAATATACTACGCGTAAGCTCTGCTCGTTTCCAAATCGTGTAAAGTAACCAACTCGACTACCAGTCTCCCAACAAGTCTTCCAAGACATTCTGCCATTTTTTTTGGAGATAAAGTTTTCAATAAACGTTATTTCTTCATCAGTTAACGAACTTTGAACCACTGACTCAATGACTGTGACTTCTGCTGGTTCTGCCATTGGTGTTGTTGTCTCACCCTTATCTTCAAATATTATTTCTTCATATTTTCTTTTTAATTTTGAATGGTAATCAATACCTTGATTAACATATTTCAAAGCTTTGCTATTTGCTGCCAGCTCATCTTTAAGAATGTTTTTGATTTTTTTAAACTGGTCTTCAGAAGCAGAACATATTGTCGCCAAAGCATTCAACTGAGACTCGCTGGCATCAACGTATTTTTCTGTTTCATTTTTGGCGATTGTATATAGTTCAACAATCGTCACGTCATCGTAAAGATCCAAAGTCATGATGTTCCTTTGTTGGCTACCGAAGAAGTACTGTATTGCTACAATGGGATCCTTGTTGGCAGAACTTTCGTTACTTAAGGCAGGCTCGATGATCCGATTGGAAGTTAAATAGCAGTTTTTAGCCCAGTAATAACATGTTGTTTCAAACATATTCTCTTTTGTGTTTGATTGCTCAAATGTTTGCATAACAGCTTGACTCACTGTATCCACACAGAATATGAGTACAATCGGATAACATTTATATCGCATGAAGACGTTAATGAAGTAGGTAATTAGTCTTGCCATGAAGGTTTTGTCTACGCGTTTTTGTACCTCAATGAGTATAGGTGGGAGACTATTGGAAATGCCGATACGTGGGACATAGAGAATGTCGCTTCTCAAGGCGTTAGACCACTCAGTATTATCAGTGGTATAAGTACCAGGTGCAACATCCAAGAGAAATTTCAGAATCTGATCAACAATAGTTGAATTAGACAAAATGATTTTGCTAAGTTTGTCATCACCAGGACGATATTCCGATGGTATTTTGAATAAAAGGAGATCTTCAGGTACTATGGAAAACACGTAAGTATTAGTGGACAAGGCACATTTTACAACAACTTACTTTGCATTGTTAGGATAAAGATATGAATAACCCTAAAATTATAAGATGGGGAATATGATAGTTTTTCCCTCAGTTGGATAGTGTAACATTTGGTACGATGTGTGTAATAAGCGTAATAAGCGTAACAAGCGTAACAGGCGTAATAAGCGAAACAAGCGTAAAAAATTGTCCAATCAGCGGAATTTATTTTATAAGCGTAATAAGCGTAACAGGCGTAACAAGCGTAACAAGCGTAACAAGCGTAATAAGCGTAACAGGCGTAACAAGCGTAACAAGCGTAACAAGCGAAACAAGCGTAACAGGCGTAACAAGCGTAACAAGCGTAACAAGCGTAACAGGCGTAACAGGCGTAACAAGCGTAATAAGCGAAACAGGCGTAACAAGCGTAACAGGCGTAACAAGCGTAACAGGCGTAACAAGCGTAACAGGCGTAATAAGCGTAACAAGCGTAATAAGCGTAACAGGCGTAACAGGCGTAATAAGCGTAACAAGCGTAATAAGCGAAACAAGCGTAACAGGCGTAACAAGCGTAACAGGCGTAATAAGCGTAACAAGCGTAATAAGCGTAATAAGCGTAACAAGCGTAATAAGCGAAACAAGCGTAACAGGCGTAACAAGCGTAACAGGCGTAATAAGCGTAACAAGCGTAATAAGCGTAATAAGCGTAACAAGCGTAATAAGCGAAACAAGCGTAACAGGCGTAACAAGCGTAACAGGCGTAATAAGCGTAACAAGCGTAAAAAATTGTCCAATCAAAAGATGTTTTTCATTTTTATTTTTTTTTTATTTTTCTTTAGAGAGTCTGTTTGTTTCTACATTTCTCAGAAGCGTTTATAGAGTGTTGTATACATTCTCTTAGAGTTTTGTTACATGCCTCGGATTTACTGCGTCTAACTCTCTTTTAACAATGGGCTAAAATTGTTCGATAGGATTTAGTTCAGGTGAATAAGGTGGAAGTTATAAACACCTGTACCCTCTATCAGTAATCAAACGTTCAATATCTTCATGATTATGGATATGAGCATTATCCATAACGAGATAGAATCCTTTTAATTCAGGATATTTGTCTAATTGATCTAACGTACCAACCAGGAACTTAAGATAGTGGCCAGTAGTAGTACCTTTCTTTTCTATTCTCTCGGTCGCAAGAGAAATTCTACTCTCCAAATCTTCATTTTCAGGATCCACCTCAGTGGGAACAGGTTGTGATTCCTTGTAAACGGTATTAGTCAAGTTCCTGAGGTTAAACTGTTCTCCTTCCTCAATGATGCAGTCCATTGCTTCACCACCTTCTTCTGCCCATCTTCCTTAGAAATATGTGTTTGCTGTTCACTGTTTAAAATCTTAAGAAATGAAAATCCGCTGATTGAGTTTTTCATATCCGCCATTTGATACCGTAAGCACTGTAAATTCAAAAAAAGTTGTATATGCTCTTAATTTACGGCTTTCTTTTCTTTTCCATCTCATTTTAACTAAAATGTCTACTGAGCGTGTTTTCTTTGTTGGTGGCACAGGTAACATTGGTGCAAAAGCTGTGAACGATCTGTTGGAAAACAAGGTGGCCGTTACCTTGTATGCTCGAAATCCTGAAAAAGTCGACACATTATTCAAAAATTATGCAGACAGTGATCTTTTGAAAGTGGTGCAAGGCGACTACGACGACTTGACTCCACTCAAAGACGGCATTCGTGGTCATACACGTTTGTTCTTGTTGATTGCAGATTTTAGAAACTTTCCTAAAACCAAGGAAACCATTGCGAAATATGCTTACGAAGCGGGTGTGAAGCAGATTGTGGATATCTCATCTTTCACTGTCAATATGGGTTGGAGACAAGGCATGATTGGCTCCAACCATTACTATGGCGAAAAGTTGATTTATGATATTCCTCATCGTGGCTATTTCGTTGCCTTGCGTCCAGGCCGTTTCATGTCCAACCTGTTCAACATGATCCGTCCTTTGACCGAAGGCGCCTACTATAGCATAAGCCCCCCAGATGCGCCCGAGGGTTGGGTGTCTCCCAATGACATTGGCGCAGTAGCAGCGGTTATTTTACGCGAAGATATTCACAAGCACGGGGACGGCGTCTACATGCTCACGAGTGATGTCATGACCGCCAACCAAGTCGCAGAGACCCTCTCTTCGCTTTGTGGCCGTGATATTCCTTACAAGCAGATCACGCCTGTAGAATTGTACAAAAAGATCACTTCTCATGGCGCTCCTCACCTCTTGGCTATGGACCTTGTAGATGGATTAGCCACTGAAAGTCTTGCCAACGTCAATGCTTGTATCGAAATTTTAACAGGACGAAAGCCTGAAACATTAAAAGAATATTTATCCAACAACAAGGCCCTTCTTCAATAATTGTCTCTTTTCTTTTTGCAATGAAAAAATAAAAGCCCCTATTTCCCATCTCAACGATGGCCTTTTTTGACAAACGCCTCCAGTAGGCATTTTGTTTTTTGTCGTTTTTTTCCTGCGACACAAGAGTGGGCCAGTGGAGACCCAATTTTTCTATTGGCAATCAGGGGGGATGATCGCGTTTCTTTTTCAGCTTCTTTTGGATCCAGTGTTTGTCAACGCAACACTATTGCATTTTCATCGGAAAGCCCAATGGAAGCCAGCTTGTTTTCACCGAGTTTAATCAAAGGACTCACAGATAAAATATACGACAGACGCAAAGCAGCTGCTTTGGAAATAGAAAGGTAAAACGTTGGACCCCTCCGAGTCCGAGCGATGCCAACGACCATGTTCACTTAAGAGCCCTGCCTCATGTAGACTTGTCAGAGAGAATGAAGACTCCCATGAACGCATCACTCAAATCGTGGACGCCCTCGTGCAAGAGTTTGTGTACTCCAACAATCCTTATGCTCGTTACGGTGGATTGATTGGTTTAGCAGCTACTTCCATCGCCTTGGGCTCTGTAAGTTCCCCATGTTTCATCCTGAAGCGCCATGGCTGTCTTTTTTTTTTTAGCTGAACAGGCAAAGCCTCAATTTCTTTTGAACTGCTAGGGCGTTTCAAGATATCTTGATATCATTGTTCCACCTATCTTATCCTGTTTCAGTAACCAAGATCAAAAAGTGAGATATTATGCTTGCGAAAGCATGTACAACATTGCCAAAGTGGCTAAAGGAGAAGTATTACGCTACTTTAATAGCATTTTTGATGCTCTATGCAAAGTAGGTTGAACGGACCCATCGATACCAATGAAAAAGCGCGTACCCATCCTCACCTTCTATTTATCCCCTTCCAGTTATCCGCAGACTCTGAAATCAGTGTCAAAAATGGGGCAGAATTACTGGATAGACTCATTAAAGATATCGTATCTGAATTATCCACCACGTATGTATCGCCGTACAGTGAACCTTACAATTCCATCGAAGCGGGTGGAGCAGAATTAGCCACCCCTTCCTCTCTCCCTCGCAATACAGCCTTTTCTTTGCCTCGATTTATACCCCTTCTCAGTCAACGTATCTATGTTCGGAACTCAGCCGCAAGACAGTTTCTCGTGTCATGGATGTGCGTGCTCGACTCGATTCCCGATTTAGAGTTGATTTCGTTCTTGCCCGAATTCCTCGACGGTTTAATCCGATGTTTAAATGATGTGAGTGAGGATGTCCGTATCGCTACCAACGGACTATTACAGGACTTTTTGAATGAAATCAAAGAAGCGGCTGCAGCATGCGAAATTCAGTTGAAAAACCGAAAAAGAACCCAACAGCAGCAGCAGCAGCAGCAGCAGCAGCAGCAGCAGCAGCAGCAACAGATGACGAGTCAAGAGATAGATGAGAGTAGTGACATCCATGATTCAGAGGATAAAGCTGCAAAGGAAGATGACGAAAAAAATGACACCCCATCCACTGAGACGATAAAGCAGACAGAAGAGGAGACGCCTTCGAACCTCCTCAAAGATCCACCAACAATGCCAGTCGATAAGGAATCGATAGACTCTGAAAATGATGGTCATGGAAAGGGCACCTATGTACCTGGACAAGGCGTTATTGTACAATACGGAAAGATAGTAGAAATCCTTGTCCCACATCTCTCCTCCACCGAGGAAGATATACAGAAAACAGCAATTGCTTGGATCAATGCATTTATAGAAATTGCCAAGGATGTCATTATTCAGTATACCCCGGAAATCATCAAGGCCGTATTACCCTCCTTAGCACATCCTGTACCTGCGATACGTCTCATTGCCCTCGAAACCAACCAAAAACTTCAGAGACTTGTCTTGGAAACACCCATTCAATCGCCAGAACCCACCACCAGTAAAAGTGAACCTTCAGGTGGCCATTATTTTTCAGAGCAGCAGAGACAACTTTCTCAGCAAAAGAAAAAGACAACAACAACAACAACAACAACAGCAGCAGCAGCAGCACTTTTATTTTCCAATGAACCCGGCAGCGCGGCTGCTGACCCATTCGATTACCAAGCGACCGTCGCTAATTTAAGACTCCAATTTTTGAATCAGAATGAGGAAACAAGAGTAGCAAGCTTGGATTGGCTGCTCATGCTTCATAAAAAGGCACCAAATAAAATCCTCGCTTCAGATGACGGTACTTTTCCCGCTTTGCTCAAGACGCTCTCGGACTCCTCGGAAGAGGTTGTACGTCGCGATCTTCAACTGTTGGCACAAATATCCTCCTATTCGGATCATGAATACTTTCGTAGTTTCATCATGTCGCTGTTATCCTTGTTCAGCACAGACAGACGACTTTTGGAAACGCGAGGAAGTTTGATTATTCGACAATTATGTTTGAGCTTGGATTCAGAACGCATTTATTGCGCTATTGCTGATATCTTGGAAAAAGACGAAGACCTCGAATTTGCAAGTATCATGATACAAAACTTGAACATTATCCTGATCACAGCCTCAGAAGTGGCGGATTTGCGTAAAAGACTGAGAAATTTGGACTATAAGGATAATCAGCGTCTTTTTAATACGCTGTATCGATCGTGGTGTCATAACGCTGTATCTACCTTTTCACTCTGTTTATTATCACAAGCTTATGAACATGCGGCCAACATGCTTCAACTATTGTAAGAGCGTTACTATTTTTTTGAAACTCTCAAAAAGTTTTCTAACCATGACATTTTTGTTGTAGTGCGGAATTGGAGATTACTGTCAATATGCTTATACAAATCGATAAACTAGTGCAATTACTGGAATCCCCAGTGTTTACATGTAAGTCATGATCCAACATGCTCCTGACCCCTTTTTGCCCTTGATATTAGCATTCTTACCCCCCCCCCATTTCTTTGTTGCCTATAAGACCTAAGACTTCAATTGTTGGAACCTGAAAAATACCCTTATCTATTCAAATGTCTCTACGGCATCTTGATGTTGTTACCTCAATCTTCTGCATTTTCAACCTTACGTAATCGTCTCAATAGTGTCTCCTCTCTCGGTTTCCTTCATGTGCTGCCTAAAAGGTAAGGAAAAGAATACAAAATGGGGCTTGTAAAAGATACTTATTATCTCTGGGCTGGAGGGCCCTTGGTTGACCCTATAGCAATCGTTCAACGCCCTCTTCAGCCACTTTATCCGATAAAAAACAGCAAATGAAAGCCAAGATCGATGAGAACAGTAGTGCCATCAAATTTCAAGAACTGTTGGCACATTTTAAAAGCGTTCAGTCAAGACATGAAAAACAAAGAAGACAGTGTAAGTTCCGCACAACGAGCAGTGCGCTAAATTGATAAAACAATGCATCGACAATTCATTAACACTTCTTATATATTTGTGTAAAGCAATGCAGAATAGCTCGCGTATCAATATGGCAAGTTCTTCCTTTCAAAATAGCAATATCATTACCAATAATGTGAATAGTGCATCAGCAAGAACACGGCGGCCTCGTTTAATTTATAATAATGAAGCACAACAACAGCAACAACTATCACAATCGCAACAAGCCGTCGCCATGATGAACAATAGTACCGGTGGCGGTAGTGGTGGCGGCGGTATATTGTCGTCTCATTTGATGGGTACAAGTGGAATACGCACGGGGATGGCAAGTCTTGGTTTAGCGTCTACACCGTCCAACGCCTCTTCTTCCTCTCCCTCTACCATCTTGAAAGTCGATGATAAAAGCGGCTTGAACAACACCACAGGTGCACCCACGCGCATGGGAAATGAAAGCAACATCAATGTGAGTACAGGCACGTCCACAGGCAGTGCATCGCGAATAGCCGCTCCTAGTAGTACAAGAAAAAGTCGAAGGCCCTAAAGTCTCCGTTCGCTTACTTACGAAGCGACATTCTCCCTCAGTGTATCATACGGATCGATCTTGCATTCCTATTATAAAAATCATAGTTAATTTTTGCTCGTAAAAAGAATATGCCTTTCTATTTTCAATTTTTTTTTGATTTTAAAAAAAGGGACCTGTTGAAGCAGTGATTCAACTTTTTATTGCATTTTATTCTCTTATGCGGGTTATTTTCCTGCTCTGTATTGAACTCTAGATACAAACGATATTTTACAAGTTCTCTACAACAAAGACGAGTACAATTGAGGAAGAACGGGCGGTAAAAGGAAAAATGCAATGGGATTTATCGTAGCTGTTGTTGTTGTTGATACGAGATGAATATTGCGGATGCGAAAGTACCTTAAAAGTTAAAGAGTTTAAATAGTTTCAAATCATAGTCGAATGCACTTATCAAAAGACAGAGACTTTAACATACTCTATGCCTGTGGCGTTCTGTTTGAGCGCGCCTTTTCAAGCTGGTTTTTTTTTTTTGTGTGTGTGGAGAGAGAAAGGCCCGTCCGCTCGGAGTTTCGCTGTCCAAAAAACACGGTACCAAAGTTTGGCAAATGCAACAAGCTTATAGGCAGGTATACGCTTTTGACCATGAAAATGATGAGATCGATTAAAGATTTGAAGAATGCGAATCCATTCATTCAAGATTTCTCTCTCAAAACAGGCCTTCATCCAAATTTCTTTTTTCTCAAATTTTTTGCTCGTACAAAAATACAGTAACGGATGAAGAAAAAAATGGATCGACGAACATGAAAATATAGGCTTTCCAGAAATAAAAAATCAATAAAACTCATAGATCAGTGTTTCTAAACCCCCAAAATGTCAGCACTACGAATGAGTGAGCGCTGTTTCCTCTTTTGTCATTCAAGCTGATGTCAGATGTTGTCTTGCTGAAACGCTTGTTCCATCCATGGCAGCACTACTTGCTCTAAAGGCAATGTGAAAAAGTTGGATGAGGTTGATAACCATGAAGGGCGTGTTTGTTGTTTTCTTTTGAATGATTCAGGAGATAAATCTACTTATTGGTTACTAACAATACTATTCAATATGCTTATAAACTTGGAAGAAGAAATGAAAGATACGTTTTAAAAACATGGCCCCCAATTTTTTTTCCCGATTTTAAATTCCATTTTCAATAAATGACCTGAACAAACATATCGCCCCTAGCCATGGCCCTGGCACAGACCATGTTTCAGCAGACACGCAAAGGTTTTATGATTTGTCTGTTTTATCATTTTGTTTTAACTTGTGGCTTGCAAAATAGTATGATAGGCCTGAGCGTTCTTTATTCCTCAACAAATGAAAAGACTTGAAAAATATATATTCATTTCACCTTGAATCGCCATGTCCAAGGTTGACAAAGCTAAGCGCTTTGCAACTCTGATAAAGATTGTCTAATATCATTTTAATAAACAAAAACGATTTTGTCATTCGTCGCCATAATACCTTCTGATACAAAATCCAATTGGAATACCGCCCTGTTACTGTCTAATTGTTGGCCATATTAGGTTACCGCTCAGGGTTGCACAATCCAGTTGAGTGAAGGTTTTTTGTTAATGCAGTGTTCTGGCTGTAGTTGACATCAGACGCGCGTTCAACTGAAAAGGTTGGTTCTTCAGCGAAAAAAAAAACATCCAGAGATCTTTGAATGATCCCAAGCAACCAAAGAGCGTAACGCCCTTCCTTCTTCATTTAAAAGAGCAAGAGCCAAATTTATTGAAAAACACTATATTCCAATTATTTATCGTTGTTTCATCAGGTACAAACAAACATTTCTCAACAAAAATGATCGAAAAAAATGTCTTTGTTGTGTGTCTGATGTCGAATGCCGTGTTTTAAAAATGCTATATAAGCTCGCGTTGATCTTTCATTTTTATCTCTTCATTCAATCATCCATTCAATCTATATTCAATCTATATTTATCAAAATGAAGTTCTCTCTCATTGCTGCTGTTGCCCTGTTCTCTGTTGCTCTTTCTCAAGCTGCTAGCATTAACGATGATGCCAACATTGTTAACGATGTTGCTGCTGCCAGCTGGACTCCTTTGTGTGTCCCCAAGACCTCCACAAGATTCTCCACCAAGACCACCACTGTTACGTTGAGACCCATGCCCACCACTGTCACCAGGACCACCACCAAGTATGAGCACGGTCATGACCATACCAAGACTGTTACCAAATATGAACACGGTCATGATCACACCAAGACTGTCACCAAGACCAAGACCAAGACCACCACCAAGCACGAACACGGTCATGACCACACCAAGACTGTTACCAAGTATGAGCACGGTCACGATCACACCACCACTGTCACCTTGAGACCTATGCCCACTACCGTTACTCTCACCAAGACTCAACTCTGCAAGACGACTCCTTCTCCTTTCTAAATAGCCTCATCCCGCTTTGAAAATCAATCGTTTGTCATTGTCTTGCTTGATATTTAACCTGTAATACATCCTTATAAAACACAGATCCGTCATTGTATATGTATACCTGTATACACTTTTACTCTCTCATTGCTTCATTGACTTCTATTTATTCGAATAAATCATCTTCCCCCATCACTCGCCATCTTCTTTTTGTTTGTCTGCTAAAAAGTGACGGTCCATGGGTTAAAAAAAAAAAGGAAACAATGGTCTGTTGCGTCTTTTTCACTGCTGTCTGCCCCATGATGACCATACAGTATTGTTCCCCCCCCAGGTATTTGTAACCATTTCTTTTCCATAGCAGCCTGAGATGCTCAATGATACTTATTTTATACATGCCTTTCAGAAAGTACTTTTTTTTTAATTCTTCTAGTTATTTTGTTTTGCCTTCAAATGTGTTGAATGCACATGATATAAAGTCAACCTTTTGTAGAGGTGTCATTTTATAACTACAAGTTTATACGTTTAGCTCACGCTCGTCTTATGGAGGTATCCACTTTTTCTAGTGGTCCATGCATTTGTCTCTGTCATTTCGTTACGTCGCTCTCATCGCTCTGATAAACAATGGGCGAATGTTAACCTTCCTGCTGTCCAACATGAAAGTGTATATCCTCCATCTTTGATTCCTATGCAAACTGACAGCATTGACTAAAAATAGAAAGGCTTTCCATATTTCATCTACTCCAAAAAAGAATGATAAAATTCAATTGTTCAGCTTAAAGCTTCAAACTTTTGGTGAAAAAACATATAGGACCATATTAGGCAGACCATTTCCCTTTTACGAAATTTGAAAAATAATTAGTTATTGTATTTTTCCCTCAACCCCTTCAACACTTGCTTTTTTAGTTTAATATAGACATGTCTATCTTCTTTTGGAGTTCCAACAGATTTTGAGCAGCATTTACATGGTTTGAGTATAACGTAAAACGTTCTTATATTACGTCGATTTTACAGCACTTATACACAGTCTTTGCACAAGACATTGTGCTGTCAAGATGAATATAAAATTGAGGGCCTAAAAGCAGAAAAAGGTAAAAACACTTATTAAACAAACTAAAACATGTTAAATACCCAGGGACATGGACAGTTCAAATTAATCAAATTGAATTAAATGATAGATTCAGGGTTAAATAAACTAGAATACTCAGGCCAATGGACGTAAAGCGTTTGCACTCGATTGCGCTGTATCCTGTAAAGATTTTACAAAGATTCTATAAGAATTGCTAACAGCGCCACTAGAAGTGATGGGTTTCAAAGGATGAGTAAGATCAATAATAAATTGGCGACGAGTAAGTTGAATATCGTTAAGACCGACAGCTTCAATATCGTTCAAAGCAGAAGTGTCAAGACCGTCAGAGTTGACCACTGGTGCGGCAGACACGAAATTAAATAAGCAAGCGGTAGAAGCGAGAGTCAAAAGTTTAATTTGCATTTTGAGTCAGCAAGAAAAGTTTATGAGAAGAAACAAAACGATTTTGAATGCAAAATTGATATCCTTTTATAAGTTCAAGAATCTTGTAAAGAGCAAGCTTTTTTTTTTTCTACTTTGATTGAAATTTCCCTGCTTAAAGATGCCGCTAAAGATGTTCATAGATTGTAGATCTATGTAGATAATCCCTGTTTCTTATAACGCTTATAAACTTCATTTATAATCGAAGCATAAGGAAAAGGGGCCAAATTGCTTTAAACTGCATTTTGCTTTATAGTGTGTTTAAATAGATTTACTCTTCAACGTTAACATCATAATCAGGAGGCCGACCTTTCTACTTTCTGTCGTAGAAGCGACACCTCAACTACTTGACTTTACTTCAAAGCTGCACAGCCGTATCCTCATCAGCATCAAGTAAAGTATGTATAGATGGTTGGCTTACTGGTTATTCTAAGTATTCTTCCTGATGACCTGCTATTCAAGAATAACGATAGTTTGATTTTGTGCATTATAAGCAGTACCATTCGTCGCCTTTAGGCCAATCCACAGCGTTGATGCTCATGTCTAAATGATGCGTCTTGGCTGCATTTTCAGTGCATATCAGTTTGGTGTTTCAGGGGTACAATTGCTTCGGAATTCAAAGTTTAGAGTATAGCTTTATGTCAGTGGTTTACGGATTTCCAATTGTCATTCACAACCCAACAGTAAATTGCGGGCCAAACTAGGATTTATAGAAAGGTACTACTAGTTTTGAAATATCGCGTGTTTCCTGCTGCTTACAACCTCAAACAGCATCATTCCACCATAATGTATAGTATAGCAGCTACAGTTAGCTATGTCTGCCATCGCTCAATTTGAATCCTCTTGCTCAATCAAGTATTTTAGTGCCACATTCCGGGCATACATATCATCGCATTCACAACCTATGTTACATACGGGTGGCAAGCCTGAATAAAAAAAAAGCTTGACAATGGCTTATTACAACCTGCTTATTTTATGGACAAGCCTCTTCGTCGTATGCATTCTCCCATCGTCATACAGAGGTATCTGTCCCCATCATGAAGTATACTTGTAGTCCGGGCTAAAGATCGGAAGAATTCACTCTAGCCATATCCACTTATGTCATTCAAGATAGACAGGCTTTCGGTTTCCGTTCTTTTCACGTTGAGTCATCCTCAAAGGGTGATACTGTTTTTGCATGATAGTTGTACTACAAGATTTTTCCATTCCATTCGCAGCTGCTGGTCTTACAGCTTGCGCTTAGCACAATCTAGTGGCCGTGGTTTGACTCTACCTACTTTAGGATACGCCCTGAAGCGACAGTAGAAGGAGAGTATAGTAAAAAGTTATTGCCAACCGATAGGAGCGGCAACTCATTTATCTATCGACATGCGTTTTATGATAATGAAACAGTAAAGCAGCAGTAATAGAGCTTGAGTAACCTTTTATTTTAGTGATTGACGCGTATCATTTGCAGGTACGCTATTTTCAGAAATTATTCGGACACTTCTGACTGAAAATTTCGGAGCATAAAATGGGTCACTGAAAGAAAATAATTTGGGCCGTAGGACCAAATGTCCCAATTGTCTAAAGGGGTTTGCGCTCCAAACACATCAGGAAACTTTTGGGCGGAATACCTGCATAAACCCTTTATATCACTCAGAAGAATACTGTTACAGGCATCGCGAATACGTAGTGTCAATGTTTCTTCGTCTAAAAGTGCTTCTCGCTTGAGTTTGCTTTTACAAACTGACCAAAACTGTTCTATGGGGTTCAATTCAGGAGAATAAGCCGGGAGATAAAACTCATCCATAGCCACGACCCTGTATATAGCTTCGTATGTCGTCATGTGTATGTATAGGTGCATTATTCATTACAAGATAATGACCTCTGAACTGTTCATGCTTGTCCATAATATCTAACGTACTGGCAATGAAATTGAAATAGTGTCCCGTACAGGTACCGCCTTTACCTTTCTCTGTAGCAACTACTGCTGTGCCACAACTACCTGTTACTTTTCTTTTTTTAGATGCTTCCATCGCCTTTGCAGCCCTTACTTTGATATTCACAATTCCATAGGGCGAAATAGCGCCAAAAATCGTCATCCTCTTTGATTTGGTTTTGGGAGTCTTAACAACTGCACGAGTTCCCTTTTGAGACCAAGCAAAGGATCGCTCTAGATTGATATGAAAGCCTGCTTCATCTATGAATACGCAATTGCTTTTATAATCCAAATCGGTATCTTCTATCCATCGCTTAACCCACTGATATCTTTCTTCGATTTTATCATGGCTATTCCTCTCAATAGAGTGAAAACGAGCTTTTTTAAAGCTGATGCAGCACTTTTGCGTTGCGAAATTGTAAAGGGCTGTTTTGGAGATAGAGAGATCCTCGAATTGATTAGTCAAGCTCTCCATCATTTGATCTAAACGAAGATCACTGTTATCATCAGTGAGCTCGACAAGATATTGACGATGACTCTCAGTTAAAGGTGATGGTCTGCCAACTGGCCGGCCACTACCAGCCTTTCTCATTTCGACTCATCTGCCGCCTTAAGACTCTTTTTATGCCAGCCATATGCTGTGCTTTTAGGAATTTTGAGCGCGCTTGCTGCACCGCGAATTCACATCCCTTTTTCAGTAAGTAAATAAAAATGTTTCCATATATTCTTTTTTATATTTTCTATAGGTTGTTTTCGGCATTTCTTCATTTTCGATTAGCTTTTTATCAGAATTATGATTGGATTCTTTCTTGATCTCCTTCTTTTCAGATCTCTCAGGAGGTTTGAAGTCATTAAACATATCAAAGTCAGTAACAGCACCCAAAGGATAGTTATCTGTGTCAACATCCATATTAACGACGCAAACCGCAGCACCATTTTTGTCAAACTTTCCACCTAAACCATCTTCGAATATAATGTTGTCCATTAAACTGTTAGGAGCTCTGCAAATGTACGAACTTCAAGCAGAAAAAGCGCCCCGTTTTTCTTTTTCCTTTTCGACCGAATTTGTTATTCTGTCCGTGGCCCATTTTATGCTCCGAAATTTTCAGTCAGAAGTGTCCGAATAATTTCTGAAAATAGCGTACCTGCAGATTTTTCCACTTTCCATCACTTTATATAATTTTTCCTTTTTAGGCAAGCGACTCAAATAGACGTTTACACATTAAGCAAAACCACATATCGAAAAACAAAACCTTTGACAACTGTAATGGGACCATTAAGAGGCTCCTACAATAAAGCTGCAGATCCTGCACTTTCAGAAGAGCAACTGTCTGCACTAGAAGCTGCATTCCCCACCGTTCGCAAACACCTAATATGTCCTGAATGTTTCGAAACTACAACGTTTCATAACACGGTTCCTCTCCCAAAGAACCCTTTCAACCACAATTTGCATGTACTTCATGTCATAAAACCATCAAAGCGTTTGAATTATATCCCATAGTTCACGCCACTCTCGGAAGCTCTAGAGCTTCATTGAATTCCACACAAGCTATGGATAAAGAGACAATCACCTCCGACCCCACTATTGGC